CGTTGTCTGTTCTGTGACCCTATGCGCTGGCCTTCTCCGTGGGCAGCACTAGCCTGCCTTTTAGCTTTAGCCCCACAGGTGGCCCCACAGCTTTGGCCCCCCCAGTGAAACAGTAATGCCATGCTTCACACCTTTCTCTGTGGCAGCCGCTGCCTCCAGTTTCTGAGCTTTTCTGGGATTTTGTGGAGCACTGGCTTGCTTCTCCAGCACTCACCCCTACAGGCACTCATCACTGTGGGTCCCACCAGTGCTGGCCTCACCTTTTACTTAGCTCTGCTGTTAACTGCCTTCCTCCCATCTACTATTTTTGCATGTTTTCATTCAAGAAAACAGGCATTTGGTCTTTATTCCAAGGATCAAGCTATCATTACTACTGTGACTTACCAACAAACACAGTATCTGGCACAAGGAGGGCACTCGAATTTCTTACAACTTGGTGCAATATGGGAACTTTTTCTGAGAACTTCTTAAATGTTCATGGTTGTGTAGGAGTTAAAAGGTGTAGCAGGGACAGCCATCAGGAGGTTACCAGAGGAATTCAGGTGAGATGATGGTGGTGACTTCTAACTTGTTGGACCAGAGATGATTCATAATCCTGAACACCATCCATTGCCACCTTTGCAATACTTTTATTCTTCTGTATCTCTAGCCCCATTCTTCTCCAAGCTTGTATATCTAGAAATAAATTATAGCCACATCACATCATCAGATGGTTTGTTGTCCACTTAATTGTGACTTTCCATGTGTTGTATTTTATAAGGGTGATCAGAATTCAAGTCACTTGGGAGAAAAGATATTTGCTGTGCATTACAGGGAAGAAGCCCATTGATATAGAACACAAAGTTGTAATTTATCAGGGAACTCTCTGACTCACTCCCTTACTCTGTTGGGTCCTTGAATTATATACTCTCAAAACAGCACATGCTTCCTTTGCAGGACTTACCACATTTGTCATGCATTGTTTTTGAAATTATTTTTTGATGTCTCTCTTTCATCCCCGAAGGTCAGGGAGCATGTCTGTCATCTTCGTTATCTCCCTGCACTGGGCACAGTGCTCAGAACACAAAGGTGTGCGCAGCAACTGTTGAAGCTGCTCAGACGGTGTGGAAGCGGCATTTGTGTAAAGAGCCCTTCCATGCAGCCTGCCCTACTCTTTTGCTCAAGCATCTGCACTTTGCTGTCCAGTAAGAGATCAGAAGTGAATTTTATGCAGACTAGCTTTCGAAACTTGGCTCAAAAGTAAAAAAAAGAAATGAATGCCTGACATGAAATTAATTTACAAATCAGTTTATTTACAGATTTTTCTCTTTTCTTAAAGTACATTTCAGTTAACAAATCTATTTACACAGGTGTACATGGGAATTCATCCCAGTTATTTTACAGATCATACTTACAAACCACACCCTAAGTCTTCTGTGCAAAGTTGCACTGGATGTGACTATTGGCTGAAAATGGCCTGATGACCAGGCTATTTACAAATACACAGTAAACGGGTTTGTTTTTTCATGTCTGCACAATACAGTACACACAGGGAGGATGGGCCTCCCAGGGAACGCTTTGCAATGTGTTTACCGAGAAGGCTTTGCAAAGTTTGGAAGGAAAAGCTATTAAACATAGGTTAATTAAAATGACAGTACCTCTTTTACATCAGTTTACATTTTTTCTTCACATTTTTATAATACAAAGATATCTTATTGAATTGTTGCACAACCAGTTTAAGATGATTTGTAAACATGTAAATTTCTACAATTTGCATTAAACATCATTGTAGTTTCTATCATTTGCTCTTTGAATTAATGTTTTATTCACTAGTATTTTTAAGGTAGTAAAAGATGTAAGTTTGAACTTCTTGCAGAAAAGTTATGAGTCTCTAACGCTGTGCGAGTACACATTTTATTCAAGTATTGCAAAAAGCTAAGGCCACTTTTTTCAAGACAAGAAAGTGAACAAAATTGTTTTTATCAATAGGCCACAACACTCTTATGAGCAATGAAATCTCTTTTGAAAGATAATTTCTCAGAGACCTGTAGTCACAGAAGGAATTTTCCTTTCTTTTACGTAAAAGAAAAACAAATTACCTTCCTTATTAACTACTTTTGAGCTCTTCCCATTTTTCCCTAGAGTAAAAATTCCTGTTTAGACCTGAAGAGGGAATCTATACCCTGTACTTATTTAACCCAGAGTGAAGTACCCTGGATAGCACAAATTATTTTGGACTCAGAAATAAATCTGAAGCCTATAGGTTGGTTTACTGCTAAATTCTGATAGTGCTATTATTCTAAAAGATATTACTGCTGATGCAAAGATCTTTTTCTTAGAGGAATTATGAAGAGTGAAAGAGGATGGGAGTGTGGGGAGAAGGAACAAAGATTACAAAGAGGGAGTATTTAGATTCTTGGTTAAGAGGCAGAGCTTGATTAAAAAGATCCCAATATGGAACAAGTGGGTGGGTATCCATGTTTATTATTCCTAATGCTAACAATGAACCCCTTTTCAATTGTATCCAAATAGTTACAACAGTAAGAAATCTGCTGATTATAGTTTCCCTTGTTTTCTGCTACCAAACCATGGATAATCACTTCTAGCAAAGAGTAAGACTGATTCATTCCTGCCTCTCATCGGAAACCCAGAATTCTCAAGACAGTCACGAGAGCTGGAGTATGTTGGGACTGCTACTGCCACATTCTTGGCAGCATTCTTACCCGGGAACTTTTAAGTCCAGGTTGCTGCTTCCATGGACTTACATCATTTTTTTTTTTCCTTTTTTGGAATCACAAAGTCATACAGACTAAAGATAAAACTTTATTAAAAACTGATTTAGGTCCAAATAATGAGGATGTAGAAAAACAACCAATATTCCTATTATTTTCATATTCGCTTATAAAAAATTTACAGCAGCTGTAAAGTTTCAGTATCATAAGGACAATGTAATCCTACAAACAGCCAAAGAATGTAGACAAGATGTTTTTCCGTCTTTCAAACAACACAACTGAAAAGAAAAGGCTTCGCTTTTCCTTGGCTACATGAAAATAATATCTCCACACTACTGGTTAATAACCCCAAGAAACCCTAGCTTCTCTTAATCAATTTGCTCATTATGGCTACAAGACTAGAGCTCAACATCAAAAGCCTAGAAGAAATGCTGGCAACATCAGTCTGAGCATTTCCCGAGACCCTATCACAACATTTCAGTGCTTTCCTTATTTGTCAAGAGCTATCATACCAGTCCTTGTGCAAAATGCAAATATTCCAATGATAATTTCAGTAAGTTTCTCATAATAACAAGATGAAACCAAAGAGAATGGAAGTGTGCATAGTGAAACATTTGAGACGCAAAGGCAAGTCTGGAGGAAAGATGCAGAAATGAACGAATGTGCACGCTAAAAGATTATACCATCTTTGGGGTTTTCCTAACATATTTTGAAGGTATAACATTCCAGGATATTTTAACTATGAATCCAGTGGATGTCTTCTATCATGCTTCTAATCAGGACCTTCAATATTAAGGCATTGACATTCACGCCTAAGATTATCCACATTCTTCTAGATTGCTTGAAGAAGGATAGGACTGATTAAGAGAAACCAGTCAAGAAGGCAGGGTGCTGGAGGCCCCAGGAGAGCATCACACATGCTCTAAGGTAGCAGCTGGAGTCTATATATATTTTTTTCAGATACAGGTAATAGTTGTGAGAAGCAATGCTGCAAGAGAGGCAGAATCTGAATTTTACAGTGTCTTCAAATCATCTTATCCCATTCCTGCTACTTTCAGGTGATCTTAGAAAAGTTCACTTCTTTTCATGTAATGTAACTGCCTTCTTAGACAGGTGTACAGGTTTGTTAAAACCATAGGCTTCCTGTGCAAAGACTACGAACCATAGAAGCTTCAAGACGGAAGTTTAACTATTACAAGAAGAATCTTTCACTTCTGAATAGGGACATACATTTTCAACTTAATAATTTATCTTAAAATAAATTAAAAAAATGTTCTATAGCGCAAAACAAGCACACAAACAATAGACAGTTATCTTTTTGTCTTTGGTGCACACACTCATTTCCTAAATCATTCAAGTAACAGCGTCTCTGACTTCTTGGGGAGATATGGGAGCTGAAAGTTTCAAGGCCAAAAATGAATTATTTCCACTTCTGCCATGCCTGGATGCCTGAGATGGTCCTGAGGATCTGTGATTCTGGGAGCAGCTGGTAGAGGTTCAGAAGAAGTAAGAAAAGTGCAGGGGTCGACAAGGGGTAGAAGAACCAGCCCTGCACCAGTCCTGTAAGCCCAGTCTTCAGTGAGGGCACTTCTCTGTTTTCATGCCCACAGAGAAAAACTAAGCATAATGCAAAAGTTTAAAATTCTTTAGATGGTGCTCAGAAAGCAAGGCTACCATTGATTCCTGTTAACTTGACAGTCCACTTGGTGCTGCTCGATTGCAATAATGGAAGAAAATCATCTTCAAAAGGAAATGAAATGAACTCCACAATGGGAAATAGGCACACATTATCCAACTTGCCTATCTGAAAGCAGTTCAGGGTTTAATACTGTTTATAGAGACTATAATGTCCATTTCTGAATTGCATGGTATAAACCAGGATTACATTTCAAAAACGGTATGATGCAGATCTATAGACCTCTCTTGCCTGACTTCAGTCTCAAGGAAGTGATACCCTAGTCTAAGCTAAGAGGTAAGTCTGGTGTTTTCAGCCCTCATCTGAGACCAGTAGGAATGCTAACAAAAGGTGTAGGATTATACTGTGTGTCAACATCACAAGTGCAGCCCTGCCCACCAAAACCAACCAATTAATCCAGTGGACAGTCTCTAAAGGCAAAGGCTGTAATACCAGATAGATCACACTGTCCCATGAATTCCGAACCAGTAGTCTTTAAGAACAGGTACAAAGTCCAGAAGCACTCTTGCTATGATGGAGATGGGGTGTGTATCACGAGGCAGAAAGGCCCAGGACTCATATTAGCACTCAGTGTTCGATTTATTTGCAAGATGTCACACAAGTAGCATTCTCCCCTGTTTTTCACTGATTTGATTCAGAACATCAATAGTATCTCTGATCAAGGTCTCAAAGATCCCATCAGCTAGCTGCATCTTCACGCACAACTCATCCTCATCATAGTTCACCCACTGGGCCTCTTCCTCGTGAAGCTCCTGCACCTAGAATTTAGAAAACAGAAAGGTTAGAACATCACTGTTACACAAAAGCTAGGAGATTAATGATATTTGCTGACTTTGTAAACCCATGCATGCGAATATAGCCCAAGGAAATAAGTCGAGAAAAATGGTAATTTATATGATGTTATCAATAGCCCTTTTAAGCTGCAAAAAGTTTGAAAAAACTCAATTGTTGAATAAAAATTTATTTCAAATCTGTCAATCTTCACAATATTCCAGTATTTTATAGATATTAAGGATTGCAAGTATGTTGTCTCTGTCAACACAGGAGAAAACACAGAGGAATTTTAAGGGGACGGAAGAACGCAAATTTTTAGATATGTGGATATACAATTATAAAACACATATATCAGAAGACAATACTGGACATGATTCTGGAGTATATAAATAAATGAGCAAAATTTCATATTTATGGATTATATTTTCCCATGGTAATGCCACGTGGCTTTGTGGGATCTCAGTTCCCCAGAAGTGACAGTGGCAAAGACTAAGCACTGGACCCCCAAGGAATTCCCGCCCCCCTCCTTTTGTTATTAGAAGATTCCTGAAATGTGCTATTACTCAAGTGTATTTTAAAAGTCACTGTTAGATTTTATAAAAAATGCTCTCTTTGCATTTCAGGATTTGGGGATTCCTAAAGTAAACTAATGGAGGATGTCAAGGCTGTATATTGTCACCCTGCTTATTTAACTTATATGCAGAGTACATCATGAGAAACGCTGGGATGGAAGAAGCACAAGCTGGAATCAAGATTGCCGGGAGAAACATCAATAACCTCAGATATGCAGACGACACCACCCTTATGGCAGAAAGTGAAGAGGAACTAAAAAGCCTCTTGATGAAAGTGAAAGAGGAGAGTGAAAAAGCTGGCTTAATGCTTAACATTCAGAAAACTAAGATCATGGCATCTGGTCCCATCACTTCACAGGAAATAAATGGGGAGACAGTGGAAACAGTGTCAGACTTCATTTTTCTGGGCTCCAAAATCACTGCAGATGGTGACTGAAACCATGAAATTAAAAGACGCTTACTCCTTGGAAGGAAAGTTACGACCAACCTAGATAGCATACTAAAAAACAGATGTTACTTTGCCAACAAAGGTCCGTCTGGTCAAGGCTATGGTTTTTCCAGTGGTCATGTATGAATGTGAGAGTTGGACTGTGAAGAAAGCTTGAGTGCCGAAAAATTGATGCCTTTGAACTATGGTGTTGGAGAAGACTCTTGAGAGTCCCTTGGACTGCAAGGAGATCCAACCAGTCCATCCTCAAGGAGATCAGTCCTGGGTGTTCATTGGAAGGGCTGATGCTGAAGCTGAAACTCCAATACTTTGGCCACCTCATGCGAAGAGTTGACTCATTGGAAAAGACCCTGATGCTGGGAGGGATTGGGGGCAGGAGGAAAGGGAACGACAGAGGATGAGATGGCTGGATGGCATCACCGACTCAATGGGCATGAGTTTGAGTAAACTCCGGGAGTTGGTGATGGACAGGGAGGCCTGGTGTGCTGCAATTCACGGGATCACAAAGAGTCGGACACGACTGAGCGACTGAACTGAACTGAACTGAAAGTAAACTAAAAGGAATCAAATCAGTACAAACTGCCCAAGATGGTTTGCTTGATGGCAACCCACTCCCAGTATTCTTGCCTGGAAAATCCCTTGGACAGAGGAACCTGGTAGGCTACAGTCCATGGGGTCGCAAAGAGTTGGACACAACTGAGCAAAGTGTAGACTTTTTATAAAAGAAACAGGTTAGACTTATATTAAGTAATGATATTGTGAGTGGGATGGAGGCCACTCCATAAAGCTGACCAAATTATTAACCATTGTCTTCTCCTGCTCTTTTGAATTACAATACCCAAATAACACTTATTATTTTTTTTTCCCAAATATCACTTATAAACAAAATTTAAGTATGTAAAAAAAAAAAAGAAAAAGAAAAAAACCCCAAACCCTGTATAGGAAAACTAGCTGGCAAGACTATCAATTCCAGCAAAAATGGTAGCATAAGATAATGCAAAAGAGTTCTTGCATAATAAATGTTTGTAATTCATAAAGAAATCATAAAAAAGGAGGGAGATTATAAGTATTAGAATAAATAGGGATTAAAAGAGTGGCAAGTGTTGCAACTACTTAGGGGAGGAATTAAGAGACAAGAAACAAAAAGAATAAAGTCAAAGATATGTCTAAAGAAGTACCTGAGGGAATTGGAAGAACTGGGGAAAGGCAATATTCTAAGAGACAATAGCTGAGGATTTTCCAGAATTGAATAAAGATAATGAATCTACAGATTCAATAAACTCGGGGAATCCAAAGTAGGAAGAATAAAAGTAAATCCATGACTAGACACATCCAAGGGAAAATGCAGAACAAATATACAAACACATGCAATCTTAAATAGGAAACAAAAAGAAAAGACAAATTCCCCCATAAAGGACTGTCAGCATATTCCTCAAGATCAACAACACAGGTCAGATTACAATGAAATAATATCTTCAAATTGCTGAAGTAAAAAGAGCTACGAGCCTAGAATTCAATACTCAGGTAAACTATAATTAAAGAGTAAGAGCTGAAATAAAAAAGATGTGCAGACACAGACTACAAAGGTGAAAACTGAAGTCAGAATGAAAGAGATGCAGAAACAGTGGTCTCTCTATTAATTTCTGTTCTTTTCTGTACTTCCTATATATTTATTAAATATATGAAAGATTTGGAATAGCCATTAAACCAGCAAAAAAATTAACTTCATTACTAATAAAATTGTTAAAAGAAAAATGAACTCTTTTTTTTACAAAGATCAAAACATTAGTCAGTATTGGCAAAGGTAAAAAGATGCATCACTCCTGTACCATGCTGGTGAGTATGTATAATTGGTACAACCTTTCTAGAAAACAATCTGACGAACACATACAAAAGCTTTAACATTCTGCATATACTTTTAATCAGCAATTCTATTTCTAAGAACTTACTGAGTAAATTATTGGAAATAGTTACAAAGATATACCATATTGCAAGATATTTATTACAAGATATTTATTATTGCAAGATATTTATTATTTCAAAGAATAAAAAATGATTAACTGATTAAATAAATTATGATACACAATTCCACAATGGACTATTTCCACAGAAATAAAAATGGAAATTTATTTTTAAAATGATATACACTTAATAACAGGAAAATATCCACATTTAATTAAGTAAAAACAATCAGAATATGAAAGAAACTATGATCCCAATCATTAAAAAAAAATTCTTTGTATAAAAAGAAACTCTAAGGGTATTATGTCAAAATAATTAAGAGTTATCTATGTGGTAAGATTATCATGACTATTTTCTATTAATCCATACTTTACATTTTTGAAAATGAGCATGATTATTTATAAAAAATATAATTTTAAAAACTTATTTGAAATTTCTATTTTTGAGACCCTTTTGAACTGACAGCAAAATTTGTTTTATGTTATGAAAATTGTTTTAAATCTCAGTCCCTCTAAAATGCACAAAAATTAGAATCTCCAAATGCTAAATTGGCTAAATATAATAGTGGAAATGGTGACCATGACCAGTTTATTTAGTGTTTCTTGTTGATAACAAACTCAAATTGCTAACAGTATCATTTCACTAAACATTATGAAAAATGAACTCATGAAAAAAGTTACATAGGCCCAGGCAGTTCAGCTCACCCTCCAGCCACACGAACTTTTCGGTTCCACACGCCTTCCCATTTCAGGTCTTTGCACATGTAGTCTCCTCTCCCTGAAATGCTCTTCTCTCTACACAAAACTCAGGTTGTACCTATTCATCTTTAAGACCTCAGCTCAACCTTCACTTCCTCAGGGAAGCCTTTCCTGACCATCCTCATTAGATCAGTTTCCTCTCAATGCTTTTATAATAACTCGCTATTCTTCTATTTTTATAATTTATAATTACATATTTGTGTAAATTATATACTAATGGCTAGTTTCCACCAACAAACTAAATCCACGAAGGCAGGGACTATGTCTTGCTTACTACTATAACACTGGTCCTTAATTAGCACACTTCTTGGCTAAATGCATGCACAGAGATAATTTATAGGGAATATGATCAGTTCAACTGAGAGTAGAATAAATGAATGTTTCTTGATGTGCTTTTTCCTTTAATTTCTAAAGAGGTGGAAGAAGTTACATCGTGTTAATTACTAACTCAGATCTAAACCACTGCAGAAATATGAGAGCAAGTTCACCTTGAGAGGCAAAGATCTATGAATTGGTTAAAGTCCTGCTCTTATTTGTTAGGTAAGTCACTTAATATCTTTGAATCTCATTTGTAAAACAGAGTAACATTAGTCCATCCTACCTCATATAATTATTGTGAGGATCAAGTAAGTTATGAGAAAGAATATTTAACAAATGTTTATCTAGTAAAGTTATTACTGAGTAAATGAAGCACTAGAGGTACATATTTGGAAAAAATTGATAAACTTAAGCATTACATTTTTTTCATGATATGAATATAAATACAGAAAAAATATAAAGTCCATAGTGAAAATGCTTGGAGACAAACCTGAATCAACTAACACCTGAGTTTCCTAAGGTTTGATACTACTTAACATTGTAACATTCTTTTAGGGAAGAAAGAATGAAAGACTTTTTCGCCTTCCTTTTTTTTTCTTTTTTGTTGCTGTTTGATAAGCACTTTTCTAATGCTAGAAAATATACTGCAAAATGGAATAAATAGTATCCAACTAAATTTCTGGATAGTAATAGTGATAATGAAATGATAACTGCTAATGTTTATTGAGTTATGTGTAAGGTACTGTTCTATATATATACATAAATACTCATTTAATTCTCTTAATAATTGTATCAGGTAGGTACTATTATTATCATCTTCATTTTGCAGATAGAGAAATGAGGCAGGAAAAGATTAATTCGTCCAAGATTACACAAGAAAAGTGCCAAGACAGGGATTTAAATTCAGGTGGTCTGGCCCCAGTCTATACTGGTCTCTTTAAATTCAGAACCTTAAGTTTGTTTCCAAACTTTTTATCTCTCAAGTTCTCCACATCTACAAGATACTATTAAGTTAAATATTCATCTACTGAATTTAAAAGAAAGCAATTTTCCAAACTGATGGGCAGAAAGAAATGCAGCAACCGAAGACTTTAAGACTTTACTATTATAGACTTGGGTTTTCCAGATGGCGCAGTGGTAAAGAATCCTCCTGCCAATTCAGGAGACATGGGTTCAATCCCTGGGTCAGGAAGATCCCCTGGAGGAAGAAATGGCAACCCACTCCAGTATCCTTGCTTGGAAAATCCCATGGACAGAGGAGCCTGATGGGCTACAGTTCACAGAGTCACAAAGAGTCGGACAGATCTAAGCACATGGGCACATCATAGACTTAGGATCAACTATATTTCCTTTTCTTTTAGAATCTAACTACATTCTGATTTTGGAAAAGATGGTCAAATAAAAACAATTCAGTTATAGACACTGACCAGGATATGATCCACTCGGTCTCTTTTCTTTCTTCCAAATTTCATCATTTTCTGCCAATCTGTTTTGTGGTTTGGCTCCTTTTTAAGACTGAATAGCTTGAGTACTTCGGTTGCTATGAAGTTCTGTGAAAATGAGAGGAATGCATGAAACATAAACTTTCTGAGACTTAGTACTTATAAAGCAGTAAACAGATTTTTGCTAAGAATACAATGTTTATTAAAAAAAAAGATCACATTAATACAAACTTCTTTCACTTACGGTTCCACTTAGCAATTTGAAGAGAAAAGCTGAAGGCTCAGACTTTATTCACTTAAAGCATTTTTTGTTTCTACACAACATACAAAAAAAAAAAAAAAAAGTAAAACCCACTCATGAATTTGCAAAAACAAAAATCACTTTAGAGTCCCCTCTACCCAAGAGCCACCATTAGTTTACTTCAAGCTGGCAAAACTACAAAAGAAAGTATAAAGTAAATCTTTGAATAAGGCTTTGGTTGGGATAGGTTATTTTGAAGCACCAAGATTCAAGTATGTTAAATTAAAAAAATACTAACCAACATTTCAGTTTGAGAGGCACGGTAATTTTACTGCTAACAGTATTTGAACTATCACCCTTAAAGAAAGCTTTACAAAATGCTTTAACAATACTTTTGTTGCTGTTTTTTTTTTTAACTCTGCCTTATAGAAGGTATTCTTCAATGACCCGAGGATACAGACATATAAGACACTCATTGGTGATGCTGCTGTTGCTGTTTAGCTGCTAAGTTGTGTCTGACTCGTTGTCAGCCCATGAACTGTGTAGCCAGCCAGGCTCCTCTGTCCATGGAATTTCCCAGGCAAGAATGCTGGAGTGGGTTGCCACTTCCTTCTTCAGGGGATCTTCCTGACCTAGGGACTGAACCCAGGTTCTCCTGCATTGCAGGCAGATTCTTTACCACTGAGCCAGCTGGGAAGCCTCTCTATAGCAATATTAAAATTGGTAGGAAGTATCATGTGTGTTATAATGATGTACATGGTCTGATGAATGCTGGTATATATTATGTATCTTATTTCAACATGTTTGTTCTTTGTTATCAATAAAATAGTATTACTTTTTTTAAAAATAGTATTTTTATGGCTGTTCTATTAAAAAAAACAATGTCTCACACTCACATTCACACACACACACACACATGCATTCAAGGATATATCAACCTCCGGGGGCTGAAAGGAATGGAGTGCACCGGGGTTTTGAAAAAGCCCCCGAGATGGTTCTGATAATTCATTTCTCAAAGTTGAATACTATTTTAAAAGTTTTTGTTTTTTTAATCCATCAAGTCAATCTTTGAAAACTTCTTTTTCTCCTGCTTTAAGTTAAGCAAAGGTCAGCAAACATTTTCTGTAAAAGACCAAACTGTAACTATTTCATGCTTTGTGGGTCCTATGGTCCCTATTGCAGCTACTCAACTTTGTTGTTGGTAGTAGGAAAGCAGGCGTGGACAAGATGTAAATAACTAGGTGTGGTTATGGCAACTTTATTTTTAAAAACATGTGGTGGCCTGGATTTGGCCTATGGGGCATAGTTTGCCTACCTCTGATGTAAGCATATATCTCATAGATACCTATTGGTGTTCTGTCAGTATGAGTATTTTTAAAAGCTTTCTATAGTTAACAATACTGTATCATATACTTCAAAGTTGCTAACAGAGACCTTAAAAGCTCTCATCACAAGCAAAACAAATTTCTAACTATGTGTGGTGATGGATGTTAACCAGACATACTGTGGTGCTCTTTTTATAGTATATATAAAGATCAAATCGTTACATTAAATACCTGAAACTAATATAATGTTATGTGTTAATTACATCTCAGGAAAAAAAAGACTAAATTGTTTAGACAGTGCCTCCTTTCATGTTATATACCAGATTAATGTGTATGCTCCTTTAATGTATTTTGATCGTCCAGATATACAACTGGATAATGTAAGACAATACATAAGTAAAATAAGTAATTGGAGGCAGACTCTCTGGGGAAAAAATACTTTCTATGATCAAGTAAGTTTGGGAGACATAACTCTAGAGCCTTGCTACTCAAAATAATCCTAGAGTCAGCAACAACAGTATCACTTGGGAGCTTGCAGAAATGCAGAATTTCTGGTCCTACTCCAGATCTACTCAGTAAGAAACCTGCATTTTTACCAAAATCCCCAGGTGACTCAGATGCACATTAAAGTTTGAGAGGCACTGCAATGGGAATATAACCTTTGCTATATTTCAAGAACAGATGAACAAGCAGAGAGATTTTCACCCAGTGATTTTAAAGTTGGTTTGTTGAGAGTCCCTGTAGCTTCAGGGCACTTAATCTTTTCAGGGGCTTCTTAGACAACAAGCAATATTTTTTATATATCACACTATCCTACATATTTCAAAACCACATAACCAATCTGAAACCTCCAAAATCAAAGATGGAAAGGTTATATCATTTATGTGCCTAGGGTTGGCATATATGATATATGTCTTCTGATACTTTTACAGTATTATACCTATCTCTAAATCATTAAGAACTCACCTAAAACTCATACGAATTCCAATAATTTATCTCCCTGAGTACTTGCTAATTTCTTAAAAATATTATAAAATGTATATATATGAAATTACTGTTAAGTTTTATTTTGCAAAAAGTTGAGGGTTCAGGAGTCCCTGTCACCTTCACCGTTCTTTTGCTCACAGACAGAATGAACAAATATTTACTGAACACCTACTATGGAACAGGTCTTGAGGGCAAAAGAGTGAAAAATACAAGAGTACCTGCTTTAATAACATTTATAGATCTGTACAAAAAGAAGATCAAATAAAAAAAGGAGATACTTTGTAGTTTCCAGTTTACCTTGATTTCATCAAGGTTATTTGGATTTTTCACTCGTCGGAAATAACTGGAGTTGATTCTACATGGCTTCATCCAGACTGGTTGATTCAAGTTGGGATCCTCAGCAAATATTTCCTCAAAAATCTCTTTTGTTAAATCAAAAACCGCCTTGATAAGAAAAAGAAACAAAATGAAATGGCTAAGAATCCAAATTTCAGACAACAGTGAGAAGTTTAAAAATTAGAATTATCCTTCCCTGTTACATACCTGCTTGTACACCCTTTTACTAGTACTTTCTATATCTAGACCCTTACTGGCACAGCCAAGCAGTTTTGCAGGAATACTGATGCTGTGAAGATCATGACCTAATTCTTTCCATTTCCAAAGTTCTTCTGCTGCATCATGTACAAGAATTTCTACTTCCTCTGCAGTATGTGGGACTGCCAGTAATGTTTCACATGGCTTTTCTGGAGCTCTTTTAGGTTCTGCCATTAAAGGTACAATTGTTTCTTCTGCCTTGTTTTTTTGGATCCTGTGAGAAGAGCTCAAACCAAAGTCTTCATCAAACCAGTCTTGATCATCTCCTAACACGCTCAGGAACTCCCGGCTGATCTCAAGTTCAGCAAGTCTCTTAGCAAGCTCTTCCTGCCCACTGGCACCAAATACTGGACTTTCCTACAGAAATGGAACCATTCAAACAGATCACCATTTAGTAACCTCAGGTTACTTAACAAGTTTGGGCTTTTTTTTTCTTTTTTTAAGACAAACTACATATATTACTTGTATATTTGCTATTTCTCTATAAACAAGCAAAATAAAAACAATATAGTGGCTACTGATGAACAATCTCAGGAAAAACTATCCTGCTTCCTGTAATTCTGCTTACGTAAGTCTTATTCAGTTTTTACAAAATGTGTATTGATTAGTTTTTTTCCTTTATGTATCACTATTACTCTGCTTCTGAAGAATTTTACTTCTGGGATATGGAAATGAGATATAAAATTTCTCACCTTTGGTGATCATCTGGTTCAAGTTACTCAAAATCATTACTGTTGTTCAACTGTCCATGGGCAGCCTGAACAAGCTGATGGTCTGAGTATATGTCACAGTGGACATATTTCAGTTTTACCAGAGTCAACATCACAACTGGCAATTTCTGCAAGGCAACTGTGACTGAGTGGATATGTAAGCAAATCATCTCACAGGCAGAAAAGAACTAGGCTGAGAAACAATGGAAATCTCCATGGAATAAATGTGTTCAGTGAATCTGGAAGGGAATCTAATCTGTGGACAGTATACAGGGGTTTTCAACCCAGCATAAACCTGCCTGTGTTTTTGACAACTCTATAGTAACCACTCATGACATAATAGAGGACAATTATACTTCAGACAGAAAAATAGCTACACGGCCTTTAAAAACTAGTACAGTGATCTTTATTTAATAAACAACACATCACCAAAATACCTATTACTAGTTACAGAATTAAAATGCACCACAAAGGCAAGGTTAACTGACATTTTTTTCTAAACAAAATACTTACAGGTCTAGGACACATATCTGGTGAGGAAATCTCTTCTTTCTCATCTTCCAATTCAGACCTTAAGAAGCAACCCGGAACGCTTGGTGACTGTTCCTCAAGATTTTGGGATAGGCCTTGGGGTGGTACTTTCTTTTGATCTTCACCAAGAAGCTCCTGATTGCTAAGCTGGATTTTTTCATTCCGAGCTTTTTTGATTTGTTGTAGTTGATTGACTGTGTCCTTCACAAAGACTTGGAGCAAACTGTCTGTCAGTAAGCTGACTGTTTCTAGCTGTTCCTTTGACTTTTTTCCCTCACTTACAGATGACCTCAGCTGGGCTTCCAATTGGTTTTTCTCTCTTGCTAACAGGTCCAGAAGAGGGGTAGAAAGCTTTTCTGAAACTTCGGGATATAAGTTCTCTTCCTTTTCAGTTAACTGTTGTTGCTTCTTTAATTCTTCAGAAAAGGTATTATCTAAAGTATCGTCTTCTACAACAGAAGAAACCTTTTCTGTGGCATCAGAAACAAGGTCTTTGTTTTCCTTTGAAGACATCAGTGAGTCCACTGAATTCTGCTGGTGAATATGGGCTTCGAGTACCCCAGAAATGTCCTGTATATTGTCTGTCTCTATTTTAAGGCTTCTATCAACGGAGGCTTCTGTGTCATGCATACTAGGTAGAGATTTCTCATAAAAATATTCAATTGTATCCTTTTCTCTGTCAGACTTGGGACCCTCTGTATCTTTTTGTTCTTGATTATAATATTGATATTGCTCATCTGAATAAGAGTCTTCATCTTCATTTATGTCTACATAGTCATCAAAGTTTTCTGGAATGTGAGATATTTTTTGAGGAGGAGCAAAAATCCCATGCTTCTCTTTGCACACAAAGTATGCAATGCCATCATACGTTCCATTGTTATTTCCTTCAGGTTTATCCAACTCCACTCCAGCCCAAAACCCTTTGGCAAAACTAGTCACACCTTTGAACCGAAGAGTTCCTGGCTGAACATTGCCAATCAATACCCTATCGCCAATGTGGAAATCAAGTAATTCATCTGCAAGAGAAGCTGAAGCCAAGGAAGGGGATTCAGTAACTCCCCGTTCATGCTCTACATCACTGCGCTCCTTATTTTTCATAAGCTCAGTGGGGGACTTGAGTTCTAACAGCCTTTCAGAGTGGACACTGCTATGAATAGAAAGGCTTTTCTCACTGAGGCATTCGCTGATTTCATCATCACTACCAAAGCTAGTGGCTCTACTTCTAGAGATGCTTGTTGCCTGTAACTTCTCTCTGCAAGACTGAGAGTCTTTCCTGAGAGACAACAAAGACGTCACCTCAAAGTTATCTTTGTACAATTCAGCTGAAATGTCTTTCTTGAAAGACGATACTTCAAAATCTTCAAAGTACGATATCTCTTTAGATGCAAGTAGACGCTGTGACCAAGATGAGTCTCTGCTCTTTATATTCTTTTGTACATGAGTCTCTTTTTCTGATTGGATGTTTGGACTATGACTGATATCTTCGTCTGACTGTCTCTCTTTTGTTTCTTTTTTATGAAGATTTTCAATGGCTAATCTAACTAAGTCTTTCTGAACATTTATAGAATCTAAAGGAAGATCTTTTCTGGAAAGAATTTCAGATGAATCTCCCTGTTCCAGGTCTAGCTTCAGGAAGACATCAGCCTTCCTAGACTGTTTAGAATAGGCATCTTCAATTACACTCTCCTCCAATTTTGCATATTCTACTTCTTGTATTTCTGATTTTTGACTAGACTCTTCTTCAGCCTTGGCACCTGACACATCCAGAATTCTATGAGAGGCATTTAATTCTTTGAGAAGAGATGATGATGGGACATTTTCTAGAGAATCGCCAGATTCTGCTCTTGTCCTCCTTGATGATCTGAGAATTGGAGAAGTCTGAAAGTGCTCTTCTGTCCGACCGTCCAATTCAGTCATTCTCTTCGCGTAGACAGATGAAGATTTTTCCGATACCGATCTTTCAGAACCTGTCAATGCAGCATCTTAAAGGGGGAAGAAGAAGAAAAAAATCACATCAAAATTATCTAATCACAACTTTCAATTTCTGAAACCAAAGTTTAAATAAAAAACAAATATTAGTGAGAAAAAGCTCTGGTCAGTAAGTATGACCTGTTTTATAGATTACCATATGTAGTAAATTTTTCCTTTATGAATTTATATGGTACCAACAATAAATAGAACATTTAAAAATAACTAAAAATCTGAAGTTTGGTATAATTTTTTAAGTGTTGTCTTAAGTTAGAAAATTAAGAAAAATGAATCAAAGTTTACAGATAAGTTGATTCTCAAATCATGCAAACACAGAATTGGATGAAGCATATTACATATTTCTTCAAATACAAAAGCAATAAAGGAGGGACAAATGTACTAGTATATATACTTCTAAAAGAATGAATTTTCCCAGGGACTTCAACTAACCTCTTGAATGTAAAAAAAACAAACAAAAAAAACACCTTAACTATTTCTGCAAATATAGCACTTTAAGAGCTAAAACTGCTAAATAAGAAGGAAATAAGCAAGATTCACTGAACCAACAAACCAAGAATTAAAAGTTTTGAATTCAAATCGCTACTTTGTCATTGTTGCCAGGTAGGCTTTTTCACGCCTCAATTTTAATTCATTTACTTTATTTTCAATAGTTCTTCTTTTTCTTTGGACTCAATTGAAAAAAATGTATATAACCACACACCTGAGAAATAGTGGAGGCCGACAATTACAGAATCAGATACAAATCTGATTAAGGGAGAATTTTGAGATGCTGATGATACCCTCATAGCCATTTTAGATCAATGTCTTTATGATTCAGCTTTTATCAGTTATTGGGACAATAAAGACTGATTCATAAACTTATGCATAACCTGTAAATCACTTTAAAATATAAAAGTAACTTAAAATATTAAGTGATCTATTATCTTTAAGAAATTCATTATTTAACCAAATAACTTAGAGGTAGAACTGCATAGGCATTTGTATAAATCTTTAGCCCATGTAGATACAGTGTGATTATTTTTTTCTAGTTACATACCAACATGCTCAGCAATAGACTCCAAGGATCCTCTGGATCGTTCTGAGTCTGTCAGTGATTTCCAATTCTTTGCTGTTTCAGATCTTAAGTAGAAAAATTAATAAACAGAAATAAATGTACTGCTGATACTATAATAACTGGTAACAAAAAGCAGTCAATTCTTAAGACAACTACTTCTTTCTACTCCACAGGAAGTATTCCAATCTTTGCCACTTTCACCAAGCCTATTTCTGGCCTTTGTCACTCTCAATGATCTTGCCTCTTTTAATGAGGAAAAGAGAGGCCATCAGCATGAGTCTTCTTATCTTCAACCTTTTTACCTACAAATTTATCTATATTCACAGCCATCCCAACTACCTTTCCTTCTGTCTGCAAGAAGAAAAAGGTGTATCTCTTACATTTGCTCACATTTCTTTCTGCCCCAAATCCCATAATTTCCACAGTCTCACTGATAGTATCCCTCAACTATCCATTCTTTTTTTTACAATCGTTAGTCCTTCAATTTGGTGATTTTTTCCCCCTCAGCTTATATGTAAATCTCATGCTAAAAAAAAAAAAATTCCCCCCTTTAATACTGGACTATAGCTGATTTACAATGTTGTGTTAGTATCAGTTGTATAGTAAACTGATTCAGTTACACATACACATATATTTATTCTTTTTCAAATTCTTTTCCCATTTAGGTTATTACAGAATATTGAGAAAAGTTCCCCTCCTTTATTCTGTCATCTGATGCTATGCTACTGTTCACTTTTATGCTTTGACATTTGCCATCTTCATTTTCTTGCTTTCTTTGTATTTGCAAAGTCATATTATTTGCCTTCTACTCCTATTCTTAATCTCCTTAAAGGTTGCTATTTTATCATATCTAGTACTTGGCTCCCTTTTATTCTCTCTGAATGCATACTTTATTTGGGTGAAGAAGGTTCATCCAAATGTTGCCATATTTATTGCCTCAATCATGATCTATTTGTTGATCATCCCTATAACCCTAACATCTTTCCTAGATAATTCCACTTAGATGAACTATAGGTACCTTAAAATTAACATTTTAAAACCAAAATTATAAGCCTCCCACTGAGGAACACCTGATTTTCCATTTAGGTCAGTGTAACTTTGACTCAACCAAATACTACTTAAGAGAAATATGACAGTCATTCAGCTTTCCCATCTATAATTAGTCAAGTATACTTCTTAAATATTCCTAAAATCTATCTCTTATTCTCTATTTTTATTACAGTGGATTATCTGAGGCCTGGCTTAGACTACTGTTATCCCTGCTTCTAAACTTATCCCCTTCTATCTTTCCTTCATACTGTAGTCAAAAAGATTTCTCTAAAGAGAAATATGATTCTATCATTCTCCAGTTAAAATCCTTAGTAACTTGGTTAATAAAACTATAAAAACACTCAATGAAATGTAGAAATTAAAATAAAACTTACATATAATGTAACATAAAGGGAAAATATATACGTAACAAAAATACACACAAAATCTAACTATAAAAAAATCTGAGAAAGAAATATATCTAATTGTTGATGTCTGCTGTTTGGGGATAGTTATGTATGATATGATTTAAACTTATTCCTTTCTACCACTTCCCTCAATATTTTAGTAGCAATAATAATAAAACCAATACATAGTGCTGTGTGTCAGACCCTGTTCTAAGTTAAGTCTTTTAACCTTCATAACAAGTTTATTACTCGGTATTCTTGTAGGGATATAAATCCCTATTAAAGAACTGAAGTACCCCAGTGACTAAAAATGTGGGTTCAATCTCTGGTCAGGGAACTAAGATCCCACATGCCTCAGAACAACTAAGCCTGAAAGGCCCAACTATGGAGCCTGCATAACACAGCAAAATCCCTATGCAGTCAAATAAATAAATAAACATTTAAACATTAAAAAAATGGAAAAAAAAAAAAAAGAACTGAAGTACAGAGAGGTTAAATAACTTGCCCCTAATTAAATAGCTGGCTGGTGCTGGAGCCAGGATTTAAACCCAGGTAATGCTAAATTAATTGTAATGAGCTTATGTAACATTTCTAAGAAAAAAAAATATCCTAAAATATTGCCTTTCAAGGTTTCATATCTTCTAAGAAAGTGAATAAGAAAATGCTAAAAATGCTTGAGTACAATATTATCACAATCTGTTTTTTATTTTTCCAGTTTCTTCTCCTAACTCTGGCAATATCCTATCACATTCTGCTTCCATGAGACGCCAAGCTCTTTGTTGCTTTTGGTCACTCATCAGTGCCTTTCCAATCTGAAATACCCACTATTTCTTAGTCCCACTGACCTACATAACCTCTGCTTGTTGTTCAAAATTCATTTTAAATATTCCTAACTGACTTCCTTAGTTACCATATTATATATTCTAATGGTGCTACTCTGCATCTTCTGTATTTGCATTCAATGACTGCATAATATTCTATCCCTGGAAAGAACCATCATTAACAGGGTTATTCACCCATTTCTGGATGTAAAGATTGCTTCCAGTGTTTAATTAATACAAAAGAAGTTATGATAAACATGTTCATGCAAATAGATATTTTTGGTAGTTCGCATTTTTTCAAGCTAGATTTTCAGATGGGAATTATTGAGTCAAAAGTTACAGACTGTTTTTGACTTTTGAAACACTGCCAAATTGTTTTTCAAAACAACTATACCAACTTATGAAACTGTAACAACAATGCTGGAGAGTATTATTTTCACCGCACCCACCAGATTGCAGAATATATTTTCTGTGCCTTATTATAAATTTGATTTGTGATTATACCATAAACAACAAATATACTTTAATGACACTAAAATCATAAACCAGTATTTTCACTTCTACAATTTCACAGTTACTCAAAAGTTAGCTTCAACTAAAAACCTTTCCTTATTTCTTTTGCAAACAAGGCAGGATACAGGTTAGTTATCAAAAATTTCTACCTGTGCAGTGGAAGGGACTTAATCTTGGGTTTTTCAGAAGTTGAGGAGAGCGTTTTAATCTGAGGCTTGGCTGTTGGTGAGGTTTCCAAATCTCGGCTAAGCTCAGCTTCAGTCTTCTTAATGAATTCATCATATGACTACGTTTAGAAAAATCAGAGGAGTCACTATACAGAGTTTTTAAAAACTATCTTAAATTAGAAAACAATACATTTAATGGTAAAATATTCAAGCAGTAAAAAAGATGTGAATATAAAATTTTTACTCCCTGCATCAGTATTATTTCTCAGAGTTCTAAAATCAGTTATTTTCATAGCCTGCTTGAAATAGGCTATGTATAAGCAAAATGTATAATGTAACACTAATATCAACTAGGAGATGATACAATCTCAATTACAGAAACTTAATACTTATGAAGCAATAATTCAGGCCTTGCCATGTTAAAAAAAACTCTTTAGCTGATTCTTTAAAGGATGTCCTAATACTTCCCTGATATTTTTAAGTTTAGCCACTGCACTGAGTTTCAATGGCAGTAAGCTTCTTACGGGGTATGTACTTTAGGAATACAGATCCCAGGGAAAGAGAAGGGAGTGGCTGGGAGCATGACAGTACAGAACTTCAAAAATACTTCTTAGTTATTAGTCATTCTATAAATAAAGCTTCACTAATTTATATACTATACTACATACATACACTATAATTATAAAATCTAAATAAAGAGCTTTTTATTGCCTTTATTTAAATCATTTAATAAAATGTTGAATGAGATGGATCTTTATATCCTTCTCTAGGTATTTTTCTGGTTGACGTATATATTATTAGACTTTTGGGGCAATGTTATTAAATGTAATAGTATTTCATTTAAATCCTGGGCCCCACCTTAGACCAATTAAATCAAAATCTCCGGGAGTGAGCCTGGATATTTGCATTTTTTAAAAAATCTCCTTGATTAATTCTAATGTATAGTCAGATTGAGCACTACAGACCTATAGGATGAAGTTCAAACTCATCAGTCTGATTTCTAAAGCCCTAAACTTGATCTCCATTTTAAAATTTTGTTTCTCACTACTTTCCAGCATGAACTTCTCAGCATGGTCACTGAATCTTAATCACTTTTCTTCTAAACATGTGTGCAAGTTACAATTCCTGTTCCCATCTCTGTATTGTGTACTAATGTAAATGGCTTATCTTCTCCATATTTGTTAGCAGGTTTATTTTCTATGTGGAAGATAGCGTAGTGTAATGTTAAGGGTACAGAATTTGGAATTCAAGCTAAATTAAAAGCCTAGTTTTAACACATGTGAGCTGCATATCTCTAGATATCATTAATCTCACTGAAACTCAGTTTCCTCATTTGTAAAACAGGGATAGTAATACCCACACCTTGTTGCTTTGAGGAAAAAATGAAAAATATGTGTAGTTAGCTGAGTTTCCAGCACATAAAAAGGTGCTTGAATATTTGATGATTAAATTAATAAACATATTAATAAAGGAGGAATACATGCTTGGTGTTACCACACAAGGACGATTAAAAGAACAGAAATTTTGCCCAAACATAACAAAGACGTTTTTAGCACTTAGAGCACCTGGAGTCCAACCAATGAAATCAACTGCCTTGAAAATCTGAAATTTGCTATTACTGAAAGTGACTGAGAAGAAACTGAATGATCTCAGGTGAGGCCTTGAGAAGGGATTCTTATGACAAACAGGAATTTCAGACTGGTTCTGTAATGAATATGGTGTTTAGGAATACTAGGCTGACAGAATGTATGTAAGCTATAGGGAAGAAACCATAGGCAAGGACATGTAAGAGGCTATGCACACTATAGAGGTAAGAAGACATCAGGGTCCCAAACAGCTTGATGTCAGTAGGAATGGAATGGTAACAAGCAAGATTTATGAAAAAAGAATCAATGGGATCTGAATGAATAGGAACAAACAGAATAAGAAAGATATAAAAACCATAAAGTAATTAGCCTCCAATTAAATAAATTAATTTAAAAAATATTTGGAGGAATTGTCAGTAAAACCTTCGGTGCCCACATGCTTTTAAAGCTAAAAACAAAACAAAACAAACAAAAAACCAGCTTTCCAGAGTAGGGCAGAATCAGGGAAGGTTGCTAGAGTTTGGAAGGAAACTCAAGCTTAGAGTTACTATTTAGGAGCCATTCAAATAGTACAAAGAATCATACTAATAAGCTGGGTGGCATGAAATACCATTTAAAAAAAAAAAAAAGAAAGAAAGAAAAGAAAAGGCAGTTAACAATTCCAATAGCCAGGATTATTTATCTAATGATTCTTTCCTTAAGAGGACATGGATATCAAGCTTTCTTTCACAGACCCAGTCTTTCCTCTTTGGGAAAAAAACTCATTTTACTTGATATTATAATATTTAACATTTCAAGCAAAGAGTTTCTTCAGACACCTCAGTTTCTTCGTTTTCAAAGTTAGGTTAAAATGTGGCACGAAATTAATACTGAAAAATTTTAATCTATCACTTTATTAATGCCTAAAACATGGGCTTCCCTGGTGGCTCAGAGGTTAAAGCGTCTGCCTGCAATGCGGGAAACCTGGGTTCGATCCCTGGGTCAGGAAGATCCCCTAGAGAAGGAAATGGCAACCCACTCCAGTATTCTTGCCTGGAGGATCCCATGGACGGAGGAGCCTGGTGGGCTACATTAGTCCATGGGGTCGCAAAGAGTTGGACACGACTGAGCGACTTCACTTTCTTTCTTTCATGTTTACCATAGCCTTGAAATTAAACCCCTTTCTTCTTATGTCTAACCTCCAATTGTTTGATCAGACTGGCTTCTTGGGCTTTGAGTCTTTCCTTTTGCCTTTTTTTCTGTTCCTTCTTGAGTTGGTCCACAACTGATTTTCTTTTCCGCAGCTCATCCTTCAGGGCTCTGATTCTACCTTCAATGTCACTCTGGTCAGATGTAGTTTCTGAAAGAGATATAAAACCCTTTAATGTCATTTTAACAAAAATAAATTCAGTAACTATTAATAGAAAGCACCAATGTAAAGTGAATCTAACATTTAAAATTTGAGATTCAGAAAAAAATTATTAGTGATTTCCATCCCTTTTCCTAAATCTCTATGCAGGGGTGGGGGTGTGTGTCTTCCTTTTTATTTTCACCTTCTAATTGTGCTATTTGAAACTGCAAATAAAGTTTGCAAATCTGAAGATACTCTGTCTTGATAAGTAGCTGGAAGTAGAAAAACTTTTGGTTAGCAAAATTTGGACATTCTTTAAGGATTTATTTCTCGGTAACAGGATAGCCATACTTAACTGTACCTCCTCTTGGTTACTAATAGATAGTTTAATAGTTTTAAAGTCATATTAAAATCAAACTAGAATTTTACCACTTGAAATTGATTGTGAGTCATTAACTAATGGCTTAATGTCATAAAAGGAGAGACAAAAATTATAAAGAAATATACTTTGAGATAACCTTTGGAAGCTCTTAAAACATTTAAAATAAATGAAATAAAGCTATAGTTAAATCTTATTTTCTTCCCAACAATTTAGACACATACATGCACACATACAAAGCAGATGTTTAGTCATAGCAAAATCATGAAAAAGACATTTCATTGTAAGCATCACACAAATCTTATCAAAATAAGCATCACTTAGGACTTCCCTGGTGGTCTGGTGGCTAAGATTTGTGCTTCCAGTGCAGGGGGCCCAGGTTCACTCCCTGGTCAGGGAACTAGATCCCATGTGCCATTCACATGTGGCAACTAAAGATCCAGCATGCCATAACTGAGACCCGGCACAGTCAAATCAATCATCATCATCATCATCATTTAAAAACAGCCTATTTCACTGCCCATGGGAACTACATAGAAAAAAAATGACATCTCCTCCTGAATCACACCATGGTGTCACTTCCACACACTAATGATGAATGAGGCATTTAACAGTCTTTTAAGAAAAATACTATTATATACAACTCTGAAGACTTGACGCACATTACAACATTACAACATAAACAACCAGGTTGTTTGTTTTTTTTTAAGCACTTCAGATTAAATTACAAAGAACTAATCACAGAATTTATTTTGAAAAGATAAGTCCTTTTTTTGCAATGTGATCTAAATATCTAAATTAGAAATAATGACATCTAAGTTCCTGCCACTTTTGTCTCCTGACTTAAGGTGTATTAGGAAAATTATACCCATCTTATACCAGCAGTGCCATCAGACTGAGCCCCGAGTGAATAGTGAGGTTCAGTATTTATTGATCAACACTCATAAAATGAAGCAATAATAGAAGTCATTTTTAGCTTGGAATCTACTACTGGTAATTAGTAAGGTGTTTGTCACTTAATGATTTCTAGAACTGATGTGAAAATTAAATAAGATACATAAAGCATGTAGCACAGTACTTGGACTACTATAAAAAGCTCAATAAATGGTGGTAGTATTAGTACACATAAAAGATTTTTATGTAGCCATATTTTATGTAACATATTTTTTGGTTTAAACCTAAAAAAGGTCGTGGTGAGGAGATAGCAACTGAGTATCTTCCTCATGTTCTCCTTTAATTTCTGAAGAAAATAATCAATTCATTTTATTTATTTTTGGCTTAATTTATCCATTTTATTTTTTTCATTTTATATATATATATATATTATTGAAGTACAGTTGACTTACAATGTTTCAGGCACACAGCAAGGTGATTCAGTTAAACATATACACATATATTATTTTTCAGATTATTTTCCATTATAGGCTATTATAAGATATTGACTATAGCTCCCTGTGCTATACAGTAAATCTTTGTTCCTTGTTGCCTATCTATTTTTTTAAAATTAGAAATCTAGCATTCTATTCATACTAAGTCAAACAAGTTGAGTCAAATGTCATACACTTTTTAGTTAGGCAATATTACTTATATATATGTATACAAAAACTTCTCTACTATGCTTGATAAGGGCTTGAGAAACATCACAAAAAAGAGGAGATGGAGGAACTCGAAACCATAAACTAAGGGAAACGGGGGCACTGAATATAAAATAGAAAAAAAAAATGAAACAAACTAGATGAAAGTAAAAGATCATCATATAAATCCAGTTGTTTTTAAACATGGTCGCTCATTAGAAACACATCTGGAGCTTTGGGGAAAAAAAGCAGATCTTGGCATTTGATTTTTCAAAACATTCCCAGATAATCTGATATGCATTTGAATTTTAAAAAGTGATTACAGGTTTTTCTATTAAATGGTAGTTTTGGTGATTTAGAATTCTATTATTTTTCTGTTGAAACAATCATGATACAATGGTATTAAGTGAGTAATAGTTATATAATCACAATAGTAAAAGATGTTTATCAGTTTTCACAATCAATAGCCAGACAAAAAAGAAAAGATAATTACAACTGCAAGCCATAATGGGAACATAATTAATCTAATAATATAAAATAACTACATACAATCTGGTGGGTTAAGTAGAGTGACGTGGTAAGTGGAGTGCATACATGCACATGTTTTCATCTGCTCAGCCAGTCTATGTCTTGTGGTTGGTGCATTTAATCCATTTACATTTATAGTAATTATCAATATATATGATCCTATTACCATTTTCTTAATTGTTTCAGATTCATTTTCTGTAGATCTTTTCCTTCTCTCGTGTTTCTTGCTTAGAGAAATTCCTTTAGCATTTGCTGTAAAGCTGGTTTGGTGGTGCTGAATTCTCTTACTTCTGCTTGTCTGGAAAGCTTTTTGATTTCTCCATTAAATCTGAATGAGAGTCTTGCTGGGTAGAGTATTCTTGGTTGCAGCTTCTTCCCCTTTCATCTCTTTAAATATATCATGCCATTCCCTTCTGGCTTGCAGAGTTTCTGTTGAGAAATCAGTTGATAGCCTGATGGGAGTTGCCCTGTATGTTATCTGTCGTTTTCCCCTTCTTGCTTTTAATATTTTATCTTGGTCTTTAATTTCTGTCAGTTTGATTACTATGTGTCTTAGTGTATTCTTCCTTGGGTTTATCCTGCCTGGGACTCTGTGCTTCCTGGACTTGATTGACTAGTTCCTTTCCTATGTTAGGGAAGTTTTCAGCTATTATCGCTTGAAATATTTTCTCAGGTCCTTTCTTTCTTCTTCTGGGACCCCTCTAATGTGAATGTTGGTGTGTTTAATGTTGCCCAGAGGTTTCTTAGGCTGTCTTCCATTTCTTTTCATTCTTTTTTCTATATTCTGTTCTGTGGCAGTGACTTCCACCATTCTGTCCTCCCTCATTTATTTGTTCTTCTGCTTCAGTTATTCTGCTACAGATTCCCTCTAATATATTATTCATCTCTGTTTATTATTTAGTTCTTCTAGGTCTTTGGTAAACATTTCTCGCATCTTCTCCATTGTTTTCCCGAGATCCTGGATCGTCTTCACTATCATTATTCTGAATTCTTTTTCTGGAAGGTTGCCTATTTCCACTTTACTTAGTTGTTTTTCTGAGGCTTTATCTTGTCCCTTCATCTGGGACATTACTTTCTGCATTTTCATCCTGACTTTCAGTAATGTGGGTTTTGTTTCAGCTGCTGTGGGACTGTGGTTCTTGCTTCTTCTGTCTGCCCTCTGATGGAGGAGGCTAAGAGGCTTGTGTAAGCTTCCTGATGGGAAGGACTAGCAGTGGGAACATCTGGGCCTTGCTCAGTAAAACTTTAATCCAGTTATCTGCTGATAACAGTGCAGGTGGGCCTGCACTGGCAGTTGGTTGGCCTGAGGCGATCGAGTCCTGGGGTCCATGGGCGCTATGGAAGGGTTATTGGTGGCCTCCAAGAGGGCTTACACCAAGGGGGAACTTCCAGGACTGCTGCTGCCAGTGCCCCCTCCTCTGTGGTGGGCCCCTGCCAACCCATGCCTCCACAGGAGACCCTCCAACACTAGCAGGTAGTTTTGGTTCAGTCTCCTATGGGGTGACTGCCCTTTTCCTCTGGGTCTTGGTGTGTGCAAGATTTTGTCTGTGCACTCCAAGACTGGAGTCTTTGTTTCTCCTTGTCCTGTGGAAGTCCTATAATCAAATCCCACTGGCCTTCAAGGTCAGATTCCCTGGGGATTCTCAGCCCCTTTGTGGGATCCCCAGGCTGGGAAGCCTGATGTGGGGTTTAGAACCTTCACAACAGTGGGAGAACTTCTTTGCTATTATTGGTCTCCAGTTTTTGGGTCACCCACCTGGCAGGTATGGGATTTGATTTTATTGTCATTGTGCCCCTCCTACCATCTCGCTATAGCTTCTTTGTCTTTGGATGTGCAGTATCTTTTTACGGTGGGTTCTAGCATTCTCCTGTCGATGGCTGTTGAACAGCTAGTTGCAATTCTGGTGTTATCGCAGGAGGAGATGAGTGCATGTCCTTTCAATTTGTTCTAGAGTTAAAAGGCTCTGAATCTTACTGGTAAGCTTTACAGTGATTTAATTAACAATTCTGAACAACAATTGGGGGTAGCATTGCAAGCGGAGCTAACAATTATAACCTTTCTAAAATGAAATATAAAACCCAAACCTTTGAATCTGCTAAAGCTGTGTATTCTTTTAGCTTGATAAACTTTATGTGCTTCCAGAACTTGAGATGTTACTTTGATAAAATTTATAGGAGATCACTAAATTTCCACAGACTTTGTTTCAACTTTGCCTCCAAATGATTATTTTAAATGAATATATTTTAAAAATTGGATATGTCAGCAGTGATCTTTTTAAATAAAAATATTTCTCAACTATGACTGTGAAGATTTAACAGAGATGATGAGAAACTTTAAGTTCAGATGAAAGACCTTGTGAAATGTTTACATCTTTAAGTAAGAAACCAAAATTTTACAAGCGAAGGGTAATCAGAGATCAAATAAAAGCCTATGACAGTGAATGGGAATACATTTTTCACATGCCCAAATCTAATTCTACTATATAGTGTTTATCATCAGTAATATCTAAAAGAACCTCTAGAAAAAAGTTTTTTTATCCAAGCAACTCTCTAGATCAATGTATTGTCTTTATGGAATTCTCTCCTATAGGATTTTTTTGGAAGAAAGGGGATAGGTGAAGTGACAGAAAAATGATACATCTGTTGGCTGAAATACATCAAGACAGAATAACCTGATGAACAGAATAACTTGATTAAAAATTAAGCGTCATTATTTGACACATGTTGATTGTGTTAATTTGGCTCATAACAAACTCTCCATCATGTAACTAAGAAAGGTATTATATAACTCCACTGCATTAACATTTACCACTCCTATAAATACCACATATAATGAATGATGCTGTCATGAACAGGTAGATGGCATCTACAGCCTAGAAATCTCAGAGATATTTTTCTAAAACATTTCTCATTTGAATATATTTTACCAATAAAATAATATCTTACAAATATTATAAATCTTTATTTTATAATTCATGCAAGGATGATTAAGATATTATTTCATTTGCTATAGATAGGAAGAATATCAGATATGGGAAGGAAACTTGAAGAAAGTCACCAGTAAGTAAAAGAGAAATAATCAGAATCCATATTTCCAAATATCAAGTTTATGTTCACTGAAAGATTACTCCACTGGCAGTAACTTTTCCCCAAATTACGTGAAAGCAAATATATAAAAAAAATTAATCACTTTCAACAGATAAACATGACAGACAACATTCTTCAACTTCGATTACTGGCTTGATTCAGTAATTTCACTTCTAAGAATTTATTCCTACTGAAATATTCAACAGGAATATATATAAATATAAATAAAAGAGCTGCCAAGTGGCACAGTGGTAAAGAACCTGTCTGCTAGTGCAGGAGACACAAGATAAGCAGGTTCGATCTCCAAGTCAGAAAGTAGGAAATGGCAACCCACTCTAGTATTCTTGCCTGGAAAATTCCATGGACAGAGGAGCCTTGCCACTACAGTCCATAGGGTTGCAAACAGTCAGACACGACTGAGAATGCATACATGTCATGTCATGTCGTATATAAATGAAGACATTCATTATACTATTACTTGAAATTTTGAAAATTTTAAGAAAATCTACATGATTATCACTAGGGAAATGGTTATATTATGGTATATTCATCCTTTGAAATATTATGCAGTTATTCAAAGAATAAGGGAGGTCTGTAAATATGGGCATGGGAAAAACCCATGAGTTACTGTTGTTTAAAACACCAAAAGCAAAGGGGGTATAGGGATCAAAGATTAAAAAAATGAGTAATATTTTTTACTTTTCCTTTACTAAATGTCTACTCTCAAAAGAAAACTGAAAATGAGCTCAAAAGACATACACTCGATATAGTTATTAATCTTCCTCAGAATCCTACATAAACCAAGTTTTGTCTGTCTAGATATGTCTCCCAAGATCAATGCACTGATGCCTTTTAGAGTAAAGCTTGTTCATTCTTTCATAATCTACATACTACTGGGATTTATAGTAGGATAGAGGTTATTGGAAAATAATGAATGCTCCCTACTGCCATGTGCAGTCTCTACTTTTCCTCCCTTGAGACTTAGGCTATCCTGCTCTACCACCTCCTGTTCCTCCTCATGGGCATCATTAAATCATTCAAGAAACACAGTACCCACTATGTGCAAAACAAAGTACCTGCAAGGGTCTGGTTTTATAATTGTTAACAAAACATAAGACTCTCCTCTGCAGGAATATAAATTCTAGTAGAGGAGACCCGCCACTAGGCTGAATTAACGTGTTGATTAAATTAACGTGTTTGATTAAATTTATGTGCTGTCTGGTATAACAAGTTAAAGTGCAGAGCACTATGGGAACACATAAGCAGCACCTGTCACACTCAAAAAATTCAACTAACGTCTGAGAACATAACAATTTATCCTGGTTTGTGTAATGAGGGATATAAATTACCAAGGGAAAGCAAAGAATTATGTAATTCAATTTTGGCAAGGAAAAAACCTTTGCAAATGAAACAGAATAACATTTTACAAGTCACATAGATAGACAAAGCTTATTAAAGAGGAATTCAAACATACTACAAAGAAAACTAACTCCTTCCTTGTCACTCTTACCTGACTGTGTCATAGATAATGACTCATCTGACCAACTGCAACAGTGCTGATGGGACTTGGTGGGCAGACGACCTTGTCCTCCAGCCCTATGACTTCCTTTGCTTGACTCTTGCTTTGACACAGACGTACAGCTCTTGGGAGGTGACTGTTTAAACGGAAATCAAATAAGAACTGTTCTGTGATACAATTATGAAATTCCATTTAAAATTTAAGACACTAACCAGTTAAAGATAATATTTACAAAGAGTTTTAGATAACTTCATGAAATAAAAAGTAAAAAAAGTCTGCAAATTACACAAAAGATTTCAGCGTTTTAAAATATATGGAAAAAAGTTATTAAGGATACTTTTAAAGATGTTTACAATAAATTATGAGTGGCTACTGAATCGGTGATATTCACCCCTTTGTTTTAACTTTGAAAATACTAAATATGGGTGTACAGATATCTCTTCGACATAGTGATTTTACTTCCTTCTGACACATATCCACAAGTGGATTTGCTGGATCATTGGTAGTTCTTCATCAACAGATGAATGAATAAAGAAAAGATGACATACACACACATACACACACACACAAATACTATTCAGTCATTTAAAAAAAAAAAAGACATTTGAGACAACATGAACTGATCTTGAGGGCACTGTACTAAGTGAAGAAAGTCAGAGAGAGAAAGACAAATATTGTATGATTTCACTTATATGTGGAATCCAAAAAAACTCTAACTCGTAGAAAAAGAGATCAGATTTGTGGTCACCAGGGGTGGGGAGTAGCGGGTGGGGAACTGGCTGAAGCTGGTCAAAAGGTACCAGTTTCCAGTTATAAGATATATAAATACTGGGGATATAATGTACAACATGATGACTATATTTAATACTGCTGCATGGTATGTTTGAAAGTTGCTAAAAGAGTAGATCCTAAAAGTTCTCATCACAAGGAAAAAAATGTTTTTGTAACTATACAAGATGATGGATATTCACTAAACTTAATGTAGCAATCATTTCACAATATATGTATGTCAAGTCATCATGCTGTACACTTTAAATTCAAGATGTACACCCTTTAAACTCACAGTGCTAAATGTCAATTATATGTCAATAAAACTGAAAAAAATTTAATACTAAATAGGTACTATCTTAATGGAAGAAAAGAAGATAGCAAAGGGGGGAGGGAAGAAAATAAGAGCATAAGAAGACTGCCCACACTAGATTATTTATTACAAAGGGAGTAATTTCTACTCTGGTATCAAGAGGAAGTGAATAAGCCTGATGTGATTCTTAACTGTTACAACATTACTTCCTATCCCTGTGATGGTGGGCAAGTTACTTAGTCTGCTAAGCTTCAGATTGGGGCTTAAAACATTATCTAAAGAATTGCTGTGAGGATAATCTACATAAGGCATTCAGCATACTACCTGGCACTTGACAAACACCCAATAAATACTACTTTTTATTACAAAAGTGACTTTAAGACACATTAGCTTTGACTTTCTTATATGGTCCATTTTGAACTTAGGTGGATTCTTTTTTTAAACCCAGTGGCTTTTAAAAATTTTAGTTCACTTACAGTATTTAATATTATTATGCTAATCCTTCATACACATTATAAAATTAAGCTTAGAAAAAGCTAAATTTCTAGCTTAAGTTTTTACCAGACAGTTTTTTACTAAAGTATAGAATTAAGGGCAATATGAAAAACCTCTTTATTCTGAAGTGATTATTATTCTAATTTAGAATCCATGTCTATTTCAGATCTGCCTTAAAGAGATGAAACCACTACTTTGATTAAGAAGTATAGAACAGTCATTAACTAAATTATAGAAAAGGCACACTGATATGGTTTAAGGTCTTATTGTTTCTATTATGTGACAAATCGCAGACTTGGATAACTTGCCCCACACATTATCTTTATTAAAGACTTTAGAAAGTTCCTATCTCTGTTTATTAAAAACTTCATAGCATATAATTTTATAAATGTCACTAAAGCTAAAATTCATATATTTATAAATTTTTAGGAGTCAATGAAAAGCTTTATTTCTACTCAAATATCATTTACTGTATGTTACAGGTATGGGTGATAGTCAATGCTTCCTTAATAGCAAGAATATAACAGTTGATAATATACCTTTCAGATAGGTTTTTTTGTAAAGAACCTTTAAGATATAAATATATATTAACTTACATGTTTACTAGGCGAGTTAGAAGATTCCAGTTCTTGTGAAAAAACCATGTCTTCAGTAAGTATACTATGATCTGGACTCCCAGGATGCTCCTGAACTATGGATTCAGAAGGTATATACTCAATAGCAGGGCTGCCCAATTCTTCTGGAATAGAGCTTTCACTGTGTAGATGAGAATAGGAAGGTACTGGAGATTCTGTTTCACTCACTATTTCTAGAAGAGAAGGTGAAAACAAGAAAAAGTATACAATCATGGCCAAGGGAAATGTTTATCTGTTAAACTTTACATTTGTTTTTAGCATGATTTCACTAGATGCATTTAGATATGTTTTTTAATCCCATCACTTAATGAATCACATTTACTGTAATATCCTTAAGTCTAAGAATTTTGGCTGATGCAAACTGAAAGACATTATCTGTAACATATAGTCAGCAATGATAATGATAGACAACCTGAGTGTCTGTAAAGATGCAATTACAACTCATATATTTGTTTAGGAAAATGGAAATATGAAAATCAGTCCTATCACTTTGGAAAGCAATTTGGGAGTATTTGGTAAAGATGTAAAAACACCTTATGATCTAGAGATTCTACTTCTAGGTATATGTCTAGAGAAATGTTGTACACATGCGGCAGGAGACAGTACTGTGATAATAGTAAAAGACTAAGTAGAATGAGTAAACCGTGGTACATTTATGAACTGGACGCTGCGCAGAGCACAGATGAATGAACCGTGCGCCGATGGAGGCACCGTGAACTCTACCCGGTGCTTTTGGAATTGGTAGCGCTGTCTTGCCTCTGGAATTTCCCATCCACTGTGGCCTCGGCTCTAAGAAAACCTCTGACAGTAAACAGAAAATTCTTGACATTACACTTGTATAATCTTAAGAATGTACACTACTTTCGTTCTGTCACCATGGATATAATGCCCCACAAGGATTAAGTTATACTTTGGGTCAATACTGATAAAATTTGATGTCAGTTACTATTATTATCACATGTGCTCGGTGGTGTCAGACTCCTTGCGACCCCTTGGACTGTAGCCTGCCAGGCTCGTCTGTCCATGGGATTTCCCAGGCAAGAATACTGGAATAGGTTGCCATTTCCTTCTTCAGGGGATCTTCCTGACCCGGGGATCGAACCTGTATCTCCTACTGGCAGTCAAATCCTTTACCACTGAGCCATCTGGGAAGCCCAACAAAAGAAATACCTATACCCCAAAGAATGTTTTACTTTAATTAACAAGGTGGACCTAACATTTAAAAGTATTTCAGTTAAAAAGTTTAAAAGATATATTTTTACACTGTGAATGGGTAGTATAATCAGAATGGTTGAATAAATAATTAAGGAATTATAAAAATCCTCAGGGAAATTCACCTACTCAAAGACAGAAGGTGGGTAAAATTTAAAATGGCTTAAAAATGATTTACTTTTTAGGCAGTAGGGAATAGAAGACTTCTCTATACTTCTGCTTTATACCCAACATATTTTATTTTTATTCAATCAGTAACATACACTGATTTTAAAAATTCAAACAGTATGGAAGCTGTATAAAGAATAAAATGAGTGTCACCTACACCACCACCTCCTGAGAACCACTGAAGAAGCTTCTCCAGTCTAATGTCTTTATAAATAGAAGACTTCATTTTGGAAATCTTCATGTTTTGCCCTTTCCCTTATTTTTGAAATTATAAAAGTAAGTACAAGAAGGTAGTTTAAAAAGAGACTTCAAATAGTATGGAAGGATATAAAGTGATTTGCTCACATGCTTCTCTCCAACCCCTTTCAGCTGCCCAATTTTCTCACTTCAAAGGTAAACCAATGGCAGTTACGTATGATGGATGCTGTGTCTTTTTAAACCTTTTCCTATACACCCTGAAATTTTAAAAATGTATTTTTCAAAACTGTGGTTAACAAAAAAGCGGGGACTCCCTGGTGGTCCAGTGGTTAGGACTCAGCGCTTGCACTGCTGAGGGCCTGGGTTCAATCCCTGGTTGGGTAACTAAGTTCCCACAAGCCACACGGTGCAACAAAAAATACCATCTGGGATCACTTTTAAGTATACAGTTCAGCGGTATTAAGTACATTCATAATATTGTGTGATCATCACTCAAGATTGTGTGACTCCATCACATCCACCCCTAGAACTTTTTCACCTTTCCAAACTGACGCACTTATTAAATAATGACTCCCCATTCCTCAACCCCTAGCATCTTACCAATCTACGTCTCTATGAATTTGTAATCAGGTACCTCATATAAGTGGAATCATACCATATTGCCCTTTCATGACTGGCTTATTTCACTCAACATAATGTCTTCAAGGCTCATCCATGTTAGTACATGTATCAGAATTTCCTTCCTTTTAAGGTTAAATAATATTCCACCACCTGTATATACCATATTTTGTTTATCTATTTATCTGTTGATAGAAAGTTGGGTTTTTCATCTTTTGGATATTGTGAATAATGTTGCTATAAACCTGGGTGTACAAATACCTCTTTGAAAACTTGGTTTCAATTCTTTTTGGTATATATGTATATAAACCCAGAAGTGGAATTTCTAGGTCATACAATAATTCTACTTTTAATTTTTTGAGGCACTGATATACTATATCCATAATAGTTACAACTATTTTACATTCTCGTCAGCATTGCACATGGGTTCCAATTTCTCCAAATCCTTGTCAACAATTTTTTTGAGAATAGCTTTCCTAATAGATGTGTGTGTATTTCCCTGTATCCCTGACTTTTGAAGAGTTACATTTCAATAGAAGTCTAGCAACATTTTGACGCTTTTAAAGAAATATGGACTATAGCAGAAAAACACCAAAACTTTGTGAAATGTTTAATCTGTAGGTGTTGACAATATTGTAGCCATCAGCCTCATGTTGCCACTTAAACAGCAATTAAGTTCAATTTCTCAGTTTTACCAGCTAAATTTCAGGTGCTCAATAGCCATTAAAAAAAATCAGGCTTTGGAAAAAAATCTCAAGAGTTCTTCCCTGAATAATATTTTATAAAATAAAGATACATGGCTTAAACTCCTTAATAATGGACATCTGTCAGATTTCTTGGAGCCCAAGCTTACTTTTAATCCCTCATTGATTATTTGATGATTTCCTGCCACATGAGTTCCTTGTCACCCAAGATAGAACCCAGAAAAGCCAATTTGCAGCTTCCTTGCTGGGCACTGGAACTTGGGCATTGAAACTAGGTGTCCCGGTAGAAGAGTTCATTACAAAAGTGAATAACCTGAAAAAGAAGGCTCCATGTGGACTCTACTATAGGTGGCTTTTGGCAGTGACAGTGGATCTTTCAGAGGTTGCAAAGTGGAGTCCCTAGTGTAGAAGTGGCATGAATGGGGAATGACAAAAACAGTTTTCCTTGGTGCTCTGGTGAGTAACTGCTGAAGCAGTCTTCTCATCAAGCCAGTTCTCTGGTGCGGTTTTAGAACTTCTCCTAGAAGTTCAGTGTAGAGCTGGCTCCCCAGTCAACTCAAAATTTTATGAACCACTACATGGTCTTTAGAAAGTTACTTTTCTGCTTGGTCTTACTAAACTTCAGTTATTCCAACAATGTGCCCTAATGGGTACACACAATTCTTTTCCTTAATTTTTCTTTTACTTACGTCATTTAGCTCATTAACTACACTACTCTTAAGCAATATTTGGTGAAATTAAAATTGTTTTTATCACATTTACCCAGTAACACTTTCCATGATCATATAGGCCAACATTTCCTAGTTGGAAATGTTTTCTACTTCTATTACAGCCAATCATGAAACCTGAGAAATTGAATCTGTTTACTGCTGCTGCTGCTGCTAAGTCACTTCAGTTGTGTCCGACTCTGTGCGACCCCATCCCTGGGATTCTCCAGGCAAGAACACTGGAGTGGGTTACCATTTCCTCCTCCAATGCATAAAAATGAAAAGTGAAAGTGAAGCCGCTCAGTCATGTCCGACTCTTCGCGACCCCATGGACTGCAGCCTACGAGGCTCCTCCGTCCATGGGATTTTCCAGGCAAGAGTACTGGAGTGGGGTGCCATTGCCTTCTCTGAATCTGTTTACTAGGTCCTCTTAATTTCAAGATGGACAAGTATAGCAGAATTTGAGGCTACAGAATGAGGATGTGGAAATTGACACAGAAGTAACCCTTTGCTGAAGAAATTAAATAAAAATTGTTAAGGATAAAAAGGAATACTACAGATGAACTGTACTTACTGCATCATTAGTTTTATGTATCACTTGGTATGTACAGCTAAAGAATATATTATTTAGTTTTGTTTGCTTTTAATTTTCTATAAAAGAAATCAAACTGCTTGCAGTCTTCTATGATTTGAGATTCTTACATGTTGACTTGTATACCATAATTTTTTCATCTTTACTGAGGATGATATAATATGTAAATATACCACAATTTATTAATCCATTTTCCTATTAATGTGGGTGGTTTCCTTTTTTTCCCCTGCTATTTCAAATACTGCTGTTATGAACAATGTCATATATATCTCCTAGTATAAATATATATCTATATCTCTATAATATCAGTATTTATAGATAGCTTTATTTATATCAATTTATTATCTATTTAAAAGTTCTGTATTTACAGCAGTGGTTTTAAGATTTTTTTACCTTTATCATAATATTTATCCTTAGTATGTATGACATAATGATATTTTCTATTCTATTTCAATTTTAAACAATGCTGACTATAATCCACTAAATAGATTTCATGCATCTCTAATGGGACAAACCACAACTTGAAAAACAATGCTATGAGACAGCAGATCCCGAACACTTTGGTCTCAGGACCACTTTACACTCTAAAAACGTACTGAAGACCCCCAAAAGCCTTAGTTTATGTGGTTATATACACAGTTATATCTATCAGTATTTACCATAATAGAAATTAAAATGCATAAAAAGTTTTAATTTATTAAAAAATAAGAGTAATAAACCTTTATGTGTTAACATAAATTACATTTTCTAAAATTCAACACAGTACTTTATTTTAAAAAATGAAATTTAGTTGAAAGGAGAGAAACTGTTTTATTGACACAGTAAAATAAAATCTTTAATGGTTAGCTTAACAGGTGGATTCTAATATTTACTTCTGTATGCAATCTGTGGTTATATGTTGATTTGGCTAAAGTGTATGCAGAAAATCTGGCTTCACATAAATGATACACAATAAGAAAAGTGAAGAGTATTTTAACAGTATTTACAGTAACTGGATATCCTTTTTTAATGCCACACCAAAAGTGGCCAATTAGTAGTTTCTTAAATGTTAGCTGAAATGTGAAATCTTACACCATTATCAGTTAACTTTCCATAATCTATTACATTAAAATCCACAGTCTGATCTTTCACCTTAATAGGATCTTTTACCCATACGTGATTTTCTAATCCTCACTGGTCATTTGGAATATATTGGTTCACTGAATTATTAGGAAGATTTTTTTCAAATATTCACACATTTTTCACACAAGAGGAAAAGATGACTTTGACTGATATCATCACTCACACCAGAAAAGTCTGGAAAGCAGTCAAGCTCACAACAGGGGAAATAGCATTGCTAAAAGCCCTAATTTTCACTTAAAGTTTTAACTTTATTATCAACAATAAACACTATCAGATGTTTTTCTTGAAAAGTCAGAGCTGCTTCATTTATTTCTGAAAAATGCTTATAAATGCTCAAGACTGAATAACCATAGTTTGTTGGTCATTTAAGTAAAAATGGTACCACATGAAAAAAATGGCTAGTTCAGCTTGCAAATCAAATAACTAGCTTTTCTTCAAGATAAACGTCATGCTCTGGCAAACACAAGTGCTTTATGAATATTTCCTATTTGGTCACACAGAATATTAAAAAGATATGTACACAAAGTTGAGATTCAAATATTTAAATTAATTATATAAATATTTAAAATTACATAAAATGTAAGAATGGCATGTTTCTACTGTGAATACAGGGTCGTGAACAGTAGGACAAGCACTATGTGATTTGGCTCTACTGCCTTGATTCATATTAATGCATCAGCAATTTTACCCACCATTATTTTTATACTATCAGTATAATGCTGACACAGTAAAAAAGGCAAAACAACATGTCAGTATTATTCAGACCTTCTGAAAGGATCTCAGAGACCATGAACCATACTTTAGGATTTATACTTGGCAATGGAATTGCTGAATTACAGGGCATACATACCTGGCCCTATTATTTTTATTATTTTATTGATGATTTTTAATGCCTCACTTTTCAACCTGTTTTTCAAAGTAGGTTTAACAATTAACACTTATACCAGCAGTTCTTTGTTCCACCTATAAACCAACAGGTTTGATGGGTGTTTTCAATGGGGTGAATGATGGCTCCCCAAAAGATATGTCCATGTCTCAATCCCCTCCTGTGAATACAATCTTATTTGGATTGCAGATGTAATGAAATTAAGGATCTCATGATAAGATCAACTGGGATTATCTGGGTAGGCCCTAAACTCAGTGAGAAGTTTCCTTATGAGACAGAAGAGGAGAAAGACAGACACGGAGGAGAAGACTATGTGAGACTGAGTTAAAAGCAGATGCAAGGAATGCCTGTAGCATACCACCTTCAAGCTGGAAGACAAAAGAAAGAACTGTGTCCTGGACCCTTTAGAGGGAGCACACAGCACTGCCAACACCCTGATTTTGTACTTCTGGCCTCCGGAAGGAGAGAACAATAACAAAAAACCCCCACCAAATTTGTGGGAGTTTGTTAGGGCAGCCCTAAGAAATGAACATTGGCATGCAATGGTATTTTTCTTTAAGGTTTTATGCTCTGATTACTAATGAAGTTGAACATCTTTTCATGTTTATTGACTGTTTTATAGAGTTTCTTATTTGTGAACCATTTGCTCTTTTGCCTATTTTTTTTAATGTGGTTGTCATTTATTATTGATTTACAGGAGCTGTTTATATATTTTTGATACTATTCCTTTGTCTGCCGTATGTGCTGCAAACATTTTGTTTTACTTTATTAATAAACACTTTATTAAAGTCGAATTTATCTATCTTTCCTTTTATGATTTTTATCTTCTATAACATACGAAAGAAATCTTTCCATCCCCTTGATGTCATAAAGATATCCTTTTATATTGTCTTCTAGAAGTTTTACAGCTTAAATTTCACATTTACACTCTTCTCCCCCACTTGAGATAGATCTTTTCATATTGTCAGGTAGGGACCGAACTTTATTTTCACCTCTAACAAAATTTATTGGAGATTCACTCCTTTCTTCACTAGTCTCCTGAGTTATCTGTGTCAGAAATCAACTTTCATATACTCACAGGTCTTTTTCTGGGCTATGTGTTTAACAGTCTATTTGTCTATCTCTGTTAACAAAAATCAGAAGCCTAGCAAGATTTCTTTGCAAGGTTTGACAGCTCCTTAAGTTCTTGCATTGTTTTTTAGTCCTTGGCTTTTTCATATAACTTTTAAAAGGAACCTTTTTAAAGGAACCTGTCAAACCCTGCAAAGAAATCTTGCTAGCCTTCTGATTTAAACTGTCTTGAATCTATCAATAAATTCATAGAGAATTAACATCTTTATGATACTGAATCTGTCATGAATGTGGAAAAGTTCTATTTATTTTGGTCTTCTCTAATGTCGCCTAAGAAAATTCTAAAGTTTTCTCCATAAAGATCTTGTATACTTTTTAAATTTATAAATGGCATCTCCTAAAAATTAGATTTTTCTAACCAATTTCTGCTTATCTGTAGACATGCAATTGAATTTTATTTATGGATTGTACATCCAGCAACTTTTTATCCCTTATTAATTCTAATAACTGACATGTAAATGCTGGATTTTCTATGTGCACTGCCTTCTCATCTGCAATAATGAGAGTTATGCTTCTTCCTTTCACTCTACAGGTGAATATAAGCAACTGTGATCTCCAAACTCAAAGGGAAAACTTTCTAAGTTTTATCATTAAAGTATGAAGTCTGTTGCAGGTTTGGTTTTTTGTTTTTGTTAATAAATACCCTATATTGGGTAAAGAAATTTTCCTTATATTGCTAATTTGATTTGAGATTTGTTTTATTACAAATGCTTTTTTGGATTTTATTGTGTTTTTTCTGAATTTTTGAGATATATGTACTTTTTCTCCTTTAATCTTTCACCACATTATCAATTTTAGCATGTGTTAAACCCTACTTGGTCCCAGAATAACATTTCCATTTCATGGAATTTACCCATTTATTCTAAGTTTTCACATATATTAGCATAAAAGTATTTACAATATTCTATTTCCAATTCTGAAGCATTTATAGTTGTATCACCTTCTTCACCCTTAATCATTCATATTTTTTAAGACAATGAAGTAAATCTTTCATTTATGGCAGGCTTTAGAATGTAGTCTGGACAGTTAGTATTTATTACCTTTCTGTTCGGCTCTCTGGTCCTCCAGCTCTTTCTTAGGAGTTTTAGGTTTTATCAATTCTTTGTCCCAGGCAGCCAAAGCTTGTTTTTCCATTTGACGAATTTCTGCCTCCTCTGCATCTAAACGTCGCTTCCACTCTAATAGCTCTTCTGCATGCTGTCGTCGCTGCATTAGCTTTTGCTCTCGCTTTGTCAGAAACCTATGGTCACATCATGAAGAATAGTGAGAAAACAAATCTATAGGCAGAAATCACTTAAAGAGGTTTATTATTCATTATATTAGCAACAAACTGCATAATAACAGGACATTCATAATATTTCTCTGAAAATAGTTTTTGAGAGAACAGAAGCTTTGTAAGTGATCTTATTCAGGAAATGAGGGAATTCATGTTCTACTTGTAGTTAACTGTTTGGAAGATTAGCAAAGGAAAAACAGTGGTAAATTCAGAAAAAATTTTTTTCAGAATATTCAGCCAACCATGACTGATAGTACTTATATATTCATTCTTCAAAGGTGGTTCTTTTTTCATAACAGAAGGTATAAAGCATTTATTCTGAAGGCTCAGACCAAAAAACACACAAACTCAAAACAACAAAGACCAAAACAACAACAAAAACCCCCAAAATCCCAAGCAAGCAAGCAAACAAAAGACATATTCTTGTCCCTTTTTGACCTTTATTTCAAATTCAGTCTGGTTTTGCTTCAGGTATAGTGAAGCATTACCTGGGAGATGCCATGTCAAGTGAAATCTATATCTGTTTTTCATGGAGAGAAACAATGAGCACCACAGTCAGATGCCTTACGCATAAAACATAACTATTTATTTATTTGAGTAAAAAAAAGGAAGCACCAAATCCTCAAACTTCTCAATTTAACCCAATCTCTGAAATTAGATAGCCTAACAGATCTTGACTCCCAAGGGTTATAGTATTGATTTAGGAAAAGTTATTTGAGAAGTTAAAAAGCTTCTATTAAGCTCTCCTCAAATGTAGATGCCACAGCTAAATAAAAGGTGGGCTGCTCATATTACAAGTGTTAGATCTGTAGTGGTAGCTAACCAACAAAAATGCATTCACATATCCAACACACACTTAATAAAAAGCACAAGAACTGTCACTCTACTTTTTGAGCAATCAGCATGTCAAATAATTGTGGGAACAAAAAGGTAAAATCTATGGGACATTTGACAAGAGGCCCCTAGGCGGTTAGAAAAAAGAAAGAAAGAAAAAAAAAGGCAATAAAAACAAGCAAAAAGAACAGAGCATGCTCTATCAAAGAGTGCACTGAAAAAGGTGCAAAGTTACCTGACCAACTGGTTGTAGATATACAGCTGGAATTTGGGATGAAGGTTGGGAAAACAGACACTGAGAGAGGCCCAGTGATGAGACGTAAAGACAGAGAAGAAGTAGTGAACAGGAGAGCAGTGTCTACAAAATAAGGAGGAAGATTTTAAAACCAAGAGATCAAGAGGTAGAAAGAATGAGAAAGGGAAAGCATAAGAGCCGAGCACAGAACTTTAAATATGCTTCCTGAATAACATTATAAGCCACTTGGTTAAAGCAAGTGTTATACTTTGTGTGACATATAAAACATTTGCTTTTATAGATCTTACCAATGATTTCTGAATATACGTGTCTTTCTTCTCAGATGCTGCTTAACCATCATCTATACTTTCAGGTAAATTTATTTGTGAGTAAGGTAATGAGGAGTGTGAAGCTAAATACATTTTTTTCTCATAAGCTTTAACACAGAGTACAATTATGGCCATGAACCTAGCATATCAGCAGTTCTATACACATACGTAATCTTAAACAAGTAATTTTTATATCTGTGTCTTATTATATATTTTAAACTTGAATTTAAATTTAAAAAGCACTGCATTTGCCTTAACTCACCATCATAATCTAGCTTGAAAATAGTAATATAGTTTAGAAAATCAATTTATAGTTAAGCTATCTTGTTCACATCTACAACATAAAACTTACTGCTAACTGAACCTACTGGAGCTATCTTGCTTTATTTTTAACAAAGGCCCATTTAAACAATAATACTGGAATATAATACCCATTCTATAAAATATTAGGGTGCATAATTAAGAATAAACTAAGTAGGAATTCCCTAGGAATCCAGTGATTAGGACACGGCACTTTCACTGCTTTGCTGCAATGGCCCAGGTTTGATCCCTGGTTGGTGAACTAGGATCCTGCAAGCCGCATGGTGTGGCTCCCCACCCCGAAGAAGAGATAATAAACTAAACTAGTTCCAATAAATACTACCAGTAGTTTAAAAGAAAAAAAAAAATCATGCTGTGGACAGTTCAATCAATCATAAGGTTAAAAGTAGTAAGAAATTCCATATGTTAAACTTATAAAAGTAGGAAAAAAGCACTAGTTTCGCTCTCTTTTCAAAAAAATTTTAAATAGATCATTGTATATGAAAGGATACATAAGTCTAGTAATAGGTTTAAATTTAAATTTAAAATTTAAATTTAAATTAGATTTAAATAGGTTTAAAAAGGTTAATTCTCTTTGACAGAGCATGCTCCTGCTCACATGCACACAGTAACTTGTAGATTAAGGCCAACACTTATTGCCTTGGAAGAGCAAGGAATAATATATCAGTAAGTCACAGAAGTGAGAAAATCTAGGTATGAATCCAGTCACTCATTTGGAATTTTAAAAGTATGTAGAATCTTGACTACATGCATATCTTTAGATAACTACATGTATAGATGATTTCAAGTCTGTTTCCCCACATACAACTTAATATTCACTTTCTCTCTCTCCCCCCCCCTTCCTTCTCTCTACTGTTTCTGGATTGCCTTGATTTTCTGCACTGAAGTGCAAGGAAAAACAATTTTACCAACTTTCAATAAAACACTGCACTCTTCCTCACCCCTCTTTATGAATGTATAATAAACTTATTTTGATGCCAATTGTCAAAATATTATGCAAAAACAAATGTACTTCAAAAAAGATTCAAAAATTCTATTCATAACATTCAAATATCACCCACCCTCTTAAGTATATAGCAGCTAAATGCATGCATGACCTAGTAGAAGAAGTAGAATATTGGAACATGTGAAATAAACTGTAAAACAAAAAATACATATTAAATGTTTCTGTCCAATTCAATATAGAGAATAATAACTTTCTCTCTTAGAACAAATACTAATCATTTACTTCTCATTTACAAAGATTAAAGCATATTCAAAAGCTCTAGGGTAGAAATGAACAACAAAAGAAATGCTAAAAAAAGAAAGCAGTATAAGAGATAGTGTTAAGAAAAGTTTAAAGTTGGAATTTCTTCCCACAAATATGTTCCTTACTTAATATACATATATTCTAGAATTCAAGAGGGTCCTCCAAAAGTTGATTAAAATTGAGATAAAAGCAGTAATACTTCACACTAGAGTTAAAAATCCTTCAAGATGCTGCACAAGTAAGAAATAAACAAAATTATGAATGATGGAGACACAAATGCCTACTCATAGAAAATGCCACTGATACACCTTATGGCTGTTGTCAAGGCATTCCTCAACAAGGCCTCTGGTGGTTACAGAACACTGGATGAGGATGAGATATATGACAGATTTAATCTAGTATGGAAATAATGTTCCTATAATGCTTAAGCCTAAGTAATTCAAAGAAAGTCAAAATGTTAGACTCTAAACTTCAGGCATGCAGCTATTGAACCTTAGTAATCTGCCACTGAGCACTTTCCCAGCTTCAACAAATACTATTTAGAAGGTCAATTTCTACCAAGACAACTTTAAGTTAAAAAAAAAAAGTCACAAAATTGAAAACAGATATGCTAACTTAATTTTCACTATAGCTGGCTGAAGTCCACAGGGCAGGGTTCTAATTCGAGCTCTGCCATTATGCTACCTGTGTGACCTAGGGCAAGGCACTCAATCTCTGTTGGCCTCAATTTCATCCTGTAGAATCAAGAGAATGTAATAGATGACTTCCCTAAAATTCCCTAATTTCAACATTTTATGATTCTTTCTTTGTTTAAGTACCTTCTCACACTATTTGAAAAATACATACCTCAACACATTGCTAGACCATATGACATGAGAACCCTTTTTTCCCACTGAGCTAATAGTGCATTGTATTCCAACAGATTCTAAAACTGTTACAATTTGAAAGAGCAGAATTATGATCTAAATTTTAAATAAAACTTTCAATTCTAAAGTCATCTGATTCTGAAAGATATTAAACAAAACACAAAACCTAACATCTTAAATTCTTTTTTTTCTGGATCTAAACAATTCTTTAATTCTATATTGTTACAAGTAAAAATGAAACAGTGCTCTTAATTTTAAAATGAATCAATTCTTTCATTTCTAATGATATTCAAAAAAGATAAATGAGCATATGGATAGTATTGACATAAAAGAAAACACAGTCTATTCTTCCTACAGAAAAATCTATTGAATTGTTTAATAATCTGCATCTACTGTACTTAAATAAATAATACAGGTGCATTATCCCTAATCTAGGAAGTAAAGGGAAAAAAGAGCTTCTTATTAGACTATCAGGATTTATTCATCCACTACACTTAGTCTAAAACTTTCTCTAAGAAAACTGAATATCTAATTTAGGCAATGATATTTAATACATTGTTTAAATTTTTAATTCAAATATCTTCTTTAATGGAATAGTGCAAATCCGAAGTATTTAATTTTGAACACTCATCAAGAAAAGCTCTGTGATATGTACTCTTTTCAGTAAAAATTTCTTCTTCTGAGTTTCCTTAGCATTAGACTTATATACTTTACTAACGGAATCTGATATTTATTCTTTTTTCCACCTAGACAGTAAGCTTTTCAAGAGCAGGGTTTATGTTTGATTCATCTTCACATCCCTCAGAACCTACTATATTCACACAATTCTCAGTAAATAATTGCTGAGAGAATAAGTATACAATTAATAAATAAAGAACAAGCTGCTGTTAACAAATGAAAGAAAAAGTGCACTATGTCCTGTTTTAACACTTAATGAGGAAGATAACATCATTCTTTCAGTGTTTCATTTGCTCAGTAATTAATTTTCCTAAAACAGAACTGTCAACTTAACAGGAAGTCACTGCATGGTTTTTCCCCCATGAGTATCTGTTTCACAGCTTTATACTGTAAATAATACCCCTCACTGCAGTAAACAAAACTCAGATTTCATTTACCAATAATCATAAAAAAACTGAGGGCTAGACAGTGTGGCTTTTGCAAACATACTGATATTTTCCTTGTAACTAACTTTTCCGATAGTTTAAATTTCTTTTGCTTTTCACTATATTGAGAAATGGAAATTATTTCTAAAATGTCAATGTGTTAAATAGGTCAAGAAAAACCACAGATTAGAAATTTTAACAAAGGTGTTATTGTTTCAGGGAAACATTAATGAAGGAAACCTTTAATTGTAGACAAGAATAGTTTCAACATTTCAGAAAAAATATTTATCACAGAATCAAAGTTCAAAGAGTTAACAATAAGCAGTAATACATAATGAAAAAGTTCCTCCCAAAGTTAACTTATTGAGAAGGTTGACTATTTTCTGACAGGTATTTTATATTAATAAAATAGTAATTTCTTGGAAGACTGCCTTTTCCAATCTACAAAACAAAAAATAGTGCTTAGTAGCAAAGGCATAAATGATTTTGTTATTAGTTATTTACTGTAGCAAATGACTACAAAATTAACTCATTCTACTTATTGAGCTGACATACCAACATTGTTGAAAGAGATCGAACTCTAAAGCTTTGGTAATCTGAATAGTATTCAAAAATTAGTTTTCACATTACAGTAGGGGTTTGAACTCCATAGGTCCACTTACATGTGGATTTTTTTTTTCAATAAATATTGTAGTACTGCATGACTGTGGTTGGCTGAATCCGAAGATGTATAACTGCAGATACAGAGGAACCACGTATATAGAGGAATCACAAATATTAAAAAGCAGAGACATTACTTTGCCAACAAAGGTGTGTATAGTCAAAGCTATGGTTTTTCCAGTAGTCACGTATGGATGTTAGAGTTGGACCATAGAGAAAGCTGAGCACCAAAGAATTGCTGCTTTTAAACTGATGTTGGGAAAGACTCTTGAGAGTCCCTTGGATTGAAAGGAGATCAAACCAGTCAATCCTAAAGGAAATCAGTTTTGAATATTCACTGGAAGGACTGATGCTGAAGCTGAAACTCTAGTACTTTGGCCACTTGATGTGAAGAACTGACTCACTGTTCAAGACCCTGATGCTGGGAAAGATTGAAGGCAGGAGGAGAAGGGGACGACAGAGGGGGATGAGATGGTTGAATGGCATCACTGATATGATGGACATGAGTCTGAGCAAGCGCCAGGAGGTGGTGACAGACAGGGAGGCCTGGCATGCTGCAGTCCATGGGGTTACAAAGAGTTGGGACACGACTGAGCAACTGAACTGAACTGATCATAGAAGTTATAGGTGAACTTTCAACCATGTGGATGGTCAACATTCCTAATACCTCTGTCCCTCACTGTTCAAGGATCAACTGTATATTGTTTTAGAGATCTTTTTAAAAATTGCATAACAATAACCTCCCTTTTTAATGCATTGCTAGTTTTGAAAAAATACACCTGTTCATCCTCAAATTTCAGGATCATCTTCCAAACATTAAAGCTAATTTCTTTGCTGTCTTTACCCCATCCCTTCCATAAACACAAAAGTATTGTTTCAACAGTAAATCAAGAAGTCACTGAATGCTTCAAGGCCTATGCTCTTTGACAAATTTCTCAAAAAGTTATTGCAGTAGTTGACAAAGGAAGGGAGAGCAATGTTGCAAAAAATTCTAGGTTTAATATTTGGGGCTCTGAGAAAATAACAAAACTTGGAACAAAGTCAATATATTCAACTTTTGTTATTTAGGGTTTTTAAAACTTTAACAAAATTGGAAATAAACACCACATAAACTGACTAATCTTACAAGCAGAATAAGCAGTTCCTTCCACAGGTGTGATTAAAATTTTTAGAATATTATTCATAGAGACCAGCAATGAAGATTTCACTGGTATAGACAAGCTAGAAATCAATGAAGAAATTTCACATGAAGCTTTTTTTCCTCCAACACTTATGATCCAAAGGCATTTAAGAGGCAGATAGAAAATGCTTAATCAGTTATGAAAATTTATGAGATAGATTATTCTGAATTAAAGATCCCTGGAGTAATACAGTATGCCCACATAGGCTACTGGAAAGTTTGTCAGGAAAGGAAGCAAGAATTCCTACTTGGATACATCTTAATTGGTCTAGCCCATGGAAATCTCAGAAAAGGCATTCTTATAACATTTGTAAATATTCAGTTTTCACTCCCTTATACTTTTTATTTTAAAAATTTATGTTTATTTTTTAAACTTATTTTCATAATCAATTTAGGTATTTTTAAGTTGTGAAATGCCAATTTTAAGTTACTGAAATGCAATTTCAATTAAGCAATGAAGTGCCAGTGTACAACAGTATACTTACAGTAAGTAAGATTTGACTTAGGAACTGTTTGACTGTTTAGAACCTAAATCATAAGCTAATATCACATATAAACATAGAACATCATTAAATTTGGTGAAGGGTAGTATACTGCCAAAGGATATCAAGGTACAATTTAAGTTCAATCTGTGGTTCAAACTGCTAACAAAAAATAGCAATCAACAAAAATTTTAAAGGACCTCTCTTCCATATTTAAAGAAGGTAGAAAATAGTCTACAAGCAGCTACTTTAAAGTATATTTAATTAAATGTACATGCAAAAAAGTAAACTGTCAGGTAAATGTCATTGGTATGGTCAAAGCTGGCATACGACTGAACTATATCCAAGTAGCAGTAGCTTTCTCAAAGAGTCTTTAAAAATAATACTTAGAAATATATTAGAAGAATGGTGGATAGCCAAATCATTCAACATCCCAGGAGAATTTCAGACTTTATGGTTTTAACTGAGCAACTCAGAATCACTCACAAGTTTAAGAGTTCACTCTTCTACTTGAGTAAGCCTGAGAGTTGTCAGAGTCACAAGATAAGATCTCAAGCTGTACCACTGAATTGTTTTCCCAAGTTAGTGGACATGTCCTCAGATTTCAGAAAAGATAAAAATTTCACACTTACTCATCACTTTTAATAATAGCAAGGAGAAAACATTATCATGTGTATATCTGCAAATACTACTTTAGTTTTAAAATAAGAAACTTGGCTACATTTAAAATAGAGAAAATTTGTTTTATAAATAAGGTCTGTAGTTAACTGACTTACAGGATGACTTAATCTACTAAAATGCAACTGAAGCCATAAAATATTATGTTGTATCAATCTAATCTAATGAAGTACATTAAAAATATTATTTGTTGCTACTACTTTCAGTGTAAACGAGATATTTTTAAAAATGAATTACTTTTCATCCATGCGGCTTCTCATTTTCTTCAGTTTCTGCATAATGCTGCTTGTTTCACTGCTGGAGATTGAAATAGGGGAAGGACTGCGGGTCTCCAAGTCAGTTGGGGCAGGACTGGCTGCTTTATTATCCTTTGTGTCATCATCGCTATGAGATTCCTGCAAACAAGGGGGTAAAGTGTTATACTGGAATTTAAGATCTCAAACTGATTTAAACACTGTCATCTCAAAACTAATTTATCTTCTAAACAGTATTTGTAAAATAGCAGAAATTAAGGTATTACTTAAAGGACAAAATTATATTGCACAAGTAAAATGTATATATATGTCCTAACACAGTCCCTAGATTTGTTGCTTAGGAGGAATAAAACCTGAATAGCAATAAGCATGCCTAGCACCAGATCTTGATTTCTAAATAAGTATCCTCTTTGGAGAAAGAGCTGAAACCAAGGTTGAGGCAGGAAAAGTAAAAAATGACTGAAACATCTTGTTTCAGAAAATATGAAAGTGCTCAAAGACTGATGAGTACATGTCAAAAGGACACAGAAACCTGCCTGAGGGGCTCGTTTAACGGCTCAACTTAAGAAAAGGTGAGTATCAAAACAAATAATGATAGTAACAGATTTTAATGCTGAGTAAAACAGGAATCCGTGAGTCCATACTGACATAAATAAAAGAATAAATTTAACTCTGATGAAGAACAGGAATCAATGTAGTCTCAAAATACCACCATGCAAAGTACTTATTAATCACAAAAGGAAAGAGGGTAACTATACAGTTAAGTATGGTAGATGTCACCCTCACTGTACAGTTACCCTCTTTCCCTTTGTGACTGAGTCAACATCAACCCATTCCAGTATTTTTGCCTGGAAAATTCCATGGGCAAAGAAGCCTGGCAGGCTATAGTACATGGGGTCACAAAGAGTCAGAGCGACTGAACATGCATGCACACACATCAGTAATGAGATATATCGACATCAGGTACCACCTGATCGAATGCAGAGAAGAACACAGCATCATATCTGTGATATTCCTGCTAAAGATGCATAAACTGAATCTAATTATGAGGAAGCATCAGACAAACCCAACTTGACCATTCTACAAGTATCTGGCGTGTAATCTTCCAATGTGAAGGTCATGAGAGTCAAGGAACCTTTCCAGACTAAAAGAGACTAAAGATATATGAAAACTAAATACAATATGTGCTTCTGAACTTACCTTTTGATATAAGGAACACTATTGTGACAACTGGAGAAACTTGAATAGTGTTTGCAGATTAAATGGTAGTAATGTGTCAATATTAATTTGTTAGCAACATAACTCTTGCTCAGAAAATCAGAGCTCTTCGTGTTTGAAACTTTCTATAAATCTGAGATTGCTTCAAACTTTAAAGTTTATTTTAAAAATCAAAGCAGTGAATATTAAAGTATTATTTAACTATATTTCTATACAGTCTGAATCTTCCAACACTACACTGACACTTTACAATATTTCAGAATCAGTCCAATTTCGTTTTTGTCTGAATATCTTCTTTAGCCTTGTATCATTATATAAGACATTAGACAGCTGAAAGAGGTATCACATAAAGAGCAAAAAAATTAATTCCTCCCATTAATTCTGAAGAATATATTTGGATTGATTGGCAAAAAGCAAAGCTCTTTTTCCCAACTGAGTTTATAAATGGAAAACATTTTGAAACTGATATATGACTTATGTGTCCCATTCAAAAGAGTAATCCATGGGGAAAATAAAATTAGAACTCTCATTTTATATAAAGGCACGTACATACAACTTTATCCTGGTGTATTACTATATCATAGTGTTGGGATGAACACACATCCATCATGTAAGGAGGCAGAGTTAGGTGTTAGCAAGTAACATGAGGCAGAAAACAAACAAGAATTTCACGTAGTTTACCAATTTATTCTCCCCTGCAGACTTCAACTTCTCCTGCAGTTTTATGGTGGTCTGTCGGATCCTTTCTATCTCCTCCTGCTGTTTAAGAATCAGTTGTCTTTCCTTCCGAGCTGCCTTATTGGCTTCTTGAAGACGTTTAATTTCTGCCTAAGGTTTAAAGATTTAGGAGAGGGTTTAAAATTTGGAGGGGACAAATTCAAACTAATATTTTAGAAAGAAAATCCAATCATCACATATACAAAACTACATACATAAAGAATTTCAAGATAAAATAACACTGAAAAATTTTTTAGTAGTGGAGGAAAGATCTCTATCACTGTAAAATAATTTAACATGATTCCTTAATTTAAGTAATTATAACCACAACAAACTGATAATTTCATATCCCCTTTAAAACTTAACATACCTTTCACATTTTTCCATAGTGCCTTTTGATCGTTAGTTATTTAATAACTGCATATCATGTAAAGTAATTAATATAACCATTATTCTACTGTAAACTCCATACCAAATAATGCTTTAATGCCTATAATTGTTTCATCCCACAGGTTAGTTCTTTAGGAGATTCCAAAAAGTAGGACAAACAAATCAAAGAGAATGAATCATTTTATGGCCCTTAGAACAGTTTTTATTTATTTTTTTTCCCATTTATTTTTATTAGTTGGAGGCTAATTACTTTACAATTTTGCAGTGGTGTTTGCCATACATTGACATGAATCAGCCATGGATTTGCATGTATTCCCCGTCCAGATCCCCCCCTCCCCCCTCCCTCTCCACCCAATTCCTCTGGGTCTTCCCAGTGCACCAGGCCCAAGTACTTGTCTCATGCATCCAGCCTGGGCTGGTGATCTGTTTCACCCTAGATAATATATATGTTTTGATGCTGTTCTCTTGAAACATCCCACCCTCGCCTTCTCCCACAGAGTCCAAAATTCTGTTCTGTACGTCTGTGTCTCTTTTTCTGTTTTGCCTATAGGGTTATCGTTACCATCTTTCTAAATTCCATATACATGCATTAGTATACTGTATTGGTCTTTATCTTTCTGGCTTACTTCACTCTGTATAATGGGCTCCAGTTTCCTCCATCTCATTAGAACTGATTCAAATGAATTCTTTCTAATGGCTGAGTAATTTTAAAATTGCTTTCAGAAAAGAATTTTCTCCACATAAAATGCAAACAGAAAACACTTAAGACAACATTGCATCAAACACTCTCCACAAAGGATATTATTTTCTGTTGCTGCTGCTGCTGCTAAGTCGCTTCAGTCGTGTCCGACTCTGTGTAACCCCATAGATGGCAGCCCACCAGGCTCTGCCGTCCCTGGTATTCTCCAGGCAAGAACACTGGAGTGGGTTGCCATTTCCTTCTCCAATGCATGAAAGTGAAAAGTGAAAGTGAAGTTGCTCAGTCGTGTCCGACTATTAGCGACCCCGTGGACTGCAGCCCACCAGGCTCCTCCGTCCATGGGATTTTCCAGGCAAGAATACAGGAGTGTGTTGCCATTGCCTTCTCCGTTTCTGTTGCTAACAGTGAGCAAAAGATGACACACTTCACCATTAATAATCATTAAAATTTAACGATTATCCTTTTTTATCATAAATTTCTTGTAATCTGTTTTCTCATCAATAAAGTAAGCATAATAAAGATATGAATAACTTACTATAATTTCTTTAAATCATGTTTGAGAAATTTTGAAACTTCCTGAAAATGCAGACAAGTGCACAATAAACATCTAATTTCCAAAATCCAAAATTAACACCTGTTAATATTCTGTCATATTTCCTCTTAGTCTTAAATTTTATAAAGAACCAGAATATTACAGATAACACCAGTCTGCAATCCCCTACCCCACCCCATAAAGGTAACCACTATCATGGTATATACACTTCCACGGTATATAGCCTTTTAAAATTCTTCTACAAATATTTGTAGTTAACTGCAAAAATATATATACTGCTTGGTTTGTATAATGTTTTACAATATTTTATAAATAATATCATACATACATATTTTTAATCTTTCTTTATTTACTAAACGTTGCTTTTATATGTCTCCATGTTGATTTGTCCCTAAATCCTGCATAAAATTATATTGGAGGTGTATATATTTCATGGATCTGTTACTCCTATGGTTAGATGAGGTTGCTGTCTACTATTACAAATAATACTAAAATCAACATCCTTTCACTTTTTTCACTTTTGTCTCCTTGTATAAATTCCTCTCAAGTGCAGTTCTCAAAGTATAGTCCGTGGTCGTTAGGGGTTCCCGAGCTCCTTTCTGGGGACTCTCAAACTATCTTTGTAATACTAAGACATTATCTGTCTTTTCACTCTCATGTGTATACAATGGCATTGTGCACACTTTTAAGAAAATAACTGTATTTTCTAAAACAAAATTAGTGAAAACAGTAGTATTAAGATGTTTGCAAATCTTTATTGTCTGGCTTGATTTTTTTGTTCTCTGACTTGGGTTTTGGGATTTTTTAAAAAATATTTTAGAAAGAAGTATAGTTGATTTATAATACTGTATTAGTCTCAGTGTACAGCAAATGATTCAGTAACACATATTTTCTTCAGATTATTTTCCATTATAGATTATTATAAGATATTGAATATAGTTCCTTATGCCATATAGTAATTCCATGTTGTTTATCTATTTTATGCATAGTAGTTTATATCTGTTAATCAATCCCATACTGCTAATTTATCCTATCCCACCTTCCACTATGGCTTGATGTTTTTAAAAAAACACCATGCACTGATTATTTGGAAAATGTTTAGTTCACTCAGTTATGAAGATCTTCCAAATGTTCATACAGTTCATCATACAATACCAAGAAAATCACAATTATTATCACTATGATCCTCTAAGAAAAATTGTTTAGTTTTAGGTGGTAGATAGAAGTTTTTACCATTGGCAACAAATACTGTCAACTGTCTTCTTTGAAGTACAAGCACACTTTGTTCATTTCTGAGAAAATGACTGTCAAACACCCTAATCTGAATAAACATAGTTTGTCTCGGATAACTCTTTCAGGTAAGAGCAGTATTCCATGAAAAAATGTGGCTACCTCAGCTTGCAGCTGAAATAGCTGCACAAATGCTTTCCCATCGGTTAATCACCTTCCCCTAATATCCAGGAAAAGTGCACTGTAGGCTTCCCATTCCTGTCATGCAGAATACGAAAACAAGTACTCAAACGCCAACATAGTAAAAAATAATTTTACTAGACTTAATCAAGACATTCTTTAGTGAAATCAGCTTTTTTTTGCTGCAAGTGTATGACAATGGAAGATATAAAGACTACTAGTAGTTTGGTGCCACTGCCTTGATTTGTGCTAAATAAGGCTTCAGCAGTTTTACCCACCATTGCTGCTGCACCATTTAGTGCAAATATCAATACATAAAAATGGCAAATTCACATCTCACTGTCCTCATGAGGACAGTTTTGATCTCCTTGTCCCATGAAAAAGGTCTAAGGGATTCCCAGAGCTCTACAAAACACCTACTGAAAACTGCTACTCGCTGAGGCCCGAGTTTCTAAATCAATTAATGTATAATTTCACCCAATCCAAGACTAGCAGAAAGGAAATATTTTTTTAATGGGGTCTCAGGGGGAAATGTTTGTGTCTCTCTTAAGAATAAACCATAAGGTTGTAGAAGCAAACTGTTCACTTTATAATGATTAATGGTATATTCATTTTTAAATGCTTATTTTATGCTATGTGTGTTGTTGTTGTTCAGTCGTAAGTCATGTCTGACTCTTTGTGACCCCACAGACTGTAGCCTGCCAGACCCCTCTGTCCATATAATTCTCCAGGCAAGAATATTGGAGTGGATAACTATTCCCTTCTCCAGAGGATCCTTCCGACTCAGGGATCAAACCTGGGTCTCCTGCATTGCAGGCAGATTCTTTACTATCTGGGCTTCCCTGATAGCTCAGTTGGTAAAGAATCCGCCTGTTGTGTCCGACTCTCTGCAACCCTTTGGATGGTAGCCTGCCAAATTCTCCGTCCATGAGATTCTCCAGGCAAGAATACTGGAGTGGATTGCCATTTCCTTCTCCAGGTACTGGACAGCAGAGATACAGAATGTTACCATTATTGAATGGGTTTTATATCTAGTGCACTCTTTTTCCTGCATTGTTATATTTTCTTGGAGAAATATGCTCTATTACATCTATCACTGAAGAAATAAATTGTTTCCACTTTCCCCTATATAGTGCAAATGCTTCGAGGATATATACCAAGACACAGAAATGCGGAGTCACAGATTATATGTGTCTTCAAGTTAGCTAGATACAATCAAACTGCTCTAAAAGGGGTTATACTAGTTTCAGGAACTCTCGCCAGCTACAGAGAACTTCAATGACAAAAACTGGAGACCAAAGACAGTTAAGTCTTAAACCTGTCTTAAAACTTCAGATTTAATGCTTCAAACTCAGTCTTCCCCTCAAAGTACCTGCCAATTCTAAAGTAGCATAGACAAAAAGGCTAAGGAATTAAGCCAGAAACCTCTCAACAGCACAGCAGAAATCCTATAGTCTCTTGTGCTGGTAAAAAAAAAAGTTAACCAGGCTTTTAGCTAAAATCCCTGCAGGGTCACAATCTAGGCTCGATGCAAAGCAGCAGACTGAGGCTTACCAACACTGTAACCCAATACTGACCCAGCTCAGCCCTTGAATGGAATAAAATGAACAGCTGATCACTCCAAATGCATAGCAGAGGAAAAAACAAATCCTAAGGGAAGATAACATCATTTGGAGTCTTTGTGGTTATTTATACACACTGTCCAGCATTGACTAAAAAAAATTACTGGCATACAAAGAAAAAGGATCATATGATAATAAAAAACAACAGCAGACAAAAGTAGCAGACACACAAATGTCTAAATGATGGAGTTGGAAATAATGAATTAAAAAAGGGGGCTCAGTAGCTCAGTTGGTAAAGAATCCTCCTCCAATCCAGAAGACCCCGGTTCGATTCCTGAGTCAGGAAGATCTGCTGGATAAGGGATAGGCTACCCACTCCAGTATTCTTGGGCTTCCCTGGTGGCTCAGGTGGTAAAGAATCTGCCTGCAATGCGGGAGACCTGGGTTAGAGCCCTGGGTTTGGAAGATCCCCTACAGAAGGGAAAGGCTACCCACTCCAGTATTGTGGCCTGGAGAATTCCATGGACTGCATAGTCCATGGGGCCACAAAGAGTCAGACATGACTGAGCAACTTTCACTTTTCTTTCAAATTGAATTAAATTGCGTCTCCACGGGAACAAAGGAAAGCAGTAGACAATGGAAAATGAAATCATTAAAAATGTGGAAGGAAAATAATCCTATACCTAGTTAAAAATATCCTTCAAAAATGAAGGTAAGGGACTTTCCTTGTGGTCTAGTGGTTAAGACACCATGCTTCTGCTGCAGGGGGCATGGGCTCAATTCCTGGTCAAGGAACTAACATCCTTCATGCCACAAAGCATAGCCAAAAAATATGGGAAAAAAGAAGAAGGTAAAACAAGTATATCTTCAAACTAATGAAAGTAGAATTTGGTATCAGCAAGCATACAATAAAATAACAGATTCACCAAAATTAGAAACTGTGTGCCTCAAAGTATAGCATCAAGAAAGTGAAAACAAGCCCACAGAATGAGAAATTATATGTAAATTCAGTTTTTTCCTGCTTCACAAAGAGAAAGCTACTGTAATATTATAAAAAATTATTTATTTCAACTAAGGGAGAATTTTAAGTTACTTTAAAACCTTTTTTTTTGGATTAAAAAAATAACTTCTTTAAAAAAAAAAGTTGAAAGGTTTTTCAGCTTCGTATGACCAGTGATGCTTCCTCAGGTGAACATTTTTTTTTTGGCTATGCTGTGTGGCTTGTAGGATTTTAGTTCCCCAACCAGGGACCGAACCTGGACCACAGCAATAAAAGCACCAAATCCTAACCACTGGATCACCAAGTTATGGGGTCTATGGCAAAGTTAAACAAAAACAAACTATTAAGTAACACTCCAATATATAACTCAAATGATTAAATTCATAGATTATCCAACATAGCAGCTAGTACCTGGCAACAGGTCAATAAAGGGAAACTAGAGTTTATTAAATACTTATCAGGCAATGTGAAACATTTTATATATGTTACCTCATTTAATCCTCACAACCACCATATGAAACATAATCTCACTTCAATAGATGGGGAGACTAAGGCTCAGAGAGTTACTTAAACTTGACCATGATTACACAGTTGCAACCGGCAAAGCTGGAATTCAAATAATAACAACTAACATTTATTGAGCATTTACCTTTGTGCCAAGGTCTGTTCTAAATTTATTATATATATTTACTCATTTATTCCTCTCAACAACAAATTATGTTATTACTATTATGATCAGTTTATAGAAATGAAACTGAGGCACAGATAAGTAACTTCAAGATTATAAAACTAATAATTGGTAGATCTGAGATTTTAATCTAGGCAATCTGAATTTAGGGCTTCCCTGATGGCTTAGTGGTAAAGAATCTGTCTGTCAATATGGGTCAATCCCTGGGTCGGGAAGATCCCCTGGAGAAGGAAACGGCAATCCATTCCAGTATTTTCACCTGGGAAATCTAATGGACAGAGGAGTCTGGTGGGCTCCAGTCCAGAGGCTTGCAAAGAGTTGGACATGACTCAGTGACTAAACAACAACAATCTGAATCTAGAGCCTGAATTCTTAACCATGACACTACACTACCTCTCCAGGATTCAAACCCCAGGTCTTGCTAGGTTCACTAAGCCTAAATATTTGTCAATTTGTAATTCATGTATCTTAAAAGTCTATTTAGGGAAACAATGACTAAAAAGTTAATCCAATTAGACTTACAAATATTATAATTTTTAAAATATGCATATCAAAACACAATTGTACAATATTTTACAGAGCAAATGAAAGCAGAAGGTTTGACTCAATATTGTATTCTGTTAGCAGTGAAGCACAATCCTAATTTAGAAGAAATACAGTAGGCCATTAAGCAACTCTTGTAATTATAGTAGTAGGCATAAAGAGTGGTTAATATCAACTAAATATCCTTCAATGAGATAGTAAGAAAAAAAGATTAGGTAAAATAATAGATTTCACAATCTAGTTTGTCCCCTTTGTTTTTCCTAACATACCTTTTCTTGCTGCAACCTTAAGAGCAAACCACGCTGTTTCTTCCGGAGTGGGGGCATTTTATCATCTTCACCTTTATCTCGTAGATGTCTGTAATCATTCCCATTGAGACAAAATTAGTTTAAATTCCTATTCTAATATCAAGAATTCCCAACCCCTTAAAGTCTTTAAACCATTTAACATTTTCAAATGTAGAAAACAGTTGCTTCATGCAGCAATTCCTATCCCAACCAATATTTTATTGGATATGTGATATAAGCAAATCTTAGACTATGTCCTTTAAAGATAGAATAGCTTTGAGAATCTATAACACAATAAAGTAGTTAAGCATAAAAGAACAATATAAGAGTCAGTTAAGTGATGGGAGAAACGCAAAGAGAATGTTGTATGAGTAGGAGGTCTTGAAAGCAACATGATCCAATGATGACTGTTGTTACTTCTAGCTTGAGAAACAGGGTTGATCAAATTAAATGAGGAAACAAAAACATCTTTAAAAACAAAGCATTTCATGAAAGGAGAAACTGAACAGTCAAAATTATGTTCATTGAAAGAAATTACTTTTTCTGATGCTCTAACCAGGCTAGTTCAGCTTTAGTTTTCTCCTTCAAGGCCTTTTCACGGAGACGCAGGAGTGAAGACTGGTGAGCTGCCCTCATTTCCTCTTCTTTCATATATTGTCGAACCATCTCCATAGTAAATTTAGAAAAGCTGTCTTGTCCTCCTGAGAATGGCATGCTCAGCTCCTGAGTTAGAGAGTTTAAGTCATCTTGATCACTGTCTATACCTTTTGGAACTTAATTAACTTCATTAAAAGAGGTATGATCTTATAAAAATAAATTACATATATAGAAAGGCTGCCAACCATGTTAAAGAACATTCTTCAAAAAAAAGGCACATGAGAGAGAAAGTAACACTCAACTGCTAATTTATTCACCCAATAAAATGTTAATAAATAACTAGAGTGAGTCAGGCACTGTCCCAGGGATGGTAAGAATTTGTCCCTGTTATCCAAAAGGCTTAAAATTGAATAAGAAGAATTATATAAATGCAATTTTTTAAATGGAATAAAGTGTTGTAAGACTGAAGTGAATGAAAAAGCTAAAGATATAACTTTAGCTCACATCCTAAGAGGTCTTATGTATTATTTCGAAGAATATGTTTATAAGCTACTTTATAAGGAAAGCAAAGCTAAATTTTATACTCCCCCCCCAAAAAAAACCCTCAAATTGGTACCTTAGGAAAAATATTCTGGTAGCTGACAACTGAGTTCAAATACAAAATGATACCTCATACCTTTGAGAGACCATATCCACAACTATATATGAAGTATCTCCACGGGTAAACTGAAACACACCTTGGCAGAGGACAGTGTAGTCTTTTCTGGGGAAGTTTCTTCATCAGAGTCTTCATGATGGCCTCTTTTCTTTTCCATGTTAAATCTGCGATGACTCTCAGAAGGGAGTAAAGAGCGAAATGATTTTTCTTCTATTTCATCTTCTGTCATGGATTCATCAAATTTCAGGGAATATTCTGTTGCAACAGAAGTTGAATCTAAAAGAATATGGAGCAAGAAGACGTTATCATTACAAAAGTTTCAGTAGATATTCAATTAGTAGCCCCTGTTGCATCTTTACAGGACCATCTAACAAATTAAAGAACTGAACACTAGTAATTAATAGGCATAGAATAATAAGCAAAATTCACTCACTTTACAAACAAGAAACAGAAAAAAACCTAAAAGATCTAAAAATACTAGTACAAGAAATATGGCCAAACTGTAATGTACTTCATATCTAAAGAGCTCTTATAAATCAATCAGAAAACCAGTCGATGGGGTTGCAGAGTTGGACACAACTGAGAAACTAGACAACAAAGACCCCTACAGAAAAATGAGAAATTGCCATGATATGATGCTTCACAAAGGAAATATTAAAGGCCAAAATTAAGTTTTTTACAAAAGACTAACATGACTAGAAGTCAAAGAAATGCAAATGAAAAAATTTTTAGAAATTCATCAATCCCATGCTTAATTAAAAACGTAACAGCTCTTTTAGGTTGGCTCCTGTGTGCCTTTGACATTCCCCCTGCCCTTCAATCCTTTTTTTCACTTCATATTTTCCCTGTATAGTCCTAGAATCAGTCATTTCTCCAAAGAGCTCTGGTTTCTTTTATTGGAGAGTATTTAGAAACCATAATCTTGGTATGGTTGTCCTTATAACTACTGGGTGGGCCATTGTTGCTTCTCCACTCTCCCTTAGTGGACTGAGCTTCTTTCTCCACTCTCAGTGGAGAGAGTCAAGTAATATTAATAAATGCAGGTATACTAACCCATCTACACACACACGTTCCTGTATCCATCCACCCATCCAAACATGATCCATACTGATGTTTCTGACTCTGATCCTGTATCACAGGATTCATTCTAGTTTTCCTTTCTTGTATGTCTATAATTTCTATCTCCAACACTGAGAAATCTATTTCCCACAATTTAACATCCATTTACTTATCTGTTCAACCCCAACAGATACATAAACAACTGTAAACTGTCATCTGTGAAAAACAAATTTACCAACTAGGATACAGAGTTTGTATACTATTCCTTTTGTATTTAAGCTTACAATTCCCACTGGAAAATACCATTTTCCAAACTTATCTGGGCCAGCTCCTTTTCCCTCCACCCCCACCCTTTCAGTGTGGTTGTGCTATTCACTTGTACTGCACTTAAGCTGATTTGTCACAGACTGCATTCCATCCTGGGGCCTCCCCATTCCAACAAGCTGGTTAGTGTGTGTGTGTGTGTGTGTCTTTAGTTTGCATACGTTAAAGCTTACTCTTCATAATGTACAGTTTTAGGGTTTTGACAAATGCACATCAGACAGTACATGCTGAACACACAATACCTTACTACGTAACAGCTGTTTCACACTAAAAGTTCTTCTGTGCATCTCTTTGTAGTCTATCACTTTGTCTTCCACCTCATACCTGGGAACCATTCATCTGTTTTCCACCCCTATAGTTTGGCCTTTTCCAGAATGTCATATAAGTGGAATCATACAATATATATGATTTGGGGGCTTTGGGGGTTTGCTAACTGCACTCAGTAAAATTCACTTAAAACTGATTCGTGTTGGTCCAAGAATCAAATTATTCCTTGCTGAACAGGATTCCACTGCATAGATTTAGCAGTATGTTTATCCATTACCCTCATGAGATATCTTGATTACTTCCAGTTTTTTAGCAATTGTGAATAACGATGCCATGAGCATTAACATATAGATTTTTGTGTGGACTTAAGCTTTCAGATCACTAGGTAAATACCTAGGCATATGACTGCTGGGTCATTATAAAATACTGTGAATATATCATCCAGAGGCACCATGATATTTTACATTTTCATCATTGATGAATTCAAGTTCCTGGTGCCCAGGATCCTTGCCACCAATTTGTTGTTATTTTGGATTTCAGTCATTCCAACAGGCAAGTTACAGTATCTCACTGAGATTTTAATTTTCATTTCCATATAAATATATGATATTGGAGACAATGAAGACCTTTGCCATGTCTACGTGCCATTTGTATGCTTTCTTCAATGAAGCATCTGTTTAGATCTCTGCATATTTTTTAATTGGGTTGCTGATTTTCCTGTTGAGTTTTAAGAGTCTTTTATATATTCTGGAGATAAGTATATTATCCAATATGTGTTTTACAAATATTTTTTAACAGTCTGTGATTTTTCATTATCTTAATAATCTCTCTCACAGAGAAGAGTTTAAAAATTTTTAATAAAGTACATCATGTCAATTTCTTCCTTCATGGATTGTAATTTTGGTGTTATATTTAAGAAATCATTGCCAAACCAAAGTAACCTAGATTTTTTCTTACTTTCTTCTTCATATTAGTCTTTCAAAGTTTTAATTTCTTTGGATCTTGGTTGCCCATCAATTCTAGCCACCTTAATCTTCTATAGGCATGTTCACAGTTGGATAGCTCTAATGTCTCATCCCACAGAATCCCAGAAGTCTGAAAGCTTTCCTTCTTCATCCTGTCTCTTGCCCATTAATCCAAACCAGTTATGTCTCTGCTCATACAATCCCATCTGTATTCCGGGCTTCAGCTGAACATGCTGAGGTGGCTGATTAAATCCACGGGCAATGTCTTTATGAAGTAACTGTCCACTCGCACCCTTAATGTTCTCTCCGGAACTCGCCTTCTCCTTTTTTTTACAATATGCACAGCCTGAGAATTTTCCAAATCTTCAAATTCTGGTTCTTTTTTGCGGAATAATTCCTTCAATTTATTTCTTCTTTCACATTTTACTATAAGCAGTAAGAAGAAACTAGGCCAGGCCTTCAATGTTTTGCTTAGAAATCTCCTCAGCTAAATATCCAGGGTGATCACTTTTAATTTCCACTTTCCACAAAACATGGTCCACTGGAGAAGGGAATGGCAAACCACTTCAGTATTCTTGCCTTGAGAACCCCATGAACACTATGAAAAGGCAAATAGGTATGACACTGAAAGCTGAACTCCTCAGGTCGATAGGTGCCTAATATGCTACTGGAGAAGAGTGGAGAAATAACTCCAGAAAGAATGAAGAGATGGAGCCAAACAAAAATACCATCCAGTTGTGGATGTGACTAGTGACCGAAGTAAAGTCCAATGCTGTAAATAGCAATATTGCATAGGAACCTGGAATGTTAGGTCCATGAATCAGGACAAATTGGAAGTGGTCAAACAGGAGATGGCAAGAGTGAACACTGACATTTTAGGAATCACTGAACTAAAATGGACTGGAATGGGTGAATTTAACTCAGATGACTATTGTATCTAATACTATGGACAAGAATCCCTTAGAAGAAATGGAGTAGCCATCATAGTCAATAAGAGAGTCCAAAATGCAGTACTTGGATGCAATCTCAAAAATGACACAATGATCTCTGCCCATTTCCAAGGCAAACCATTCAATATAACAGAAATCCAAGTCTATGCCCCAACCAGTAATGCTGAAGAAGCTGAAGCTGAATGGTTCTATGAAGACCTTCTAGAACTAACACCCAAAAAAGATGTCCTCTTCATTACAGGTGACTGGAATGCAAAAGTAGGAAGTCAAGAGCTACCTGGAGTAACAGGCAAATTTGGCCTTGGAGTATGAAACAAAGCAGGTCAAAGGCTAACAGAGTGTTGCCAAGAGAATGCATTGGTCATAGCAAACACCCTCTTCCAATAGCACAAGAGAAAACTCTACATATGAACATCACCAGATGGTCAATACTGAAAACAGATTGGTTATATTCTTCACAGCCAAAGATGGAGAAGATCTATACAGTCAGCAAAAACAAGACCAGGAGCTGACTGTGGCTCAGATTATGAACTCATTTTTGCCAAATTCAAATTTAAATTGAAGAAAGTAGGTAAAACCAATAGACCATTCAGACCAATAGACCCTTATGATTATACAGTGGAAGCAACAAACAGATTCAAGGGATTAGATGTGACAGAGTGCCTGAAGAACTAGGGACAGAGGTTCGTGACACTGTACAGGAGATAGGGATCAAGACTATCTAAAGAAGAAGAAATGCAAAAAGGCAAAATGGTTGTCTGATGAGGCCTTACAAATAGCTGAGAAAAGAAGAGAAGCTAAAGGCAAAGGAGAAAAGGAAATATATACCCATTTGAATCCAGAGTTCCAAACAATAGCAAGGAGAGATAAGAAAGCCTTCCTCAGCTATCAATGCAAAGAAATTGAGGAAAACAACAAAAAGGAAAAGACTAGAAATCTCTTCAAGAAAATTAGAGGTACCAAGGGAACATTTCATACAAAGATAGGCATAATAAAGGACACAAATGGTATGGACATAACATAAGCAGAAGATACTAAGAAGAGATGGCAAGAATACACAATAGAACTATACAAAAAAGATCTTCATGACTCAGATAACCACAATGGTGTGATCACTCATCTACAGCCAGACAACCTGGAATGTGAAGTCAAGTGGGCCTTAGGAAACATCACTACGAACAAAGCTAGTGGAGGTGACAGAATTCCAGTTGAGTTATTTTAAATCCTAAAAGATGATGCTGTGAAAGTACTGCACCCAATATACCAGCGAATCTGGAAAACTCAGCAGTGGCCACAGGACTGGAAAAGGTCAGTTTTCATTCCAATCCCAAAGTAAGCCAATGTCAAAGAATGTTCAAACTACTGCACAGTTGCACTCATCTCACATGCTAGTAAAGTAATGCTCAAAATTCTCCAAGTCAGGCTTCAACAGTATGTGAATCATGAACTTCCAGATGTTCAAGCTGGATGTAGAAAAGGGAGAGGAACCAGCAATCAAATTGCCAACATCCACTGGATCATCAAAAAATCAACAGAGTTCCAGAAAAACATCTACTTCTGCTTTATTGACTATGCCAAAGCCTTTGACTGTGTGGATCACAACAAACTGTGAAAAATCCTTAAAGAGATGGGAATACCAGACCACCTGACCTGCCTCCTGAGAAATCTGTATGGAGGTCAGGAAGCAACAGTTGGAACTGGACATGGAACAACAAACTGATTCCAATTCAGGAAAGGAGTACATCAAGGCTATATATTGTCACCCTACTTATTTAACTTATATGCAGAGTGCACCACGAGAAATGCCGGGCCTGATGAAACACAAGCTGGAATCAAGATTGCTGGGAGAAATATCAATAACCTCAGATACACAGATGACACCACCCTTATAGCAAAAAGCGAAGAACTAAGAGCATATTGATGAAAGTAAAAGAGGAAGAGTGAAAAAGCTGGCTTAAGACCCAACACTCAGAAAACTAAGATCATGGCATCCGGTCCTATCACTTCATGGCAAACAGATGCAGAAACAGAGGAAACAGTGGCAGACTTTATTTTTGGGGGCTCTAAAATCATTGCAGATGGTGATGGTGACTGCAGCCATGAAATTAAAAGATGCTTGCTTCTTGGAAGAAAAGCTCTGACCAACCTAGGCAGCATACTGAAAAGCAGAGACATTACTTTACCAACAAAGGTCTGTCTCGTCAACGCTATGGTTCTTCCAGTAGTTATGTATGGATATCAGAGTTGGACTATAAAGAAAGCTGAGCACTGAAGAATTGCTGCTTTTAAACTGTGGTCTCCTTGGACTGCAAGGAGATCAAACCTGTTAATCCCTGAATATTCACTGGAAGGACTGATGCTGAAGCTGAAAACTCCAATACTTTGGCCACCTGATGCGAAGAATCGACTCATTGGAAAAGACCCAGATGCTGGGAAAGATTGAAGGCAGGAGGAGAAGGGGACAACGGAGGATGAGGTGGTTGGACGGCATCACCGACTCAATGGACATGAGTTTGAGTAGGCTCCGGGAGTTGGTGATGGACAGGAAGGCCTGGCATGCTGCAGTCCACAGGGTCGCAAAGTCAGACACGACTGAGCGACTTAACTGAACTGAACTTCCACAAACACTAGAACAAGTTCAATTAAGTTCTCTGCCACCTTATAACAAAGACTGTCTTTCTTTTGATTTCCAATAACATGCTCCTTGTTGTTTAATCACTAAGCGGTGTCCAACTCTTTTGTGACCCCATGGACTGTAGCCTGCCAGGATCCTTCGTCCATGGGATTTCCCAGGCAAAGAATACTGGCGTGGGTTGCCATTTCCTTCTCCAAGGGATCTTCCTGACCCAGGAATCGAACCCATGCCTCTGACATTAGCAGGTGCGTTCTTTACCACTGAGTCATCAGGGAAGCCCAAGATGTTCCTTATTTCTACCTCTATCAGACTTCACCAGAATCACCTTTAATATATATATATTCCTACCAGTAATCTCTACAGGGCAATGTAAGCTTTTTTTTTAAATGAACCTCAAAACTGTTCTATCCTTTACTCATCCAGTTTCAAAGCCACTTGCACACTTAAAAAGTATAGCAGCACCTTACTTCTGGGCACCAACATCTGTATTAATCAGCTATGGCTGCCATATCTATAGACTACTGTACCCCTATATTAGGGCTTCCCAGTGGTAAAGAACCCACCTGCCAATGCAGGAGACATGCAAGAGACACTGGTTTGATCCCTGGGTTGGGAAGATCTCCTGGAGAGGAAATGGCAACCCACCAGTATTCCTGCCTGGAGAATCCCATGGACAGAGGAGCCCCTCAGGGTAGGTCCACAGGGTCGCAGAGAGTCGGACAAAACTAAGTGACTTAGCACGCATCCCTATTTTATACTCACTATAAAATTTACCAAAAAATATATTTAAAGGATGAAGAAATTTAAATATTTTCTTCTTACTGTCCAAAGACTGTCTTGCCCATCCTGCTTTAAACAGTTTTAGACTACCAATCAAAAACACTGCTTAATGAAGTTTTTTAAAAGCATATTTAAAAATGGAGGCTGTTAATTTGCTGAGTTAATGTCTTAAAGGTGCCATTTGTTGCCAAATTTTATTTTCTTTGCTGTATTATTTACTATTCATGATTTGACAGGGGTACAGGTTTAGTTTATGATCCAGGAGGAGTTAGGTAATGAATTTATTCTAAGTAATATATCTGATGGCATCATCATTTATAAGAAACTGTATCCTTATGGGCTTCCCTGGTAGCTCAGATGGTAAAGCGTCTGCCTACAGTGCGGGAGACATGGGTTCGATCCGTGGGTTGGGAAGATACCCTGGAGAAGGAAATGGCAACCCACTCCAGTAGTCTTGCCTTACGGACTGAGGTTTATGGTAGGCTACAGTCCATGGGGTCGCAAAGAGTCGGACACGACTGAGCGACTTCAGTTCAGTTCACTATATTGTTTAAAATTTAAAGGTCTAATAATGTATTCTCCTTTTTATGATCATGTTACATGCCTATAATAGGATACAAGTAATTTTTTTCAGTATTGAATATATATTTTCCATTCACATGCACATTCTCCTATATTTAGCTTTGCCTCCCTTTAGGATCATGACACACAATCATGTAAAATATCAGCAAGGTTACTGGCATGGTACATTTGAAACAGTTTTACCTGAACACATTTAATATCAGACATGAAACCTGTCTGCAATATCACCATGTTTTAATTATATTAATTAGCTCAGTCACAAGTATCTCAAAGGGTTCTAGAAGCCTCCCCACATAAGTAATTACACATGTATGTGTAAACAAAGTTACCTTTTTCATCAGGAAGAGATGGTACACTATCACTTCGGAAAGAATCATCAGCAGCGGTCTGAACCTGTTCTTCAATAGAACTCTCCATCTTTTCACCATGAAGTTTCTTCTCATTCTCCTTAGAAGATGGAACTGAAGGACTTTCTTGACGGCTACTACCACTACTACTCCTGTTCAGGCATATTATGGAAACAAACGAGAAAAAAATTAAGGCCACAAAATAAGGATATAATTTCAAAGCAACTTATCTGGCCAAGGAAATGTGCCTTATGATCAAGATTTGAAACAATGAAGGATATAAAACATAAAAATGCCACTTAGATATAAGTATGAGAAGAAACTATTTTAGAAAAATGAGTAGCAGAAAAGAAGGTTTTTTTTCTAAGTAGTAATGATGGGGAACCATTATTCTCAGGCTTTTACTCCCTTTTTGCCTTTCATTTTAAAATCAATCTAGTGGGAAAAGGGGCTTCTACTTGCTGTTTCCACTTCCTTACTTTTCATCGACCTCATAACTTATTGCAGCCTGCTTCAATTCCCACCTGTTCTACTGGAACTGTTTTTGTAAACTCTATCTAAACTCTAACTCACATTCAATAGATAAGTTCTTTTTCTATATTAGGTGGTATGAATCTCTGATATCCTTCCTTTAAAAGTTTGGTAAAACAGAGGATGAGATGGTTGGATGGCATCACCGACTCAATAGACATAGGTTTGGGTGGACTCCGGGAGTCGGTGATGGACACGGAGGCCTGGTGTGCTGTAGTTCATGGGGTCGCAAAGAGTCGGACATGACTGAGCAACTGAACTGAACTGAAAGCAAATGTAGTAAAATGTTAATACACTAGGGTAATCTGGATGAAAGATATTTGAGAAACCTGTATTATTCTTACAATGTTTTTGTAAGCTTGAAATTATAACAAAATTAAATGATAAAAGGGCTCTCCTTTCTTATATTCCCTGACTCTCTCCCTACCTCCCTAGCAAGTTTTCCTGTATTTCCTTCACTTCCTTTTAATTATTCTATCTTTTCTTAAAATGACTGTGCTTCTTACAGCTTTGGTTTCTTTCTCCCTTATGCTATATACTCTCCTTGGACAATCTTATGCCTATCCGTAATTTCTAATGCTATCATCTGGAGTAAGCCTCAAGTCTGTATCATTAGCTCTGCCCTTCTCCTTACTTTAAAACTCAGATTTCCAAATGCTTACTTGTTTTAAAGTTTAGTATTCTCCTTCCTCCATCTTTGCTTTCCTTAATTTATCTATGCACTAAACATAAATACATAGCCAACCACGAGCCAAGTTTTAAGGTCCCCTGAATAAGCTATTTCCCTCCTGTGACACACCCTACCTTTCCTCTGTGCTTAATGAATTCAAAACTCAGTTGAAGTAGCATTTCTGCAAACTGTTTGTAGACCCCCTCTCTACTCTCAAGGCGGGTTTGGTCACTTCTTTTTCTGTGTTTATACTGTGTATGTGTATGTGTAGATTTCTATGATGGTACTTATCAGAATATTATATAATTATTTGTCTGACTTAATAAATGTTTTTGAAAGAATAAATTGTATAATAAAGCTATAAGATAAAAGACAGACTGCAAGAGACCACAAGTGCTTTGGAATCAGTAGGGTATGCGGTTAATCTCAATTCTTCTACTTAGCAGTTATGTGCCAATCATTCACTCAATAAATATGTAGTAGACTGCCTACTATGTACTTGGCATATTGCTAAGCTCTAGGGATACAGGAATGACACAGTCTTCATTAGCCTATCAAGAAGTGTTAGTAAGGATGTGGAAAATCTTTATATTCCTGGTGAAAACGTAAAATGGAGCAGCTATTTTGGAAAAGTTTGGCATACCATCAAAATGTTAGAGTTACAATCCCTTTCCTAAGTATATACCCAAGAGAAATGAAATATATCCACACAAGAATTTGTACATGAATGAATCAGTACACAGTGGCACCATTCACAAGATCAAAAAAAATGAAAAAAATCCTAAAGTTCATCAACTGATGGATAAATGTGGGACATCCATGCAATAGACTATCTGGCTATATAAAGGAATAAAGTACTGATACATGATAGATGAACTCTGAAAACATAATGCTAAGTCAAAGAAGCCAGTCACAAAGAGCCACCTATTGTATGGTGCTATTCATATGAAATATCCAAACTAGACAAAAATCCATAGAAAATAAAGAGTAGATTAGTTGTGGCCAGAAGCTGGGAAAGAAGGGACATACGAGATGACTGCTAATGGGTATAGGGTTTCATTGCGGGAGTGATGAAAATGAAGTCCTCAAAGAGCTCCATATGCAGATAACACCACCCTTATGGAAGAAAGTGAAGAAGAACTAAAGAGCCTCTTGATGAAAGTGAAAGAGGAGAGTGAAAAAGCTGGCTTAAAGCTCAACATTCAGAAAACTAAGATCATGGCATCTGGTCCCATAACTTCATGGCAAATAGATGGGGAAACAGTGGAAACAGTGTCAGACTTTATATTTTTTGTGGCTCCAAAATCACTGCAGATGGTGACTGCAGCCATGAAATTAAAAGATGCTTATCCCTTGGAAGCAAAAGTTATGACCAACCTAGACAGCATATTAAAAAGCAGAGACATTACTTTGTCAACAAAGGTCCATCTAGTCAAGGCTATGGTTTTTCCAGAGTTGAACTATAAAGAAGGCTGAGCACTGAAGAATTGATGCTTTTGAGCTGTGGTGTTGGAGAAGACTCTTGACAGTCCCTTGGACTGCAGGAAGATCCAACCAGTCCATCCTAAAGGAGAACAGTCCTGGGTATTCATTGGAAGGACTGATGTGGAGGCTGAAACTCCAATACTTTAGCCACCTGATGCCAAGTGCTGACTCATTTGAAAAGACCCTGATGCTGGGAAAGATTGAAAGCAGGAGGAGAAGGGGACAACAGAGGATGAGATGGCTGGATAGCATCATTGACTCAATGGACATGGGTCTGGGTAGACTCCGTGAGTTGGTGATGGACAGGGAGGCCTGGCATGCTACGGTTCATGGGGTCATAAAGAGTCGGACACGACTGAGCAACTGAACTGAACTGAATAAGTAAAGGTAAGAATATAGAAGCTGGTAATGGTTCCAACAGTTACACTTGGGATTGCTGTGGGTGAATACAGAAGGGATCTCTAAAGCAGATGAGGGGCTAATACTGATTCTTAAAGGTGAAGTAAAACTAAAGTAAATAAAATGGAGTAGGGAGGGTCTAGAAAGAAGGGACAGCATGCAATGGCACAGGAGACAAAGAGAACAAGAGAAATGAAGTAGTTAGAACTAGTAAAATATTCTAAGAGGGGAAATGCCAAGTAACAGAGCTGGAGATGGACTAAAGGCTTAATAACAAAGGAACTTCCATGCTATATTAAGTGGCTCTGAGGAAACACTGACGTTTCAAAGAGGTAAATCACCAATTGGCTGCAAATTTTCGAACAATCATTCTGGTTGCCATGTGGTTAATGAATAGAGCAGGGCAAGGTTAAAGGACAGGGAAACCTATTAGAAGACCACTGCAGGAACTCAGGTGATGGCCTAAACTAAGTGTCAGTAAAGGTTAAGTGAAAGTCACATAGTTCCAGACACAGAGTAAGTACTTAATAACTGTTGGTATCTAGCCCCCATTAATTTTCATATTTTTCAGTCTCATGATTTAATATTTTAAATTAAGGTTTTAGTATACTTTGATAACATAGGTATCCTATGTCTAAGAATGATGGAAAGTAGCCTCTAAAACTTTTTAATCCAAGGAGAGATCCATAACTGAAAACTACAGATGTTACCAAGTATCAATGACAAAGTATTCAATCTTCTTTCATAATGATAAAAATTAGTACATACAGTAATGTCAAAAAATACGGGTATCACCAAAGCAGTGTACTCTCAAGCCAGATACATCATGGTTCAATTTCTTGATGTGCTACTAGCTATGTGATTGTAGGTAAGTTTTTTAACATCTCCATGATCCTTAGTTCCCTTACCTATAAAATGACAATAATATCTGTCTTGGAAGGTTGTTGTGAAGATTAAATGCAGGAAAAACAGTTCTTATAATACTTGTATAGTAGACTGTCAAGGAATGGTAGCTATATTATTACATGGAACTATTTTGTAAACAGGCTAAAAATCAGGGAAGCCAGAACAGAAGGGAAAACACTATTTCATTTAAAGAAATAAGATAAAAGAGTGAAAAAAAAAGCAATGTCTAAGTCATTTATCAGACTTTACTAAATCAAACACTCTTCACCTTCTATCACGATTCTTGTATCTTGAAGACTCAGAATAACTATCATATGAAGGGGAAAATTTCTGATGTTTAGAGTCAAGGGTGCCTTCTTTACTCTGAGAAAGTGAACCAGATTGACTTTTCCTACAAAGAAAAGAAAAACTGATTAAAACATTTAAAGTCTCAAATAAGAGAAAGATTTTAAATACTGTTTAATATTAATATGAGATAAAATCTTGAATAGAAATTATGAAATACGGGTTACAAACTATCTGAGAAAGGTATCTGCTCATAGAAAAGTATATAACACATTAAAGAACATCTATTTATTATGAGAAATAAACACAAATCACCTCAAGTACCAATGAATGTGAACAGACTAAAAAACCTATGAACTAGAGATAGTCAAAGTCGATGTAAAAAAAAAATATACACACAGACATGACGACATAACCCAGCACTGCCTAAAAGACTCTCCAGTGACTTTTCATTGCTCTTCGAATAAACTCCAAAATCCAGAGGATCCGCAAAGTTCCACCACGATCTGACCCTGCGTCATCTCCTACCTTTCTCCTTCTTGCCCTCCGACTCTGGTCTGTTTGTTGTTCTTTCGCTTTCTTTTCCACCTTTGCATGCACTGACCTGCCTATTCCTTATCTCCTTTATATCACTGAGTCCTTTTCATTCACTAGATCTCACCACTAGCTTTACTTCCTCCGGAAAATCTTCTTTGACTTCCATGCTACTCAAACTCCTTTGCTGTATATCTCAAAAACAAATGATCCTTTCTTTCATAATACTTATTTTAATTTGTAAGTGTTTACTCACCTAAAGGAACATTTGATTAATGTCTGTCTTCACCACTAGACTATATGTCCATAACTAATTTTTCAGTACCCACAACAGTGCTTGGGACATAACAGATATTCATTACATATTTGCTGAATGATTGGATATTAACCTATCTGTTTCAGCTCTTGTCCTTAGTTGTTTCACAAAGTCTGGAGCGTGCTGCCGCTGGTGATCATACAGCGCTGCTAGGGGAGCTCCTGAAGCAGTGATGGCATCTGAGATATGAGTTCGAGTCAATTCCGCCATCTAAATATGAACACACAGAAGGTAAAGAAGATGCAAAAAGGTAATGTCACAGAAGAACTGAGAGACAGTAGAGTATCTTGGAAAGATTACTGTATGGAAAGCAAGCAAATTCTGCCATAATAGGTAACATACTGTCATTTAGATTCTTGAAGTTTCAATGTCTTTATAAAATAAATAGAGGGAGATCACAGGATTTCTAAGGTTTCAACTAACTATAACAATCTATGAGTTACTAAGCAGAAAGTCTTCAAGTCTAAAATAAGCCACAGTAAACCACACACACAAAAAAAATTAAAAGCAGAAGACATTAAGAAAAGGTGGCAAGAATACGCAGAAAAACTATACAAAAAAGATCTTAATGACTCAGATAACCACGATGGTGTCATCTCTCACCTACAGCCAGACATCCTGAAGTCAAGTGGGCCTTAAGAAGCATCACTACGAACAAAGCTAGTGGAGGTGATGGAATTTCAGTTAAGCTATTTCAAATCCTAAAATTATGATGCTGTGAAAGTGCTGCACTCAATATACCAGCAAAACTGGAAAACTCAGCAATGGCCACAGGACTGGAAAAGGTCAGTTTTCATTCCAATCCCAAAAAGGCAATACCAAAGAATGTTCAAACTACCACACAATTGCACTTATCTCACACGTTAGCAAAGTAATGCTCACAATTCTCCAAGCTAGGTTTCAAAAGTACATAAACCGAGAACTTCCAGATGTTCAAACTGGATGGAGAAAAGGCAGAGGAACCAGAGATCAAATTGCCAACATCAGCTGGATCATGTACTTCTGCTTTATTGACTATGCCAAAGCCTCTGACTGTGTGGATCACAACAAACTGGAAAATTCTTAAAGAGATGGGAATACCAGACCACCTCACCTGCCTCCTGAGAAATCTACATGCAGGTCAAGAAGCAACAGTTAGAACTGGACATGGAACAACAGATTTGTTCCAAATTGGGAAAAGAGTACGTCAAGGCTATATATTGTCACCCTGCTTCTTTAACTTCTGTAGAATACATCACGCGAAATGCCGGGATGAATGAAGCACAAGCTGAAATCAAGATTGCCGGGGGAAATATCAATAACCTCAGATAAGCAGATGACACCACTATTACGGTGGAAAGTGAAGAGAAACTGAAGAGCCTCTTGCACAAAGACAGAAATATAGATCAATGGAACAGAATAGAAAGCCCAGAGATGAATCCACGAACCTATGGTCACCTTATCTTCGACAAAGGAGGCAAGGATATACAATGGAAAAAAGACAACCTCTTTAACAAGTGGTGCTGGGAAAACTGGTCAACCACCTGTAAAAGAATGAAACTAGAACACTTTCTAACACCATACACAAAAATAAACTCAAAATGGATTAAAGATCTAAATGTAAGACCAGAAACTATAAAACTCCTAGAGGAGAACATAGGCAAAACACTCTCCGACATAAATCACAGCAGGATCCTCTATGACCCACATCCCAGAATTTTAGAAACAAAAGCAAAAATAAACAAATGGGACCTAATGAAACTTAAAAGCTTTTGCACAACAAAGGAAACTATAAGCAAAGTGAAAAGACAGCCCTCAGACTGGGAGAAAATAACAGCAAACGAAGCAACAGACAAAGGATTAATCTCAAAAATATACGAGCAACTCCTCCAGCTCAACTCCAGAAAAATAAATGACCCAATCAAAAAATGGGCCAAAGAACTAAACAGACATTTCTCCAAGGAAGACATACAGATGGCAAAAAAACACATGAAAAGATGCTCAACATCACTCATTATCAGAGAAATGCAAATCAAAACCACAATGAGGTACCATTACACGCCAGTCAGGATGGCTGCTATCCAAATTCTACAAGCAATAAATGCTGGAGAGGGTGTGGAGAAAAGGGAACCCTCTTACACTGTTGGTGGGAATGCAGATTAGTACAGCCACTATGGAAAACAGTGTGGAGATTTCTTAAAAAGCTGGAAATAGAACTGCCATATGACCCAGCAATCCCACTTCTGGGCATACACACCGAGGAAACCAGATCTGAAAGAGACACGTGCACCCCAATGTTCATCACAGCACTATTTTTAATAGCCAGGACATGGAAGCAACCTAGATGCCCATCAGCAGACAAATGGATGAGGAAGCTGTGGTACATATACACCATGGAATATTACTCAGCCATTAAAAAGAATTCATTTGAATCAGTTCTAATGAGATGGATGAAACTGGAGCCCATTCTACAGAGCGAAGTAAGCCAGAAAGATAAAGACCATTACAGTATACTAACACATATATATGGAATTTAGAAAGATGGTAACGATAACCCTATATGCAAAACAGAAAAAGAGACTCAGATGTATGGAACAGACTTGTGGACTCTGTGGGAGAAGGCGAGGGTGGGATGTTTCAAGAGAACAGCATCGAAACATGTATATTATCTAGGGTGAAACAGATCACCAGCCCAGGTTGGATGCATGAGACAAGTGCTTGGGCCTGGTGCACTGGGAAGACCCAGAGGGATTGGGTGGAGAGGGAGGTGGGAGGGGGGACCAGGATGGGGAATACATGTAAATCCATGGCTAATTCATTTCAATGTATGACAAAAACCACTGCAATGTTGTAAAGTAATTAGCCTCCAACTAATAAAAATAAATGGAGAAAAAAAAATTAATCCTAAAAAAAAAATAAAAATAAAAACTAAAAAAAATAAAGAGCCTCTTGATGAAAGTGAAAGAGGAGCGTGAAAAAGTCGGCTTAAGACCCAACATTCAAGAAACTAAGATCATGGCATCCGGTCCCATCACTTCATGGCAAATAGATGGGGAAACAATGGAAACTGTGAGAGACTTTATTTTTTTTGTGTGCTCTGAAATCACTGTTGTTGGTGACTGCAGTTATGAAATTAAAAGACACTTGCTCCCTGGATGGAAAGCTATGAAAAATCTAGACAGCATATCGAAAAGCAGATACATTATTTTGCTGACAAAGGTCTGTCTAATCCAAGCTATCGTTTTTTCAGCAGTCATGTACAGACGTGAGAGTTGAACCATGAAGAAGGCTGAGTACCGAAGTACTGATGCTTCTAAATGATGGTTTGGAAAAGTCCCTTGAGAATTCCTTGGACTACAAGATCAAACCAGTCAATCTAAAGGAAATCAGTCCTGAATATTCATTGGAAGGACTGATGCTGAAGTGCCAATACTTTGGCCACCTGATGGGAAGAACCAACTCATTACAAAAGACCCTGATGTTGGGAAAGATTGAAGGCGGGAGGAAAGGGGGATGACAGAGGATGACATGGTTGGATGGCATCACTGACTCAATGGATATGAGTTTGAGCAAGCTCCAGAATTGGTGATGGACATGGAAGCCTGGCATGCTATATGGTCCATGGATGGTGTCGCAAAGAGTTGGACATGACTGAGCAACTGAACTGACTAAAACCAAAAATTAAATCTTTCTTCAAGAAGCAAACTCAATTAGAATTTTCTAACTTCACCAATAATGTGAAGTACATTTTCCCTACTCTTAGCCATTACTGTCATATATTATTCATTTGGTGTTAATTTCATCATTGCTTTGACAACCTGAAGTGTCTTTAAAATCTCTGTTAACTGTAAACTAAAATTTCTTGAGAAAAGAGACTCCATATTTATTTACACAACCCCATGTACCCAGCATGTAGCAGGTTCATGGCTTTTTAATAACAGAATCATTTCACAAACAGTCCTAAATAGTAACTGCTAAAATAAACTGAAACTTTATAGTATAGATCATGATATCCTATACAGAGACAGCAGTAAAACTATTTCTGGCTTTATCCTTGGTACAATTAAGAAAAAAAAAAAAGACACTAATATCACTCTGGATAATAATGAAAGATCTACATACAAAACAGATGTGGGGCTCCCTGGGACTGAGATTGGGGACTGACTGCAAAGTAGCATGAGGGAACTTTTAAGAGTACTGGATATTTCTTGATTATAGTGGTGTTTATAGGGATAGAGAGATATGATAAAGAAATATACCTAGGACTTCCCTGGGGCTCAGTGGTAAAGAATTTGCCTGCCAATGCAAGAGACACAGGTTCGATCTTTGGTCCAGGAAGATCCCACATGCCATGGAGCAACTAAACCTGTGTGCCACAGCTACTGAGCCTGTGTTCTAAAGCCCAGGAGTAACAACTACTGAATCCATGTGACACAACCAATGAAGCCTGCACACCTGGAGCCTGTGCTCGTCAACAAGAGAAGCCACGGCAATGAGAAGCCCATGCACTGCACCTATAGAGCAGCTCCTGCCCACTACAAATAGAAAAAAGCCCGCACAGAGCAACAAAGACCCAGTGCAGTCATAAATAGATAAATAAGAAATATACATAGATGCCTATACCTACGTATTTGTCAAAAATCATAAAACTGTATACTTAAAGGGGATACATGTTATTGTAAACATATATTAGTATAAACTACACACTCTTTTTAAAAAGATTACTCAGGGGAAAAAATATAGAGTTCTTTTGTATCTTTTGCCCCTGTATCATTCACTTGGACAACACATTACAATAAATGATGCTTCATTTCAATAGGGTATGGCCCTCAATGAAAGTCACTTATTCAGTTCAGTTCAGTTCAGTTGCTCAGTCATGTCCAACTCTTTGCGACCCCATGAATCGCAGCAAGCCAGGCCTCCCTGTCTATCATAAACTCCCGGAGTTTACTCAAACTCATGCCTACCGAGTCGGTGATGCCATCCAGCCAGCTCATCCTCTGTCATCCCCTTCTCCTCCTGCCCCCAGTTCCTCCCAGCATCAGGGTCTTTTCCAATGAGTCAACTGTTCGCATGAGGTCACTTACTAAAAGCATGCATTTGCTAGATGTTAGAGACCCATTACTGCTAAAACCAGAGGTACTCAGGCTGACTAAGAAGACCTAAAGGAAAAGTGCTGTCAGTGGCTCTTACCTCACAGATGTGGCGTGCTGCGTTTGTGGTCAGGCGAGCAGTCTCTGTTTGCTGAGTGGCTATTTTACATGTTGCTTCCTGCAGGACTTCAGTCATATCCCGTTGTGACTTAACCACCTGCTGCAATGATTCCGCATGGACCTGTTAATAAAAGTAGGGGAAAGATAACTTACTTTATGTCTAATCTCATACTATCCAAATCAGTGTTAACATGTAAATCAAAAAAAAATAAAATAAAATAAAATAAAAACATGTAAATCAGTTTCATGGATCAACTGCCTTGTGGGGGGTAAAAAAAAAAGCAAACTTTCAGACTACTATCTGGATTTCATGTCTTAAAATTTAGAGTTTAAAATCTGGAATCTTAAAATCACTGCTGAAGTTTAAGTTTTAATTCCACTGTTTACAAGCTGATGTGTCAGTAGACAAGTAACTACCATGTACTTCAGTTTCCATTTCTCTAAATTGAGGATAAATCTTGACCTGACTACTTAATTTCACAAGGTGGCTATTAGAGTTAAATGGCATAAAATTAACTCATGGGATAATATACTAAAACACTGTTATTTACATATTTCCTTTTTCCTCCTATAAAATGAAAAGAAATCTAAAGTGATTTCAAGGACAGAAATTTGCGAAAGAAGCTACCTGAGCTGCTTTGCTTCGGGTTTCTTCTAATTGTCTCTGACATTCCAGAGCTTCTTGTTCAGCCTTCAGCTTCAAAAGGGCCAAGTCTCTTTCATGGCGTTGTTGCTGTGCCTTCAGAAATAAAGAAATGATCAACTATTAATTCTAAGATACTAAACTATTTTAATGCAGAAATTATATTAAATGGAAAGTTATTTTCCTAACACAAATCTTTTGAAGCTACCCATCAGAGCCTAAAGGAAACAGAGTAAATAGCATAGACATCAACCATTTATTATTTATCTAAAGTATTTAGTGACCACCTACTGTGTGTCAATAATATAATAGAAAAAAATTTCCAAGGCATACAGAGCTAAGAACTGATATCAAAAAGCTGGTTTAAAACAAACATAGGCAGCACTTTGGAGGACATTAAAACATCCTACATGTAAAAATAAAAATAATGCTTCATAAGTCACAATTTTATGACTCCTCTGACTTTGAAGGAAGGTTGCCCCCAAAGGTCTCCTTTTTAACTTTCTTACAATTATTCCATATGGTGTTATCTATAAATTTATATATTATCATCTCTTCTAGAATGGTGCTAAATAATACAGGTTCTCTAAAGGTGGTAAGGTTATATATGAAGTCATACAATGCCCTGGCCATATGTGGAAACCCAGAGATATAATAAATCCCTGAAATAGTACACACTATCAGTGGTTCAGATTCCAAGGAAAAGATGGCAGCTGCAAAAGGGCCATTTCTCAATCCAGTGATTTTTAACAAAGTTGGAATTAGCTCCTCTCTACTGTCCACCAGTGAGCATTTTGAAGTGTCTGGAGAGCTTTTACTGTCACAACAAATGGACAGCACTGTTCTTATTTATTGGGAGGTGTGAAGGAAGGCTGAATAGTTCCATTCAAAAAAACTATCTATAAATATTTTAAGATGAACTAGAAAATGAAGTTGGAAAAAAAAAGATTTATTGTCAAAAGACATAAAATTTAAGAATAACTTTTAAAAAGTGTAACATCTCTACACTGAAAATTACAGTTGAGAGAAATATCTAAAAAACCTAAACAAACGAAGATAATATGCTCATGAACTAGAAGATGCAATATTGTTAAGATGTGAATTCTTCCCAAACTGATCTGTAGATTCAATGTCATTCAAATCAAAATTACACCAGGCTTTTAAAAAATTTTGGTAGAAACTGACAAACTGATTCTAGAAGTTAGACAGAAAAAACAAAGAATAGTTGAAACATCGTGGGAAAGAACAAAACTGGAGTAATTACAGCCTGATTTCAAGACCCACTATGGCAGGGAGGGATAAATTTGGAGATTGGGATTAACATATACACACTACTATATATAAAATAGATATTTAAATAACTAATAAAGACCCACTGCATAGAGCAGGGAACTGTACTCAAAAAACTGCAATGGCCTAAACAGGAAAAGAACATAAAAAAGAGTGGATATATGCATATGTGTAACTGATTCACTTCACTGTACACCTGAAACTAAGAGAACACTGTAAATCAGCTATATTCCAATAAAAAAATTTTAACTGAAAAAATAAAAGAAAGAAGAAAAAAGACTGACTCTATAGTTATTGTGAAATAGTATGGTACTAGACAAATAGGTCAATGGAAAAGAACAGAATGCAAAAGTAGACCAACACATATATGATTACTTAATTGTTGATAAAGGTCTCAAGGTAATTTAAGAAAATGGTGCTAGTACAACCAAACATCTGAATGGGGGGGAAAGGATTAACTTTGACCCGTTCCTCACAATTCTTAATTAACTTGAAATAGCTCACACACTTAAATATAAAGGCCAAAACTATAAAGTTTTGAGGAAAAACATAAAAGAATATCTTTGTTAGAGTATCTTAATATCTTAGGGTAAGCAAAGATTTCTTAGAATACAAAGAACACTACCCATAAAAGAAAAAAATTAAAAACTAGACTTCATCAAAATTAAAATCTTCTGCTCTTCAAAAAACAGAGTTTAAAAAAATGAAAGGCAAGGCTAGGATGTGAGTGAAAGTGAAAGTCACTAAGTCACGTCCAACTCTTTGCGACCCCATGGACTACACAGTCCATAGAATTCTCCAGGCCAGAATACTAGAGTGGGTTGCCTTGCCCTTCTCCAGGGGATCTTCCCAACCCAGGGATCAAACCCAGGTCTCCCACATTGCAGGCAGATTCTTTACCAGCTGAGCCACAAGGGAAGCCCCAGAATACTGGAGTGGGTAGCCTATCACTTCTCCAGTGGATCTTTGTGAGCCAGGAATCAAATTGGGGTCTCCTGCACTGCAGGCAGATTCTTTACCAACTGAGCTATCAGGAAAGCCCCAAGTCTAGGATGGAAAGCAATATTTGAGATATATCTGAAAAGGTTTTGTTCTAGAATATATAAAGAACTCCTACAACTCAATAATTAAAAGACAAATATCCCAATTATGAAAGAAGCAAATGATTTGAACACATATTCACAAAAGTAGATACAAGATTAATCATAAATATGCCAAAAGATCAATTTCATCAGTCATAAAAGAAATGCAAATTAAAAACCACAATGAGATACTACCTCACTGTGTGAGGTAGAATGACTAGAATACACAATGACAGCAAAGAAACAATACAACTAGAACTCTCATATACTGCCATCAGAGTATAAGATGTTACAATTATTTTGGAAAAAAGAATGCCATTTTCTCATAAATATATACTTAACACAAGCAATTACACTCCTAGGTATTTAAGCAAGAAAAGTAAACTTTTGTATCATACACAGAGAATTGAAAAAAATAATTTTATAGCAGGAATATTTATGATAGCCAAAAGCTGGAAATAATACAAATGTACACCAACAAGAGAATGGGTAAATGAATTGTGATATAATCATCAGTGGAATGTTTTTCAGCAAAAAACCCAAAAGCACCATAGATGCAACAAAATGGATCAACCTTAAAAATGTTATGCTGCATAAAATAAGCTAAACACAACACATTACAAACTATATTTCCATTTTACGAAGTTCTAGAACTGGCAGAAATAAACTATAGTGATATGAATCAGAATACTACCTGCCTCTGGGTGGTGAGATTAACTGAAAAGGGGCCTGGGTGAAACTTCTGGAGTGATAAAAGTGTGATACATTTTGATTAAGGTGGTTGTTACATGCTCAAAATTCATCAAAGTATACACTTAAAATCTGTGTATTTTATTATATGCAAATGTTATCTGTTTTTTTTCTTGTTTTTAAAGATACCAATAAGCATCTCCACCAAGGAACACTAAGATTTTTGTTAGCTTCCTTAAGGAAAAGCCCTATTAACCTGACACTACCAAACACTAAGATCACAGAAACTTTTCAGTACAATAAAGTATTAAAAAACAAAACAAAACCAAAGTCATTTCTGACTTGTCACACAAAAAGAGAAAATATTGAAAAATCTTGATAAGCTAATTTTCACACTGTAACAAAAAAAGGTAAAGAATGTGGAAAATGAAGTATTTGAAACAGAATGACTGTATTACTATTCTGTTGCCAAATACTGCATGTTTAATTATCTTTTTACCATATGACAGTTTTTCTCAAGATTATTTATACGTACTGTGTGACAAGACTATTTTTTCTACTTAGCAGTTAAAAGTTTTGTGTTTTTTTAACTCATCATTAAGATCATTTTAAATAGCAAAGAAAAGAGAAAAAAAAACACAGAAAGCTAAAGAAAATTCCACAAATACCTTTATGATCTGAGCCAGAGACACGGTCTCCTGTTGCGCAAGTGAAACTCCTCTAACCCTTTCTACATCTGATAGCTGACGCACCGACTCCTCAATGGCACTCAAGTAACTGAGTTCTGCTGCCATCCGATGCTGGAGGCCAGCAGGAGAAAAGCGCTTAGAACCTGGAAGGCATGTAATTGTCATATATAAAAGTTCAAGTGAAATTACATCTGATTTCTAAAATTCATTTTTTATTTTAAGGTCTAAAAACAAGTCTGCTATCCTTTGTAGGAAAGACAGTGACGTTTTAGTACATAGTATTCTACTAGTTACTTCTTTCGAGTGTGTATGCATGTGAACGTATGTATAAACCATGCCAGTGTACATAATACATACACAGGACACATTTTTCAAGTGTCTTTTGACTGACGCTGAGAATATGGGAAAAGTCACCACTATTGAATCTCTCGTGCTTTTCGATATTTATTTTCTGGCACAATTTTTGTTTAATACTTCAAATAGTAATTGCATTCACTTGAAGTGACATTTCTCTATGGTTTAACTGAAATAAATTTTTAGAAGTAAATTCATATCCTATTTTTTAAATTACAGCTGCATGGATCTACTTGCCTGGTGTTGAGGCCATCTCTGTTGTCGTCCTGCTGGCAGCCAGGTTCACATCAACAAAAGTTGCATTTGGCTTAAATCCTGTTGGAGTCACTACTACTGAGGATTTAGATCTTTCTAATGAAGTTCCTGGAAGGTCAAACTGCAACAGTTTCTGAGAACTTGGAGATATGGGAGAAGTTGGAGTTTTCTGAGATCTTCCCTTATCTGATGAGACACTACAAGTTTTGTTTCATAAAGACATTAGAGACAGGAAATCTACTTCAAAAACCAGCTAAACAATAAGAACAACATGCAAAACTTATTAACATTAGCTTTAAAAAGCTGTGATTTATTCATTTAACAGAGTTGCTACACTGAATGAATGACTATGAGTACTCCTTTTATTGCTAGATTTACAGCGGGGAAGAAGCTAGGGACAAGCCCTGTTCAAAATAACATGAAAAAGGAGTCTTTTGATTAAATTGGGACTAAACTCCTTCCTCTACAATGTAATTTACTATGAATCACTTATTGTAGTAGCAGGCAAAATCCTCTAGAATACTAAGATCTTATATAGCAATAAAATTACAAACACATAAAAAAAGCAAGGTAAAACCTATTTCATAAAAATACCTCAAAATATGTCTCTGAAAGAGAATATCATTTTGTGCTAAAAATTTTAAATGACAAAAACTACTTTTGTTATTACTTTTATTAACCAAAAAGTCACAGCAAAAAGTTTCATACTAACCATCTCTAAATAGTTTATATATGTCCATTTGTTTCTGTCCACTTTTTAATGCTATAGTTCTTTCCTGAATCTAAGAAGTAACCTCTCATAGCAGTTTTATTAAAACAACTAAAAGCATTTAATTCAACACAAGGCACAGGTCAAGCCCCTCTATGATAAATTAAGCTCATTAAAGGTACTGTTTCTGATAACAAGAAGCATGCTGCTTTGAACCAGAGATTTATTTACTGACTCAAATATCCTACAAAGCATGTTAGCAGTTAGCATATTTCAACATACTAAAGCAAGCTTACTTTTAGCTTTAATAAAACTATGACATGGTTCTCAAAGGTAAAAATTTCTCTTATACCAGTATTTAAATTTGAATAACAGTAGTCTTCACAGGCACTCACTAGCTTCCAGTAACCTTTAATTTTCTGAAGTTTGGAGAAATACTGTTTTTAACAGTCTGACAATTTACAGAACATAGAAAGAATTATCATTACTTCTGTCTCCTAATAGATTTCCCTGAAAGAATTCCAACACAACATTAAAACAAAGTACTCATAAGAGGAGAGGGAAAAAGTTGGCTTAAAGCTCAACATTCAGAAAACTAAGATCATGGCATCCGGTCCCATCACTTCATGGCAAACAGATGGGGGAAACAGTGGCAGACTTTATTTTTTGGGGCTCCAAAATCACTGCAGATGGTGACTGCAGCCATGAAATTAAAAGATGCCTACCCCTTGAAAGAAGTTATGACGAACCTAGACAGCATATTAAAAAGGAGAGACATTACTTTGTCAACAAAGGTCCATCTAGTCAAGGCTATGGTTTTTCCAGTAGCCATGTATGGATGTGAGAGTTGGACTACAAAGAAAGCTGAGCACCAAAGAATTGATGCTTTTGAACTGTGGTGTTGTAGAAGACCGAGAGTCCCTCGGACTGCAAGGAGATCCAACCAGTCCATCCTAAAGGAAATCAGTCCTGAATGTTCACTGGAAGGACTGATGTTGAAGCTGAAACTCCAGTACTTTGGCCACCTGATGTGAAGAGCTGACTCATTTGAAAAGACTCTTATGCTGGGAAAGATTGAGGGCAGGAGGAGAAGGGGACTACAGAGTATGAGATGGTTGGATGGCATCACCAACTCAATGGACATGAGTTTGGGTAAACTCCAGGAGTTGGGGATGGGCATGCTGCGATTCATGGGGTCGCAAAGAGTCGGACATGACTGAGCGACTGAACTGAACTGAACTGACTCATAAGATAAATCTCACCATATGGATTTACAAGATGAATTCATATTTGCTCTGCAGAGACTTACCTAGACTAGCTGTTTCCAATGATATTAATAAGTTTTCTAAAATATGAAAAAGAAACAAAGGAAAAGAATGTGGACACAGAAAGTGTCTATAGCCAAATAAGACAATATAAGTTCAATATTTTTTTAAAATATCTGGACTCCTTTGTATCAAATCCTTAAATCATTTTATCCACTGTCAATCTCCATAGGTGGGGAAGTAGGGGGTCTAGACTATAGTATGGGGCATTTATCAGCTTATTTGGCTCTGGAGTTTGTTTAGAAATGTTTACCTTTGTGCATTTTGCCAGTTAAATCATCAGGTATCTCTTAAGGAAAGGTAAAGTTTTCTGAATTCCAAAATCATTGACAAAGAAATTAAAATTCAACTTTAGACATAGGAACAATGGTATTAATAATATGGCACTATCTGCAACATGAAAGCACTAAAAATGACTGTCTGTATGTAACACTATATTGGAAAAAGCACACAGTTTTAAAGTAAAAAAACAAATCCATGCCTTCTCAGAGCTTAAATTTCCGGAAGAACAAAACCAGTGTAGCAGATAAAAGTCATGGAGACAGAGCAGGAATTGTACATGAAGCAATAGTTATTTGTAAGCAATAGGCTAAGTGCATAATATATGACATTACAGTGTGCAAGTTACACAATCAATTTAAGAGTGAGATTTCAAAACCTAATTGTCTAATAAGTTGAGCATAAGTGAAAAGTTCAGAGGTACAAATAAAAAATGATACCAAAAGGGTACTAAGTGGTTATGTTTAAAGATTGGAAGAATACAGTTGAGAAGAAAAAAATGCATAAACAAAGGAAGTAAGATAGTCTTTGGTAGCCTAGTGATAACACTTCAAATAAAGTTAAGCTCTAAGCGTTGATCTGTGGGGTAACTGTGAGCTCCAGAGTATCCTAAGGAGAGTAGCTGCTTGGTCAAATGACTGAGTGAAGAAAACAACTGTGAAAATTGTGTTTGCATAGAAAGGTAGATTGCGCTAGAGACAAAGAATTCCTGTGGCAGTAGCTATAATAGTTTAGGTGAGAGATGAGTATATTCTATAATATAAAGACTAGAGCTATGAACAAAACTATAAAAAATATATAAATTTATTAAGTGAATTCTCTGAACATCAATGATATTGTAACTTTAATGAAATACAAATTACAGTATAAAATATGCATTACTTTACCTCAAAGAATGCCCAGAAAGTTCTTCCAAAGTGCTATCTGTATCAAGGGCCTGCTCATAATCTTTCACAGAAAGTTTGCTACTGGTCCCAGATTTCTTTCCTTGATGAGAGCCACGTTCTGAACCAGAGTGTACTTTTTCTTCATCAACAAGTGAGTTCTGAATATTTCCAGTGAGTGAATCTAGCCCTGTAAAGTAAATTTCTTATAAAACTGATTCCCAGTATTAGAAGCTACTAAGAGATAACTAACACCTAGATTTCAATAAAATAACAAAAAGCACAAAGCAGAATATCTTAAAATGGACTTTAAAACAGTTCATTCTTCACTTCCATATAAGGAAAGTGACGTTTCTTCCATTAACATCTCCTACTTGCTATTAAAAAATAAACTCTTTTTAAATCAAATGGTTAAAAAAAAAGACAAGCATATTAAACAAGAATGAAGTACTACTCTATCCCCATAAAAAAGTAACCACCTCCAAATTTTTTAAGGATAAAACCCAGAGGTGAAAGAAAAAGGTTATCAACTGCCAACTAAACTACATAATCCTCTTGAAAAACTCTACACTAAGAACTACACAGCCAGATTTATAAAACTGTTCATATTCTCTGAACAATTATTCTCTGACTCAAAATAATTTTACTTATATGGGTATCTTAAGGAGACAATGTTGAAACAAAAGTTGTACATGACATTCAATGCATAACTTTATAATTTAAAAAATTTCAACCTCCTTTACCAGCAATAGAATTGTCTAAATTACATACATAATAGTAACTTGAATACAGAAACAGCTTTTTGTAATTTGAACACATACATTATTACCTTATTGCTCTTAAACACCTTATGAAGTGGGTACTGTATGCTTAAATTGGTTGATGCAGTAACTAGACATCTATGAGGCTAAATAACTTAAGGAATCATGGTTGATAGCAGAAATAGGACATAAACCCAGGCTTCATGATTCTAAGTCTAGGGCATTGTTCATCTTGATGATATGCTTCAATACCAGCACAGAAAAATGCATGCTATGTTTAAAAAAAAGAAGAAGCACAAAAGAAGAACTGTGTACACATTTTAATGGCAGCTAAATTTTTTTTTAAATCTGGTTTTAACATGGTTAAAGATCAAGAGACAATGGAAAAGTAAAAAAAAAAAAATTATGCTGCACTCCCATGTTCATAGCAGCATTATTCACAATAGCCAAAAGGTAGAAGCAACTCAAATGTCCTTCAACAATGACTGCGTAACAAAACTGGTATATACATACAATGAAATATTATTCAGTCTTAATAAAGAAGGACATTTTCACACATGTTACAACATGCATGAACTCTGACAACATTATGCTGAGTAAAATAAACCATTTGGTCACAAAAGAACAAACACTGTATGATTACATACCTATCTGAGGTACCTAGAATAGGCAAATTCATAGAAACACAATGTCAGAGGGGAGAATGAGAGCTATTATTTAGTGAGCATAGAGTTCTAGTTTGAAATAAAGAAACAGCTGTGGAGATGAATGAAATGGTGATAGCTGCACACTGTGAATGTACCTAATGGTACTGAACTAGACACTTAACCACAGAGACAGAAAGTAGAATGGGGGCTGCCAGGGGCTGGAAAGGGAGGAATAGGGAATCACTGTTTAATAGGTACAGAGAGTTTCAGTACAGGAGGATGAAGTAGTTCTGGAGGTGGATAGTAGTGAAATTTGGTTGTAAACAGTATGAATAAATTAAATGCCACTGAACAGTACACTTAGAAATGGTTAAAATGGCAAATTTTATGTTAACTATGTTTGTCACACAAAAAATAGATTTTAAAATTAAGCTACATTATTCTGTAGTGATAGCAATAAAGTAACAATTTTTCATCAAAATTTTATTTGAAAAGGAAAAATGAGAACAGTCTTACCATGTGAGAAATACTAAACCCAAGTACCAAAGAAATGCAAATCAATGAGATGCCATTTTTCAATATCAGATTAGCAAATATTTTTGAAGTAATGAAACCTTGACTGTCATTCAGCACACACATGAAATACTCCTCATACACCATTTTCATGGGAGTGCAAACTCATATATCCTTTGTGTTTTTTTTAAATTTATTTATTAATTTGAGTAAAACTGCTTTACAACATTATGACAGTTTCTGCCATACAACAATGTACATCAGCCATAGTTATATCAACTCCCTCTTGAGCTTCCCTCCCCTCCCCACATCCTACTCCTTTAGATCATCACAGATCACCTGGCTGGGATCCCTGTGTTATATAGCAACTTCTCACCAGGTATCTATTTTACACATGGTAGTGTATTTATGTTGATGCTACTTTTTCCATTCATCCCACTGTCCTCTCTCCACTGTGTCCACAAGTCTGTTCTCAGTATCTGCATCTCCATTCCTTCCCTAAAAATAGGTTCATCAATATCACTTTTCTAGATACCATTTATGTGCAATAATATGATATTTCTTTCTCTTTCTGATTTACTTCACTCTCTAAATCCACCACCTAACTAGAACTGGCTCAAATTCATTCCTTTTTTATGGCTGAATACTATTCCGTGTGTGTGTGTGTGTGTGTGTGTGTGTGTGTGTGTGTGTGTGTGTGTGTGTGCACGGCACATCTTTATCCATTCATCTGTCAATGGACATCTAGGTTACTTCCATATTCTAGCTATTGTAAATAGTACTGCAAAGAACTGGGATACATGTGTCTTTTTCATTTATGGTTTTCTCATAGTATATGACCAGTAGTGGAATTGCTAGGTCATATGGTAGCTTTATTCCTAGTTTTTTAAGGAATCATATATCCTTTCTTAAGGACAACTCAAAAAATACATAGAAATAATTTTCCAGCCAAGCCCTTAACGGTGGAATTTCTCATAGCAATTTATCATAAGAAGCTACGTGAAGATGTATACAATGAATTAAATATGCTAGTCAGTATATCATAATGAGGAGAAAAATACAAATAATCTAGAGGATTGTCCATCAATTAGAAAGGATTCTACAATCTAAAATCTATTTATGACTCCTAGGCTAGAAACAAGCTGTTAATACTGGTTATCTCTAACTTTACCATAATAAAGATGTACTCTTCTAGAATAAAAACCGTTCATTCACTTAATATATTATTTTTGAAAATACACAATTTAAAAATTGTTCATTTCAAAAAACTAGAAATCGTAGACAATACAATGGTCTATGCAAGAAAGATCTAAACTCCATTCAAGGGCCCTATATGCAAAGAAATCATTTGCCCCTAGTTTAAAAGATTTCCAAATGAAAGTATATTTATATGTTTTAAAGTTAAATTAAGATAATTTTTTTCCTATGATTACCACTTTCATCTACTCTTTTCATCAACACTGAGGAAGTGAGTGAGTATGCACTATTTTTCACCACCAGATCTGAAGTATATGCAACATAATGTATACATCTTAGAACTTTGGGATAAGATACTAAGTTTAAGTTGATGCTGTGGTAAGTAAAATATATGAGTTTTCTTAAGGCATTATGAAAAGGAATCAGGGAAACTGAAAACCACAGAAAATTATCTGTATTTCACCTAATCAAGTATTAGATTATAATTTTTAAAACTTACACTGAATCATATTGTTTATACTCATAATTTAATATATCATGATATCTTAAGTTGTACAATATATTATAGTAAAACATAAACTTGATTTATGAGCTAGAAGTCAGAATCTAGGCTTTGCCAATAACTAGTTAGTAACCTTAGGTGAGACACTAACATAATAAAGCATAACAACTGCAAAATAAAAAAACTGAGCAAAATCATCATTTCCTCATATGTATTCTGCTGAATTTGTATGTAACATGCTGATTGAAGAACTGATTCTGTGGTCAAATAAATTTGAAAAATATCACACTATAGCTTCATCCTCATCCTAAATAATCCATATCAGCATATTAAAAGTATTGAAGTCCTGTTAGAAAGAAGCCTGTTTCACTCTAAAAGCATTTCCCAGGTTTGTGGAACCATGGGTGTTCTTTTGTTCTCAGGACACCTATGAAGCAGCCTATTGCACTGAATCAGTATTTCACAAGAAAAGACAGGCTTTGAGAAGTGTTGATAAAATGCTGTCTAATGTTCCATCTGTTTTAAAGAACACTTCCAATGTGCAAGAGAGTTATACCTCTCCTAGCCAAAGACAACACAAAAAAAGAAAACTACAGGAAAGTATCACTGATGAACACAGGTGCAAAAATCCTCAACAAATTTCAGCAAACGGAATTCAGCAATACATCAAAAAGCTCAAACACCATGATCAAGTTGGGTCTATTCCAGTGATGCAAGGATTCTTCAATATATGCAAATCAATCAAGGTGATACACCATATTAAATTGAAAGATAAAAACCATATGATAATCTCAATAGCCACAGAAAAAGACTTTGACAAAATTCAGCACCCATTTATAATTAAAACTCCCCAAAAAATGGGCATAGAAGGAAACTACCTCAACATAGTAAAGGCCATATATAAGCCTATAGGAAACATTATTCTCAATGGTAAAAAAATGAAATCATTCCCCCTAAGGTCAGGAACAAGACAAGGGTGTCCACTTTCACCATTATTGTTCAACATAGTTCTGAAAGTCCTAGCTACAGCAATCAGAGAAGAAAAATTAAAGGAATCCAGATTGGAAAAGAAGTAAACCCTACATAGAAAACTCTAAAGATAGTATCAGAAAATTCCCTCACTAGAGCTAATCAGTGAGGTTAAGAAAAGTTGAAGAATACAAAATCAACATACAGAAATCACTTGCATTTCTATATAGGAACAATGAAAAATCAGAAAGAGCAATTAAGGAATCAATCCCATTCATCATTGCAACAAAAAGAATTAAATATCCAGGAATAAACTTACCTAAGGGGACAAAAGAACTGTACACAGAAAACTGTAATAAACGATGAAAGAAATCAAAGATGACATAAACAGATGGAGAGACATTCCATGTTCCTAGGCAGGAAAGTGAAAATGAGTATAACTACCAAACACAACCTATAGATTCAATGCAATCCATATCAAATTACCAATGGCATTTTTCACAGAACTAGAACAAAAAATTTCACAGCTCATATGCAAACACAAAAGATCCCAAATAGCCAAAGGAGTCTTGAGTAAGAAGAATCGAGCTGGAGGAATCAACCTTCCTGACTTCAGACTATACTACAAAGCTATGGTCATCAAGACAGTATGGTACTGGCACAAAAAGAGAAATACAGACCTATGGAACAAGACAGAAAGTCCAGAAATAAATCCATGCACCTATGGGTACCTTATCGTTGACAAAGGAGGCAAGACTATACAATGGGGAAAGACAGCCTCTTCAATAAATGGTGCTGGGAAAACTGGACAGCTACAAGTAAAAGAATGAAATTACAACATTTCCTAACACCATACACAGAAATAAACTCAAAATGGATTAAATACCAAAATGTAAGGCCAGGAACTATAAAATTCTTAAGAGGAAAACACAGGCAGAACATTCAGTGACATAAATCAAAGCAAGATCCTGTATGACCCACTTCCTAGAGTAACAGAAATAAAAACCAAAGTAAACAAGTGGGACCTGATTAAACTTAAAGCTATTGCACAGCAAAGGAAACTATAAGCAAGGTGAAAAGGCAACCCTCAAATGGGAGAAAATAATAGCAAATGAAACAACTGACAAAGGATTAATTTCCCAAATATACAAGCAGCTCATACATCTCAATAGCAGAAAAACAAACAACCCAATCAAAAAGTAGGAAATAGACCTAAGCAGACATTTCTTCAAAGAAGACATACAGATGGCTAACAAACACATGAAAAGATGCTCAACATTGCTCATTATTAGAGAAGTGCAAATCAAAACCACAATGAGATATCACCTCACACTGGTCAGAATGGCCCTCATCAAAAAGTCTACAAACAATAAATGCTGGAGAGGGTGTGGAGAAAAGGAAACACTCTTGCACTGTTGGTGGGAATATAAATTGATACAGTCAATATGGAAGACAATATGAAGATTCCTCATAAAACTAGGAATAAAACCACCATATGACCCAGCAATCCCACTCATAGGCATATACCCTGAGGAAATAAAAATGGAAAAAGACACATGTATCCCACTGTTCATTGCAGCATTAGTTACAATAACTAGAACATGGAAGCAACCTAGATGTCCATCAACAGATGAATGGATAAAGAAGTTGTGGTACATACACACAATGGAATATTACTTGGCCATAAAAAAGGAACACATTTGAGTCAGTTCTGATGAGGTGGATGAACCTAGAACCTATTATACAGAGTAAAGTGAGTCAGAAAGAGAAAGATAAATATTTGTTTTAACACACATATACAGAATCTAGAAAAACGTTACTGGAAGAATTTATTTACAGGGCAGCAATGGAGAAACAGACATAGAAAATAAGACTTATGGATATGGGGAGAGGGGAGGAGAGGGTGAGATGTATAGAAAGAGTAACATGGAAATTTACATTACCATATGTAAAACAGACAAGAATTTGCTGTATGGCTCAGGAAATTCAAACAAGGGCTCTGTATCAACCTAGAGGGGTGGGATGGGGCGGGAGATGGGAAGAAGGTTGAAAAGGAAGGAGATATATGTATACCTGTGGCTGATTCATGTTGAGGTTTGACAGAAAACAATAAAATTCTGTAAAGCAATTATCCTTCAATTAAAAAATAAATTAAAAAGAAAAAAAAAATTCTCTCCTAGCAGTCTCACATTGGAAGTATAAAGTGACACTAGTTTTCTAAAGAGCTATTTGGCAAAATGCATCCAAATTTTAAGCATGTTATACTCATTGTCCACTATCTTCCTTCTAGGATTTTCTCTTAAAAGAACCAAATCAATGCATAAAGATGCATTTGTAAGGCTATTCAATGCCTTACAGTGTTTATTATAGAAAATGCAGCAGTGTTTATTACAGAAAAGAAAGAAAAAAGAAAGAATCTAAATGTCCAGCAATGGGGAACTGGATAAACAAATTACAATACATTCAAATAACAGAACACTAGGTAGCCACTGGGCTTCTCGGATGGCACAGTGGTAGAACCTGCCTGAAATGCAGGAGGGGATGTGAGTTCGCTCTCTTGTGTTTGGAAGATCCCCTAGAGAAAGAAATGGCAACCCACTCCAGTATTCTTGCCTGGGAAATCCCATTGACAGAGGAGCCTGGTGGGCTATAGTCCATGGGGTTATAAAAAGATTCAGACATGACTTAGCGACTAAACAACAAACAAGTAAGCCCTTACAAAGGGTTAACCATATTTACTAACAGAGAAAGGCTTCTGTAACCCATTGACAGGAAAAAAAAAAAATCATATAAAATGTGATCTCATACATGTAACATTTTCTATTTACATATGCCTACTAACTGTCTAGAAGTATTCTTACTAAAAATGTTAACATTTCACATGCATTGGGATATCTATTCTTAAAAAAACAAAAACTACAAAACAAGCGTTAGTATATGTGTGGAGAAACTGGAACCCTTGTACATTACTGGTGAGAATGTAAAATGTTAAAGGTATAAATATAAAAATGATTTTTTATCCAGCAAGTCTACAATTGAGTATATACACAAAAGAACTGGAAGTAGGGACTCAAACAGTATTTGTACATCAATGTTCATGTCCATATTACTCACAATAGTTAAAAGGATGAAACAACCAAGATCCCCATCAACTGATAAAAGATTACACGAAATGTGGTGTATCCATATAATGGGATATTATTCAGCCTTAAAAAGGGAGGACATTCTGATACACGCAACAATGTGGATGCTATGCTAAATGAAATAAGCCAGAAATAAAAAGAATATTGGATGATGCCACTTACATAAAGTACCTAGAGTAGTCAAATTCAGCAAAAGAAAGAACAGTGGTGAGCCGCAGCTCAGGGAAGGGAGGGAAGGGAAATTAGTCTTTAATGGGTTCCAAGTTTCAGCATGGCAGGATGAAAAAGTTCTGGAGTTGGGTAATGATGATGGTTGTGGAACACTATGAACATGCTTATTAACAGTACTGAATTCAACCTTGAAAATGGTTAAAATGATAAGTTTTACATTATATATATTTTACCACAATAAAATAAAATCTAAAAAGACATTAACATTGGTTATCTCTAGGTGGAGGGAATACAGATGATTTGTCCTCCCCAGTCTTTTTTTTTTTAACAAGCAATTTTTTACTATTAGAAAAAATAATTGTAGAAGCAAAATCATTCCCTAGAGACCATCCTGTGACTCTAAGAGGCCTTTGCCTAATGACTGTTATCTTCTCATCACTAGGCCTACTGAGCAAATTATAGCCAGGAGTAGAACTTAGGGGACTGAAAGGTGTTCTCAATTAGTCAAGAATGCCAAAGGGCCAGCTACTGTGGCAAGTACTGAGATGTACACGTTATATATGTAGGCTTCAAAATTACCATAGAAAGCATTTATTATCATCTTCACTTTGTAGATACAGAAATTTGACCATTACAGTTAACGACACTCAGAAATATACAGGATACAAAGTTTTTAAAAAGCAGCTGCAAAATAATAATATTTCATTTCTGCTTTTTAAATTAAAATGCATGTGGGAGTGTGCCTTGTTTTATGTACATATTGGAAAAATAGGCATCAAAAACATCAATAGTAGTTATCTCTGAGGAGAAGAATCAATAGAGGTTTATAACTGTTGTACAATTGTTTTTCTACAACTTTTAATTTTTTATCATTGTTAATGTATTCCTTTCATAGTAAGCAAAAGATTTATAATGTTATATATCAAAAGGTATTATTGTAATGAAAGTCAATTATACTATTATCATAAAGAAGTTATCTAACTTATGAAATCAAATCATTAACTTTAGTCACAAAGCCACTGGTAAAGAGAAAAAGATCATCACATAGAATTCCACTTACATTCCATCTTTTCTTTTTTTCCTTTCTTCCCTTTAGAAGAAGAAGATGAATGAGACGATGCAGCAGACTGGGCCCCAGATGAGTGCTGGGAGGTGACATCCACAGAGGAGAGCTCATAGGCAGACTTTCTGCTAGAATGATCCTCCTGAATGCCTAAACTGTGACTACCAATACTGTCAAAGAATAAGTAATAGTGGTTAAAGAAAGAAAGAAAAAGTTTCAACCCACAGCTAAAACTACAGATATTTTAAAATCTATTTAGTCACAAAGAGAATACAACTATAATCACAGATGCTTTCCACTTGCCTTGTTTTGTCCATACCAGAAGCCTGCATTATTCCCTATGGCTCAATTTATTACTGAGAAAAGTCTTGGGCAGTTTTTTACTGAAGTGAAACCAATAAAAATGGGTAACTCAGACACGTAAGAGAAAAAAATATAATGCTGGATACTGAAAAATGTGACCTCGATTTCTACTCAAATTTATAAATATTTTCCTTCTAATAATCCTATAGGGAATAATAATTTAATATGTTCTAATTCAACTCAGAAATAAAATATAATAAATCATATTGATTGGTGATATTAAATGTTACCACAATTAAATCCTTACACATCTTGATTAAAAAATAAACCTTTACTTTGAAGTTCAAAATTTAAAACTACACTTCTGCTATAATCTTAATAATACTTATTTTCATTAATCTAGCTATATATAATTTTTTTGATTAATTTTTTAGAGGATAATTACTTTACAATAATGTGATGGTTTTTGCCATATATCAACATGAACAGGCATTAGAGATACATGAATCCCTCTTGAATCCCTCCTACTTTCCTCCCCATCCCACCCCTCTAGGCTGTCACAGAGCACTGGCTTTGGGTTCTCTGCATCATACATTGAACTCCCACTGGCTATTTATTTTACATATGGTATGTATATGTTTCAATGCTATTCTCTCAAATCATCCCACTCTCCCCTTCTCCCACTTTTTCCAAAAGTCTGATCTTTATGTCTATGTGTCCTTTGCTGCCCTGCATGTAGCATGATTATTACTACCTTTCTAGATTTCATATATATGCGGATATAATTAATTTTTTAAAGATCATCCAATAATTTTATGTGCATTACAATTTGTAATGTGTGAAGAAAATTATACTGCATGTGAGTGATTACAAATTATTTTATATGGTAACAAAATTTAGGGAGGAAATTCTCAGGTGAAATCTGATTCACTTACTATATGACACTGTACAGGTAACAACCTTAGGACTTCAGTTTCCTCTCTCAAGTATGAATAACAAAAATATTTATCATATCAGGCTGTTAGGAGAATGAGTTAATACAGGTAAAGCCCTATCAGTCCTCTTAGCACCTTACACATTAAAGTGAAAGTGTTAGTTGTTCAGTTGTGTCCAGCTCTTTATGATCCAGTGTTAGCTGTTCAGTTGTGTCCAACTCTTTATGATCCCCTGGACTGTAGTCTGCCAGGCTCCTCTAACCATGGGATTCTGGAGTGGGTTGCCGCCTTCTCCAGGGGATCTTCCCCATCCAGGGGTCAAACCCAGGTTTCCCGCATTGCAGGCAGATTCTTTACTGATTGAGCCATCAGGGAACTCCCTTGTACATTAACTGCTCAATAAATATTAACATTATAATATTGCTACTATTCAAAGATTTGCAAAACTTTTGATGTTATCCCAATTATAAAAAAAATTACTGATTACTTAGGATCATGTGGTGTTGGAGAAGACCCTTGAGAGTCCCTTGGACTACAAGGAAATCCAACCAGTCCATCCTAAAGGAAATCAGTCCTGAATATTCATTGGAAAGACAGAAGTTGAAGTTGAAACTCCAATCCTTTGGTCACGTGATGTGAAGAACTGACTCATTTGAAAAGATCCTGATACTGGGAAAGATTGAAGGCGGGAGAAGGAGATGACAGAGGATGAGGTGGTTGGATGGCATCACAGACTCAAAGGACATGAATTTGAGTAAACTCTGGGAGTTGGTGATGGACAGGGAGGCCTGGCATGCTGCAATCCATGGGGTTGCAAAGAGTCGGACATGATTGAGCAACTGAACTGAACTGAATAGGATCATGGAGTCAAGTGTCTAGCTAGTCATCTTCAATTCTATTACAGAAAACCATTTCTTAATCATCTCATATTAACACACCATGGGATAATTTTCCCAATACTAACCTCAACCAGGGATTCATAGATTGATTTAACAATCTATATTTTGTTTATTATGTGCCAGACTCTATTCCAAGTACTTTGTATTTCACTGAACATTCATAACACTTTAACAGAGAAGAAAACTGAGGCATAGGGAAATTAAAACAACATGCCCAAAGACAAACAACTGAACATTACTAGAGTCAGTATGTAAACCCATATGGTCTGGATCCAGAGCCCATGCTCTTAATAACTACTATGCTATGCAGCTTCTACATGTTTCTTCAAATAAGCAAAATCTGACTAATATCCAGACTTCAGTTCTCATTTGTACATTTGTCTCACTCTTCAGATTTTATTTCATACTGTTAACACAGTCTTACTTGGGTTCAAGAGCTGACTTTTTTTCTGTCAAAGTCCCACTCCCTGCAGAAGAAACAAAATCATCTTCATAGGAAACGCTGCTTAGAGGGGTTGTGATGGCATTCAAAGGCCGTGATGCTGATGTTCCTCTTTCCAACCTGTCTTCAAATTCTGTCAAAAGTAGTAATTGAAATGTGTTTTAAAATAAACATTTAAAAAACTACAAGCAAAGCATTCCACAACCTGGGGATTAACAACATGGATTTATTTTAGTTTGCTTTTATTAGTTCTTCTTTTCAAGTTATCTTTATATCTGATAATACATCTTTAACTTTTTATTAGGGAAATTTTCAAACATATATATGACAGTAAAGAGAGTCATATAATGAAACTAATACATCCATTATCCAGCTTTAACAAATACCAACACAAACTTCGTATTCCCTCCATCTGTAATTTTCCTCAAATATTACTTTGAAACAAATCCCAGATAACAGATCAACTCTAAACATTTCAGTATAACTACAACATCTTAATGGAAATCTAATAGAAGGATTTAAAAACAAATCCAACCTTCTTGCGAAAAGAAATTGAGGGGGTTGATTTACAAGCTCTTTGCTTTAATCAGAAGAACTTTAATATTCAAAGAACTTGAAAATGACCACTTATAGAAATAAGTGCTAAACAAAAGAGATAAATAGGCACATATAGGTCTGCACAAGATCAAATGAAGTAGCTAACTATGAATTCTAGAGAAAAGTAATGGGAAACCCAATTAAGCATAAGATGAACAGATTAAATCAATTCATCTGTCAGATAAATCGTTCACTATGTAGAATGGAAATGAAAAAAAAACACAGTATCCATAGTCTACTTCGGGCTCAGCCTCACTCACTCTCCAACCTGGGAATTCTAAGGTGATATTTGTATAAGATGGGTAGAATCCACCTACAATAGGAAGAACAAAGGAAGGAACTTGAAGGAGTTGAGTCTGACACACAAAAGGAAAAGTTGCATTGCAGGATCTCAGGGATCACATGGGCACCTTAAAAGTTATTATTTTAGGACCCAAATATACAGCTACATTACTGTTCAAAGTCTGTTTTTAGCATTCATTTAGACAAACAGTAACAGATTTGCTTCCATGTTAGAAATATTACTACAGTTGGCCCTCTCATTTCTTGACCATTATATTCTCAAAGATCTGTTTGTTATGCTGCTGCTGCTAAGTCACTTCAGTTGTGTCCGACTCTGTGCGACGAGGCACACACAAATCACCGTTTTAAGAAATACACATATTTTCTATCTAAATATATAACTCTGGCCATAGTAACCCGAGTATATACTTGATACATATCTATTTTGAACATCACCTATGAATTTCTCTAAATCAGACCAAAATTTCCATAACCATCAATCAACTACTGTTTTAATCACAAGAGCTAAAAAATAAATTTTTAAAGATTAAATTACAATACTCTAGTTGAAGCTTGCAGACAACTGAGATTAATTTAGATAATAATATATCTCTACTATCCTTATAATGGATGAAAATCTGTAGTTAAGTATTATCTTGTACAGGATTACAAGATAATTTATCCTAACATAGCATACAAATATTACAAGGGTTACTATTTTTCTTACCTTTTCCATATAACTTATATGATTTTGTAAAAATATTAATGACACTATGTGGACTTCCCTTTGCCAATTCTTCCCATGGTCCTTTGCTCTGTGTACCACCTATAGGCCCACAGAGTGGTAAGAATTTTTCAGCTTCCTTCTGAAACTCTTTGATGGGTTCATAAGCATTTCTTTCTCCAACACAAAATTCCTTTTCTTTCAAGATCTCTGTTAACTTCAAAGGGGACTGTTCATCTCGACGTCCTTCTTCTTCAGAGAGACTCCCCTCACTAAGAGGTCCTTCACTGACGGAATCTATGCTGGAACCAAGAGATATCTTAGCTTTGTCTTGAGAACAAACTTGCATATCAGAGCCAGAAGAGTCAGTCTGCTTCTTACACAACTGTGCCAGCAGCCCTTCTGGTTTGGGTCCAGGAGATCTCATTCTGAGGTTTGATATGGCACTATGAGGTCTTATCATCTCAGGAAGCTTTTTAAATTCACTGAGGTTGCCGACACCAGGAAGATCATCATCAAAAGTTGCATGAGATACACAGGTTCCCAGCATCTTTTGAATTCGAGCAGAGAAAACATCTTCTGCATCCTCTTTCACAGGTGGACTTATAGCCTTGGTCCAATGTCCATCTTCTTGTGGTGTTCGCTGCACATCATACTCAGTGTTCCATACTGACCCATAGTTAATGTTAGCCCCAGCTAATTTTCTGGCTTCACTTTCAATCCTGCTGGACAAAGAAGCAGCTGTTGCCTTCAAGGCTTCAATACGATCCAGTTTACTCTTATATTGGCTAGCACTAGATTTTAACAAGGCATCTGGATGAGCAGTTGGTGAGGTCAGATATGGTTGAGGTGTAAAAGTTAATGGCCCCGAAGCCATACTGTGATTCTTCCTCGTTGGTAAAATGGATTCCAAATCCTTATGCAAAATTCCTACATGCTCTAGATTCAAGAGATGGGAAAGTAAATTTCCAGCTGTCCCAACAAGAGGCTGTGGTTGAGGATGTTGGACTCGTGGACTTAGCCTGTCAGGTTGCATCCATGAAGGATCCATCAAGTCCTTTCTGGAAATGAAAGTTACAATATGTTAGTTAACACAGGACCTCATAACTAAGCCATCCTTTTCTTTCTTAAAGTTTTGCGTTTGCTGATTATAAGAGTAATTCATAGCCACTGCAAAAAAAAAAAAAAAAAAAGATGAGGACAACAACAACAACAAAGTATGAAAAGGATAAAGATCACTCATAGCTAACCAATGAGAGAAAGGCTATCACTATTTCATTCAGAATTATCTTTCCAAACCTTTTTCTACATGTATATTGTGTTTGGTGGTGTTACTTTCACAAAAATGAGATTTTATCATACATATTGTTTTGTAAACAGCTTTCTTCACCAGGACATTTTTTAAAAAACTAAGTCTTGTTTTTAAAACTATTAATTAAAGAGAAGGCCTCATAACCCTTAAAACTCTATGGACAAAATTTTTTACAACATTGGCTCTACCTTTCCCTTTAAAAATAATGTTACATAATAGAGAAATGCTTAAGATTATAGGCATAATATTACTCTAATCAACATATATTTAATAAGCATCAGTTGGGTTTTAACACTGTGCATTCTAAAGAAATGAGATGAATACAATCTAGTTCTCAGAAAAACTGATAGTCCATCCACAGAGGCTAGAAACAGAAGAAAGATGTCCTGCTGCTACTGTTAAGTCACTTCAATCATGTCCAACTATGTGACCCCATAGCCGGCAGCCCACCAGGCTCCCCCATCCCTGGGATTCTCCAGGCTAGAATACTGGAATGGACTGCCATTTCCTTCTCCAATGAATGAAAGTGAAAAGTGAAAGTGAAGTTGCTCAGTCATGTCCGACTCTTCGCAACCCCATGGACCACAGCCTACCAGGCTCCTCTGTCCGTGGGATTTTCCAGACAAGAGTACTGGAGTGGGGTGCCATTGCCGTCTCCAAAGATGTCCTAGATGACATTATATAATTCACTTATGTTTCCAGACTATGGATATCTCGCTGTATATTAAGGAATACCATATACAAAGGTTAAAGGCTGGTGTTAACTGTTAAGATGATCTTCATGGGGGGAAAAAAAATGAGGTTTTGTCCTTGGCCTTGTCCATTATTTTTGGATGATGACATGACGGTATGCTTATCAAATTTGTAGATGACAGAAAGCTAGGAGGCATAGTTAACCCAACAAATAATCAAATTATGATTCAAGGTTATTTAGACAGGCTGCAACCTCAGACCAATCAAATATGGATAAATATGAAGTCGTACCAATTAAGTTTAAAAAAAAAACCATCTGGAAGAGAGTAAACAGGGTAGTAAAGGAAATGAAAAGCATGTCATGCACAGTTTGGTTGAAGGTTATGTTGTAGCAGTCTTTCATATTAGAGGACTGCTATGAAAGTGGAATAAAGGAAGACTAGTGAATGGGCGTGCCGGCTGCGACGAACCGCGCAGAAGCGCGGCCGTGAGGAGCTACCCCTCGCCTAAGGTCAGGGTAGCGATCGAGAGCGCCAGGCTGCGACAGCACAGGAGCAGCGGCCGAGAGGAGCAGCCCCACCTCCAAGGAGCGGCTGCTGCGGCGTGCAGGAGGGCTGAGAGGAGCTACTCCACGTTCAAGGTCAGGAGCAGCGGCAGTGAGAAGATACCCCTCCTCCAAGGTAAGAAGCAGCAGCTGAGCTTTTCTGGAGCAGCCGTGAAGGGATACCCCAAGTCCGAGGTAAGAGAAACCCAAGTAAGATGGTAGGTGTTGTGAGAGGGCATCCGAGGGCAGACACACTAAAACTATAATCTCAGAAAATTAGCCAATCTGATCACAGGACCACAGTTGTGTCTAACTCAATGAAACTAAGCCATGCTGTGTGGGGCCACCCAAGACGGTAGGATCATGGTGGAGAGGTCTGACAGAATGTGGTCCACCGGAGAAGGGAATGGCAAACCACTTTAGTATTCTTGCCTTGAGACCCCATGAACAGTATGAGAAGGCAAAATGATAGGATACTGAAAGAGGAACTCCCCAGGTCAGCAGCTGCCCAGTATGCTACTGGAGATCAGTGGAGAAATTTAACTCCAGAAAGAATGACGGGATGGAGCCAAAGCAAAAACAATACCCTGCTATGGATGTGACTGGTGATAGAAGCAAGGTTCGATGCTGTAAAGAGCAATATTGCATAGGAACCTGGAATGTTAGGTCCATGAATCAAGGCAAATTGAAAGTGGTCAAACAGGAGATGGCAGGAGTGAATGTCGACATTCTAGGAATCAGCGAACTAAAATGGACTGGAATGGGTGAATTTAACTCAGATGACCATTATATCTACTACTGTGGGCAGAAATCCCTTAGAAGAAATGGAGTAGCCATCATGGTCAACAAAAGAGTCCAAAATGCAGTACTTGGATGCAATCTCAAAAACGACAGAATATCTCTGTTTGTTTCCAAGGCAAAGCATTCAATAACACAGTAATCCAAGCCTATGCCTCAACCAGTAATGCTGAAGAAGCTGAAGTTGAACAGTTCTATGAAGACCTACAAGACCTTTTAGAACTAACACCCCAAAAAGATGTCCTTTTCATTATAGGGGACTGGAATGCAAAAGTAGGAAGTCAAGAAACACCTGGAAGTAACAGGTAAATTTGGCCTTGGAGTACGGAATGAAGCAGGGCAAAGGCTAATAAGAGTTTTGTCAAGAGAATGCACTGGTCATAGCAAACACCCTCTTCCAACAACACAATAGAAGACTCTACACAAGGACATCACCAGATGGTCAACACCGAAATCAGACTGATTATATTCTTTGCAGCCAAAGATGGAGAAGCTCTATACAGTCAGCAAAAACAAGACCGGGAGCTGACTGTGGCTCAGATCATGAACTCCTTAATGCCAAATTCAGACTTAAACTGAAGAAAGTAGGGAAAACCACTAGACCATTCAGGTATGACCTAAATCAAATCACTTATGACTATACACTGGAAGTGAGAAATACATCTAAGGGACTAGATCTGATACACAGAGAGCCTCATGAACTATGACAGAGGTTCGTGACATTGTACAGGAGACAGGGATCAAGACAATCCCCAAGAAAAAGAAATGCAAAAAGGTAAAATGGTTGTCTAAGAGGCCTTACAAATAGCTGTGAAAAGAAGAGAAGCAAAAAGCAAAGGAGAAAAGGAAAGATATTCCCATCTGAATGCAGAGTTCCAAACAATAGCAAGGAGAGATAAGAAAGCCTTCCTCAGCAATCAATGCAAAGAAATAGAGGAAAACAACAGAATGGGAAAAACTAAAGATCTCTTCAAGAAAATTAAAGATACCAAGGGAACATTTCAGACACAGATGGGTTTGATAAAGGACAGAAATGGTATGGACCTAACAGAAGCAGAAGATATTAAGAAGAGGTGGCAAGAATACACAGAAGAACTGTACAAAAAAATATCTTCACGACCCAGATAATCACAATGGTGTGATCACTCACCTAGAGCCAGACATCCTGGAATGTGAAGTCAAGTGGGCCTTAGAAAGCATCACTAGCAACAAAGCTAGTGGATGTGATGGAATTCCAGTTGAGCTATTTCAAATCCTTGAAAGATGATGCTGTGAAAGTGCTGCACTCAATGTCAGCAAATTTGGAAAACTCAGCAGTGGCCACAGGACTGGAAAAGGTCCGTTTTCATTCCAATCCCTAAGAGAGGCAATCCCAAAGAATGCTCAAACTACTGCACAATTGCACTCATCTCACATGCTAGTAAAGTAATGCTCAAAATTCTCCAAGCCAGGCTTCAGCAATACGTGAACCGAGAACTTCCAGATGTTCAAGCTGGTTTTAGAAAAGGCAGAGGAACCAGAGATCAAATTGCCAACATCCGCTGGATCATCGAGAAAGCAAGACAGTTCCAGAAAAACATCTATTTCTGCTTAATGACTATGCCAAAGCCTTCTAGTGTGTGGATCACAATAAACTGTGGAAAATTCTGAAGGAGATGGGAATACCAGACCACCTGACCTGCCTCTTGAGAAACCTGTATGCAGGTCAGGAAGCAACAGTTAGAACTGGACATGGAACAACAGACTGGTTCCCAATAGGAAAAGGAGTACGTCAAGGCTGTATATTGTCACCCTGCTCCTTTAACTTATATGCAGAGTACATCATGAGAAACACTGGGCTGGAAGAAGCACAAGCTGGAATCAAGATTGCCAGGAGAAATATCAATAACCTCAGAAATGCAGATGACACTACCCTTATGGCAGAAAGTGAAGAGGAACTAAAAAGCCTCTTGATGAAAGTGAAAGAGGAGAATGAAAAAGTTGGCTTAAAGCTTAACATTCAGAAAACTAAGATCATGGCATCTGGTCCCATCACCTCATGGGAAATAGATGGGGAGACAGTGGAAACAGTGTCAGACTTCATTTTTTGGGGCTCCAAAATCACTGCAGATGGTAACTGCAGCCATGAAATTAAAAGACGCTTACTCCTTGGAAGGAAAGTTATGACCAACCTAGAAACCTAGATAGCATATTAAAAAGCAGAGAATTACTTTGCCAACAAAGGTCCGTCTGGTCAAGGCTATGGTTTTTCCAGTGGTCATGTATGGATGTGAGAGTTGGACTATAAAGAAAGCTGAATGCCAAAAAACTGATGCTTTTGAACTATGGTGTTGGAGAAGACTCTTGAGAGTCCCTTGGACTGCAAGGAGATCCAACCAGTCCATCCTAAAGGAGATCAGTCCTGGGTGTTCATTGGAAGGGCTGATGCTGAAGCTGAAACTCCAGCACTTTGGCCACCTCATGCAAAGAGTTGACTTATTGGAAAAGACCCTGATGCTGGGAGGGATTGGGGGCAGGAGGAGAAGGGGGCGACAGAGGATGAGATGGCTGGATGGCATCACCAACTCAATGGGCATGAGTTTGAGTAAACTCCAGGATTTGGTGACGGACAGGGAGGCCTGGCATGCTGCGATTCATGGGGTCACAAAGAGTTGGACACGACTAAGCGACTGAACTGAACTGAAGTGAGTGAATGGATGCTATGCCACAGAATACAGACTATTACAAATGCAAGGTGTGAAGTTATTAGTACCCAAACTAAACTAATAATGGTAGTAATGGAAATACAAAGCAAGTTATAAATAAAAAGGTACTGCTGAGTAAAAATCTGAGATCTTTATATTCAAATGTTTAGAATGCTAATCTTAATGGTAGAACAGCCATACACAAAAATGGAAATAAACCTCATCTAATTAAGACCTAATCCTTCAGCTTCAGAAGATCTAACAGGGATGACAGACTAATAAAGAGCTAAACATGATGACATTAAGTACTAATACGAAGATATATAAAGTTCAATGAAATTCCCTGGTGGCTCAGAAGGTAGAGTCTGCCTGCAATACAGAGACCTGGGTCAGGAAGATCCTCTGGAGAAGGACATGGTAATCCACTCCAGTCTTCTTGCCTGGAAAATCTCATGGATGGAGGAGCCTGGCAAAGAGTTGGACATGACTGAGCGACTTCACTTATAATAGAAGTTCAATAGGGTATGCTTTCCTGGTGACTCAGCTGGTATAGAATCGGCCTGCTATGTTGGAGACCTGGGTTAGATCCATGGGTTGGGAAGATCCCCTGAAAAAGGGAACAGCTACCCACTCCAGTATTCTGGCCTGGAGAATTCCATGGACTGTATAGTCCATAGGGTCACAAAGAGTTGGACACAATGTAGCAACTGAACAACAACAACTGAGAGAACTCAAAGAATTTACAAGGATTAAATGCAAAGTACTTAGATCAGTGTCTAAAATGTAACAAACAATAAATATTAGCTATTTTTATCAAAACTATTATTCTCTTGGTGGGGAGGGGGCAGTGATGGGGGCCAGCAAGGGGTGAGAGGGTCATATGTACATTAACCCCAAACTGGTGACTTGATTTTTATTTGTGCATTCCCAAAGAAGAATTTCAGAATCTTTCTCTTCCAAAAATGATTATTTCAAAGTATAATTTATAATCATGTAGTCTGAAAATCTCCTTAACTTTCACGGACAAATAGGTTTGCTTGTTTACTTTACTGCAACAATACAGCCCAAGGGGAAAAAAAAATCTTTTATTCTTAATTCAAGGTAAAATAGCCCTCAGTCCCAATCTGAATTCAAATCAAGTCCCCTCTTAGTCCTTGTTCAGTTGTTCATATGTGTATCCAAATACAGCTTTTGAGAGGTAAGATATGTTGTTGTAGGCGTTATAAGAAGAAATTTTGAATAGTAATACAGAAACACCTTTTCAAAAATATTTAACACAAATATTTAAAAATATTAATTTCACTGTGATTCACTTATCCAACAAACTTTTATCATGTGTTGAGGTCAAAGAAAGCAAGGGTACTTCCAACCGAAGGTGATCCCTGAGAGGAACTGATATTTACACCAAATATTAAAGAACTGGAAAGAATTGAACAACAAAATAGGGCATGCACCAAGTACAAATATATAACCATGCTTAAATGTCCATCAGAAGATATTATCCAATTTCTAGATAAACCTCTTGTTCCCAGAGAAGGTCAATGAACAAAATACACTGGGCGTAGACCACTATAGTAAATATCACAAAGGATATCACTATAGCAAATATCATGAAAGATATACTTAAGTATCTTTCATTCTCCCCTTTATACCTGGCAAGAGGCTGTGGAGGTTCTGACAGAGACATGTCACTACTGGAAGATGCACTTGGGGGACGTTCTTGCACTTTGTTCTCTTTGTCAGATTCTCCAGATGGCTGATACCCTGGTCTGGTCTGTAAGAAAAGGATATTTTTATCTGACTCCCATCATAAAGACACATTCAAGGAGCACATAAGATAAATATTAAGTCACTTCAGCTTTACAAAGTTCATGAAATGCAGGCGCTGTTTTCCTCTCAAATAAAACCAATTTAACTTAGTTTGTCTCAAAACCAGCCATTACGGTTAACAGCAAAAATTACAACTGAAATCTAGCAAGGGCACCTACAATTCACTGTGTACTTTGGAGGAAATAATACTCTTTCTAATTCTCTTTTTCACCTAATAAGTGGAAATACTAGCAGTACCTCCCCTTCTCAGAGTTGTGAGGATTTACTGAAACTTAAGCCTGTAAAGCTTTTAAAATGGTAAGTGGCACATGGCATAGAATCAAATGTTATTCTTACTATCCTTAAAAACAAAATCAATACTCATAAAATTAGCATACTATAATAGAATATTCTCTAATTTCAGCACAGATAACAAAACTAGGTTTTTCATTATTAACACAGTTTAACTTTGCTCAGTAATACAACAAAAACTAGGCAACAATATAACTAACCAGAAATGAGACAGATCAACAATCACTCTAGGAAACTGAGAACTTACTTTCAATTGTATTTTTCAAATTACTCTGCATATAGAATAAACTTCATGAAAGGCCATCATTATTATAAATACTGTCTAAACATATGTCTGAATATTAGGAATAGTGAGTAATTTTTAAATATTACAGCAAGAAAGTTTTTCTTAACCATGAATTACCTCCCTTTATAATTTTGTTAGTACCATTACCTGTGTTTCCTGCATAATATGCTGATGAGTTGGCTCTTCAAGCAATGACTTTTCTAGAAGTAATTTGGAGTAAGTTTCTTGCAGTCGCCTAGTTGCTGATGGCTCAGAAGGAGGCACATTTTTCACTTTAGTAAAGGCTTCTTTCTGTTTCCGGTAGAGCTCCTGTAATCGTTTATTCTTCTGCTCAGTGGCCTCCTTTTGGGCCTTCTTCTCCTCATTTTGTTTCCTCTTCCTTTCTTCCTGCTGTCTAACAATGTACTGACGTACCTCATCTGTATCATAGTGACGCTTTTTAGAAATAACAGGGGGATCTTCATTAGCTGTTATTTTGTCAGGTTTTCTTTTTATTGGGCTATGACTTCTAGGAGCTTGTATGGATGCTGATGACTTCTGATTCTGTAACTCTCCTGTCTCTTGTCTTGCAGTCTGAGCTGCTGAATCCAACTGGAGGTCATCAAGAATTCCACGAATTTCAACAGGTAAAAAGTCCTTATTTAAGGCAGCATTTTCTTCCTGCTTATTATCTGAAAGAGATGGAGCTAATTTCTTTACATTATTTTCTGACCGAGCTCTACTTCTTGAACGTTCTGAGTTTCGTGGGCGATGTCTATGTGAAACATCCAATCTAGGATCTGACTCTGCTCTTCCAATATGGCCCCCTGCAAAGTATGAAAATTCTATATTCATTTCTAAGATTTACTGCATTAAGGAGAAAATTAGGAAATTTCACTTTAACTCAAATATCTTAAAAAGTCTTCTAAAGAACATAAGAAAAAGAGAACAATTCTGATACTCCATAGGAACTGTACTTCCTCAGCATTTTTTTAAAGTGCATCTTTTAATATTTCTGAAATAAGGACAATCTTGCTGTTGATGTGAATATTTAACTATTAATAGACAATTATCAATATCAACTATTAATAGAGAGATACTAGTTCTCTCCCATATGCATATTTAATGTTACTTTTTATCTTTCTCCCCAAACCCTGAATCAGTTGTTAAAAACTGATGTTAGGCTGCCATAACTCTCCAATGAATAACAGAAAAAAATTAAATATATAGAAAAACAATCATTTTATCAACTAAATGTTTGCTGATGTGGCTTAGTCTTAGACTGACAATGGTATGAGTTTATTTATAAGTTCAATAAAAAGAGTAAATACAAAATATGTATTAACTTCTCTATATCATATATCTCTATATGTATAACTTCTTACTGAATCCATTTCAGAAGCTCAAATTGAGGCAATTTTTTTCAATAGAAAAGGAAAGCTGGCTTGTAGGTATTTATATTTCATTTTCTAAAATTCGTGTTCATGAAAGAGTAACTAGTTATTTCAAATGGCATTCATGACATTTTAAAAGGAGAATGGACTTGGGTGTCAAACTAAAGAGCTCTGGATCTAGATCAAATTGTGTCACCCACTGACTGTATATCCTTGAGAAAACTCACTTCTCTCTCAGGGCCTGTTTCCTAATCTGTCAAAGAAACAAACAAACAAAATCCAACCTTGTGAATGTCTACTTCTGCTTGTATCTATGGCGATAAGACAGATTGGACTTAATCCTCTAAAGGTCCCTAATAGTCTAATAGGATTTGATTATACGATGCCTTGCTATTTATTCACAATGACAGCTAACTATAATTACTATAACACAAACAGAATTCTTAATAAGGATCAACATAACATCTATATATGGAAATTATCCATAGCCAAGCCCAACAGAACATTTCTTCTTTTTTAAGCTACATTCACAATTAAAAAGCAAAATCTTAAAGAGTATTCTTAAAAGAGTATTTTCACCTCTCAAAGTACTTACACAAGCAACTTGTCATTGCTTTGCTAAACAATTGTAGTTTAACTGACTACTTTAACTGCTCACCAGATTTAGTAGTTCTTTCTCTTCCACTTCTGTCACTTGATGCTGCTCTTCGCTCTTTTTGCTCTATTCTAGGTGCAGGACCAAGAATTTTCTTTACTAATTTTTGTCCATCTCGCCAAGAAGATGTACTAATCAGATGACTGCTACCTAAAAAAGAAAAGAGAGAAATATATATGTATATAATTTAAAATTTAAATTTTAGCTGTAAGAAGTACCTCTTACTTACCCATACAAGTATTTTTAATTAATCTTTTACTTATCTTATGCCAAAGTCAACATATTTACAATCTGATTTTATTTTTAAACTCAAGTCCCCCCAAATCAATTAACGTAGTCTGTTTAAATTTTTATTTACCCACACACCTCAAATACTAAGTGTAAAATGCTTTGAAAGTTAAGTACCAAATATTAATGAATTACGAAACTTTAAGAACCAGGGCACCGAATTCAACAATTTTGGCACAGAGTAAAAATATGTCTTAACTATAAGTGTTTGGTTTACCAAAATTAGCATAGTACCTGACACAGTAAAATGTATGTCTGCTGAATGAGCAAATGACTTAAGCGAAACATAGAAAAAAACCTTAAAAAAACATGTAACAAAGAGTTAACAGTGATTACCTTTGAAGGGATGGTTATTACAGAGAATTTAACATTATATTTTATAGACATATAACACATTACTACACATTACTTTTTTTTTTTTTACACATTACTTTTTAACGCATAAAACAATGACATTCAGAAAGCAAATATCATCAATGCTTTAAACTGCCATTATAGAAGTTCATAAAAATAAAAGTAGATTCCAATAAATATAGCTGTTTACCAAGAGAAAAAAATTTCATTTATTAGCTTCAGATGGTAAAAAAATTAAAATTAGACCATTATTTCAAAACAGACAGTGACTTAAAAAACAAAAAATGCCATGAAAGACCACTGATAAAATAGAAACCATTTTAAAAAAACCTGAAATAAATATGCAAAAGTGTTGTAATACAAAGCAATATAAAAAATGTAATGGAAATGAAAATAATGAAGTAATACTTTAAACCTACTTAAATTAGAAAAAATACTTTCACATTCATTGCCAAAGCTGGTAAAATTATATTAAAAATCACTTTTACTATGTTTGTTGAAATATCAATGGATATAGTTTCATTTTTAAAAAACAGTACTACATGTCAAAGTGGTCATTTCCCTTGATCAAATAATCGAAGTAATAGAAATGTATCCAACAGAAAGAAAAAAATAAATGACAGTGTTCACTGTATTATTTATATAATATCAGAAGTAACCTAAATATTGAATAGTAGATAAACTATGTTTCTATTAGGAGTACTGTGTGGCCATTTCCAATTACAATTTCTATAAAAAATAGCAGAAATGTTCTTGTCCTAAGATGCTAAGAGAAAAAGATAAAATCTTATAATACAATGACTACAATAATCCACTACTGATTTTAAAATTACTGTAAGGAAATACACAAAACTACTAGTCCTTTGTTTAAGTGAGAGCAGTGGTTTTTATCTGTTTTTTTTCTATTTTCCAAACTTTCTGTGATACTACTTTATTACATCTATAATTTTTAAAAAATATTTAGGGTACCATTTAAAAGTTTAAATGAAAGTAGTTTTAATGAAAACATCTATCATTAAAAAACATGAATTATAAATGTGTACTATTTACTTTAGAAATGCTTTTGCACCTTGCTATTAACCTTAAAAACTTTATCTAAAATATTTAAAAGGTTTTATGTGTGTTGTTCAGTCTATTTATAAGATACTTCATGTGCTTAAGCAAAATGGGAGAACAGGTTTCTCTTCAATTTCAGCTTAATTTTCTGAATCAACAGCAAGCAATCATGAATATGCTGGGTAGTTATTTATAAATGTTGGCTTCCAAATATGCTGGGTGGTTATTTCTAAATTCTGGCTTTCTGGAATAGTCCCATGCAGTCATTGGTAGAAAAAGAGAACTTTTACTATAGATAAACTCTTAAAACACCTTTAACTCAATTTAATGACTCTCTGTAGCAGTAACTGCCACAGTACACACATGGCAGAATTAGCCCACCACAAAACTGGATAAATACAATCCAAGATCAGTATTTACAAGTTACAGTGGTCCCAGTGCTTCCCTTCAAACTAAGCCCCTGACAACAATATCACATGAAAAACACTCTGTTACATTTTTTTAATGTAAGAATTAGTTTAGTTTACACCCAGCTAATTCTTGTTCCTATAAAATTTTATTTTTTTTATTAGTATATAGCCAGGGTCTTTCTTGTATGGCATCTACAATTAACAATGGATGTCACAAAGTAAGTTATTTGGCACTCTTTTGATTAGTCTATGATCAGAAAAATAAGATCATGGCATCCGGTCCCATTACTTCATGGCAAATAGATGGGGAAACAATGCAAACAGTGGCAGGCTTTATTTTGGGGGGCTCCAAAATCACTGCAGATGGTGACTGCAGCCGTGAAATTAAAAGACGCTTACTCCCTGGAAGGAAAGTTATGACCAACCTAGACAGCATATTAAAAAGCAGAGACATTACTTTGCCAACAAAGGTCCGTCTAGTCAAGGCTATGGTTTTTCCAGAAGTCATGTATGGATTTGAGAGTTGGATCATAAAGAAAGCTGAGAACAGAAGAATTGATGCTTTTGAACTGTGGTGTTGGAGAAGACTCTTGAGAGTGCCTTGGACTGCAAGGAGATCCAACCAGTCCATCCTAAAGGAAACCAGTTCTGAATATTCATTGGAAGGACTGATGTTGAAGCTGAAACTCCAATACTTTGGCCACCTGATGTGAAGAGGTGACTCATCTGAAAAGACCCTGATGCTGGGAAAGATTGAGGGTGGGAGGAGAAGGGGTCGACAGAGGATGAGATGGTTGGATGGCATCACCGAATCAAAGGACATGAGTTTGAGTAAACTCCAGGAGCTGGTGATGGACAGCATGCTGCAGTCCATGGGGTCACAAAGAGTCAGACATGACTGAGCAACTGAACTGAACTGATTAGTCTATGATCAGAAAACAAGCACTTGGTCAGAAACCAGTGCCCTATCACTCTATTTTCATGTTTTTATAGGACTTTGTATGTTCCCTATCCAATTATTTGGGGGCTTCCCTGTGGCCTCAGACAGTAAAATATCTGCCCCTAATGTGGGAGACTCGGGTTCAATCCCTGGGTCAGGAAGACCCCTCTGAAGTAGGGAATGGCAACCCACTCCAGTAATTCTTGCCTGAAGAATCCCATGGGCAGAGGAGCCTGGTGGGCTACAGTCCATGGGCTGGCAAAGAGTCGGACATGACGGAGCAACTAACACTTTCACTTTATTCAATATTCATTACACTTTATTATAACTACATATCTACTTTTTTCCTGACAAGATTCTAAGTTCCAGGAGGGAAGGGGCTACGTGCATCTTGCTTACCACTATACTGCCTAAGCTTAGAACACCCCAGTGCCTTAAATAAAGCAAATACATTTGCATAATTAATGTTTGAGTTGTCTCCAAACTGAAAGTGACAAGTTTCCAACTTTCTCCACTCCCTTGACCCAAATTACTCAATGACTTAAATACGACACACTAAACAGCCATTTTCAATGTAGCTAGAAATAATAATTAGTAGTTGAGAAATTACACCTAACAATTGAGCGTTTACAATGTGTCAGGTACTATATTGAGTACTTTTCGTATTAACTATTTTAGTTTTCACAACAACCTATGAGAAAAGTAACTAGTGGTTTCCCATTTACAAACAGGGAAACCAAAGGACACCAAAATTAACTTAATTACCAAAGGAACAAAGTTAGACATGACAGAATCAGCATAAAAATTCAGGCACTCTAGATTAAGCATGAAATGTTAATCACTATAAAGCTAGGGAATTCTTTTTTCCCCCATCTTGATTTATTCAGAGTCCAGTCCATTACTAGCACAGACTGCCAGATTTTTCTTGTGCAATATTTATTCACTCATAAGTGAAGAAACTTACCTATAGGCATAAGCCATCCCTCTGTATGTAAAAGTTCACTATATAAAAACCACTACCTTTAATCTGGTTAATTTCTATTAAAAAATAATGACAGAAAATACTGCGGGGGGCACTATTCAGTATCATGGTGAACATATTTCATGAGTATATACATATATGAAGATTTATCAGACTATATATTCTAAATATGTCAATTAACTTCAAGAAAACACACATAAAATGATACATAAAATATACTAAATTTTTGTATGTGTCAAATAATAAGAACATTTATTTCTGCATAGACGGCATTTCACTAATATATAATTTTGGGCTTGATATTGAGAAAACCAACCTGTTCTGCATTCTGAACTTGATAACTGTGCTACCTTTTGGACTTTTCGTACTGGCTTGACCATTTTTTTCTCTTTACTTTTTTCAGCTGGTTTTTCTTTCATAGAGCTATCATCTGAAAAACAGAAACATTTATAGCAAATATTATAATGAGTGCTACTGACCCACTCATCCTTCCCCCAGTATGAGAAATCTATAGAGAATACATGGTTCAGGCAGGGAGAGGGAAACCTTCGCTATTTCTTTGACTCAAAAGCTGCAATGTCAAGTCCTCTTACAGAACGGTCTAGAGATTACTCTAGATTACTAGATTACTCTAGATTACTCTACTGTTAGGTTTCAGTTGTTTTTTTTTTTTTTTTTTTCAAGAAACGCTTGAGACACTCACCTGGTTTTCACAAATTCAAAGAAGCAACAACAATAATGCTTTCCAAGCTAGATCACAGCATTTAGAGAACCTCAGAAGTAAGCACTTCCACAGATTCCTATTTCATTTAAAAATTCCCACTTAACTGAAATATTCATGAACTTCTAGAATAAAACTTTATAAAATACTCAATATTACTAAATTAGGCCCTTTTATGATTAGGCTAGTGAAATATGTCATATATGTCACATATAAACTACTACTCACTAATTTTTAAATTCTAATCTGCAGAAATAAACTGACTATACACATAAATTTGAAAATTAATCTCAACCACAGATCTGGATAAATGTACTTTAAATATATATAGTGCTCTGCATCCTGAGCAAAGAATTAAGCATGATTCAGAGACCCTGAGGCAGAAGCATACTTAGTGTCTAAGAAACAGCAAGGAAATCAATCTGAATAAAGTGAAGAAAGAGAAAAGCAGCAAGAGTTAGGGTCAAGGGACATAACTGAGAGCCAGATTACATAGGGCTTTATAGGTCATTGTGAGAACTTCAGGTTTATTCAAGAATAGGATGAGAAATTTTTAAGCAAAGGCGTGACATGACCTAAATGATATTTTAACAAGCTTACTCTGATAGCTATGATGAGAACAGATTCATTAGAAGAGCAGAAGCAGGGTAACCAGTTAGAAGGCTACTGCAGTAATCTAGCCAGGAGACTGACAGTGGATGGCTTGAACCTAGGTGGTAAGTGAAGGTGATTATATTTTAGAGGTATTTCAGACAATTTAGATATAAGGTATGAGAGAAACAGAGGGATCAAGGATGACCAAGGATTTTGGACCTGAATGATCAGAAGGATAAGATTTACTCTCCAGTAAGATGGAGAAACTACCAGAGGAATAAGTTTAAGGGGTGTACCATGACCTCATTTAGTTAGCCAGCTCCATTTTTGGATATGTTAAGCTTAAGAAATTTATTATACATCCAGGGGGAGGTGCAGAGTTAGCAGCTGGATATGAATCTGAATTCAGAGAAGTCTGGTCAGAGACATAAATCTGGGAAACATCAGCAGAGAATATTTAAAGTACTGAAACTCAATGAGCTTGCCTAGTTTGTATATGGATAAACAAAAATTTTAAAAAACAATAAAGTAAAAAGAAAGGGATGGAAGAGAAAAGAAAAATGAAAAAAGAAAACAATGAGAAACACAGATCCAAGCACAGGGACCAGGACATGCCAATGTTCAGAGATAGATAGTTGATAAGGAAAAAAAAGAAAGAAAAAGAGCAGATAAACTTAGGAGGAAAATTAAACACTTATGGTATCATAGATAAAATTCCAAGTGAAGAATTTCAAAGATGAAGTGATTAGTGATATCCAATGTTTCTGAGAGAGACTTTACTTTGAGGGCTCCAAAATCACTGCAGATGGTGACTGCAGCCATGAAATTAAAAGACACTGGCTCCTTGGAAAGAAAGTTATGACCAACCTAGACAGCATATTAAAAAGCAGAGACATTACTTTACCAACAAAGGTCCATCTAGTCAAAGCTATGGTTTTTCCAGTAGTCATGTATGGATATGAGAGTTGGACCATAAAGAAAGCTGAAAACTGAAGAATTGATGCTTCTGAATTGTGGTGTTGGAGAAGACTCTTAAAGAGTCCCTTGGACTGCAAGGAGATCCAACCAGTCCATCCTAAAAGAAATCAGTCCTGAATACTCACTGGAAGGACTGATGCTGAAGCTGAAACTCCAATACTTTGGCCACCTGATGCGAAGAGGTGACTCACTGGAAAAGATCCTGATGCTGGGAAAGATTGAAGGCAGGAGGAGAAGGGGACGACAGAGGATGAGATGGTTGGATGGCATCACCAACTCGATGGACATGAGTTTGAGCAAGCTCTGGGAGCTGGTTATGGACAGGGAAGCCTAGAGTGCTGCAGTCCATGGGGTCACAAAGAGTTGGATACAAATGAGCGACTGAACTGAACTAAATGCTTCTGAGAGATCAAGCAGAATAACAAATGAGAATTACACACTGGATTTAGCAATGTGGAAGTCACTGATGACCTTGGTAACAGCAGTCCAGAGAAGTAGGAGCAAAAACCTAACAGAAAGGATTCAGGAGTAAAATGGAGGAGAAAAATTAGAGACTATGAAGATGAAGCAACTTTCTGAATCTTCACTGTAAATAAAAAGAGAGAAACAAAGCAGAGTAGGGCCAAAAGAGGGGTTCTTTTATGATGGCCCAGATAACAGCATGTTATCAAACACTATGTTGATGCGCATGACCTCACAGAGAGGGAAAACTTGATGATGGGAAAGAGAAAACAGAGTCGTAGTAATGCCCTTAAATACACTACAGCAAATGGAATTTAATACAGAAGTAGATGGGTTTTGTTTAAGATAGAAGCAGCAGGAGAGATGACCCACCAAAAGAGAAGGCAAACTATAATAGGCAGACCTCTTTAAGAGTTCTTTGGCATACATCATTCCACTAGTCTTCTATGAAGCATATTACCATTCTTATTTTACAGATGAGAAAACCAAGGAAGAGAGTTTATGTAACACAGATAGTATGAAAAGCTAATTAAGTGGCAGAGTCAGAATTTGAATCCTTGTAAACTAATTCCAAAATCTGTGCTCTTAACTATTGCATTATATTTCCTTTTCATATGATAAAAAATTTCTGAAGATATTGTTCCAAAAATAATAGTAGGAAAATTGGACTGGACAGTTGATGCCATAATATTTATTAGCAGACTCTCTACTAGGGCTTACCAGAAAAATCTCAGGCTTTAGAGTCAGACTGAGTCGGTTTTAAACCTTGGCTTCAATTCTTAACTGCTCTATGCAACCATGGGAAAATTACTCCTTGAGTTTACACTTCGTCAACTGGAAAACATTCAGGAGACTAAGTAACCAGCAGCATCTTGCCCAAATCATACAAGGTTTCAATATAGTAATATTATATGTATGATCTTCCTATTTTCCTCTTCCAGTCTTCCATAAGTTCCTCCTATTTCCAATCCTCTAACAAATCATACAAGGTTTCAATATAGTAATATTATATGTATGATCTTCCTATTTTCCTCTTCCAGTCTTCCGTAAGTTCTTCCTATTTCCAATCCTCTAACACACATTATTCCCTTCCAATAATGTTCATTTTTCTTCCTGCTTTTTGCCCTCACATTAGTATCTTATTGGCTGCCCACCAAATTACTGACCATTTCAAAGATCTCAGAGGGCTAGTAAACTTCAACTAGACTGTTATGTCTCCATCAAATCAGACAAGCCCACTCAGAAAGTCCCTTAGTTTAAAAATAGCCTAGTTTCTGTCTTTTCAGCTATATATGCTAATTTAACCCTGGAGCAAAGCCTAGAAGCTAAGAGTCTTGTGACTGACAATATCACTACTTAAGTATACTATGCATTTAGAAATGGGAAATAACTTTAGTTTGGTGACAATTTTATGTTTCAGTATTGCAACTTAGGTAGTATGCATGATAAAACACTCAAAACCTAGGAACACTCTACTCTCACCTGCAAAGTGAAGTGCTAAGTCACGATACAGTTCTCTACTCATGTTTTGAAAATCAGCCTCCTGCCACACTTTCCCATCAGGTGTTCGAATCTTGGTCTCTGAAGGATTGAAGCCTAATATATAACCAACAATACAAAACATCCTTATCAATACTGCATTCAAAGTTTTGTTACATTCTTAATTTTAAGTGAAATAAATTAATATACTATAAAATTTACTCTTTTAAAGTGTACAACTCCCTGCTTTTTAGGATATTCAGATAGTTATACAACTATCACCACCATCTAATTGTAGAGCATTTTCATCACCCTGAAAAGTAACCCTGTACCCATTAGCAGTTGCTCCCCACACCACCCCCTCTATTCCCTGCCAACTACTCAACTATTTTCTATCTTTATAGATTTGCCTATTCTGGACATTTCCATATAAATAGAATCCTACAATGTGTGGCCTTTTGTGTCTGGCTTCTTTCATTTAACTTTTATTGCTGAAGAATACTCCATTGTACAGATATATCAATGTTTGCTTACCCATTTACCAGTTGATGAACATCTGGGCTGTTTCTACTTTTTGGCTATTATGAATAATGTCGTTATAAATATATATGCACAAGGATGTGTATAAATATACCTTTTTCAATTCCCTTGGGTAGTATATCTAGGAGTGGAATTGCTGGGTCATATGGTAACTCTTATGTTGAACTCGTTAAGGAACTGTCAAGATGTTTTCTAAAGAAACTGTACCATTTTACATTTTTACCAGCAATTTCTCCATATCCTCACTTGTTATTGTCTTTTTTTATTATAGTCACCCTCATAGGTATGAAATGGTATCTCACTGTGGTTTTGATTTGTGCATCCCTAACAATTAAATGTTGAACAGCTTTATAAGCTTTTAAAAGAGGAATGCATCATGAGCTATACCACATAATGTGTTAACAAGTGCTGTTTGGAAAGTAAGCTTCAGTTAAACAAAACAATATGCATTTGTTCAAAAAGACTAGAAATGGAGAAGCACCAAATTAAATGATAAAAGAATGTCAATCATAAATTATGGATATCAGACAAACAAACTACCTTTTCAAGTCTGAGGAGAAACAACAACACCCACTCTTCTTTTCTTTGAAGACAGGCATTAATCACTACGATCTGTCTGATTTTGCCTATGGCTGAACAAATGGACAAGCTTCTGTCTACACAGACAAAATCAGACAACCAAAGTGTGGAAAACAGTTCCTTAGAACATACTTGTTCAATTTCTCAACAAACATTACACATGTGCTATTTCCTAGAAATTATCATTCTAATTTCCTACTTCAAATTTATCACTACTCCTTAAGAAATACACTAAACTTAAAATGTTACTTTACAAAAAAAGATAAAGTAATGAATATGGATGATAACCAGAATAGTAAAAAGATTTGTATTTTCAAATGGGCTCGACTTACCAAAGAATTGCCATGAAATATTTTGTAAAAATTAAATCAATTTAATGGAGTCAAAAATTGGTAAAAGCACTTTAAAAGTGCTAGATAAAATGTTACTGGTAAAATAATTACACGTCTAATAGAAAATAACTATTCAGCTCTTATGACAACAGCATATGCTTAATTTTACCTGAAATTTGTACCACGGGGCACACACAACTATGCTTATAGCTATATAAACAGAAAGTTTATAAACATAGTGTTTAGTCTATTGCAAACTACAGTTTATAACAAGAAAGCGTGGTAATTCCATGTAAACCTATCTTCCTCCCAACATTTCTTACCCTCATTCCATCTCTCTACATTCAACCTTATCATTTTTTCTTCTCTTTTCTTTAGGAAGTATTTATCTTTATGGGAGCCTTTCTTTATATTTGCATCTTTACTTATAAGTTAACTTTAAGCAGCTTTCAGTATCTTCATCAGTTTCTCTTTCTGTTTCCCAGTTTTTATATCCATTCTCTTTGTGCACATTTTTTCTAATTGAATTTATTGAATAGAATAAAAAATTTACTGTGCATTTGTGTCCAAGACACTGTATTAAGCTTTGAAATAAAATACAGATGATCAATATAGGCTCTTAACCTTCTTGGGCATTTAAACCAGAAAGAAAAAGATATGTAAACCACTAAGTATAAAACAAGAAAGAACCACTGTGTTCACTACTTCAAATTTTAAACATACACACATAAATGTAATGTGTTTAGAATGGGTTTCATATACTAACAACTATATACAAAGACAAAGAAAAATCTTCTTCTCTTTTTTCTCTCTCTCTCTCTCTCATTTGTGTAAGAGAAAATTATCTCTGGAATGATACATAAATTGTTAACACAAGTAACCTCCAGAAAGGGGACCAGGTGACTGGAGCACCTGTATCATACAGGTTTTCAATGTATGTCTTTTTCGTCTTTTCAATTGCAAATCAAGTGAATTTATTAAGTATTTAAACAAATGAAATTAAAATGTCACTTCAGAATACAGTATATTAAGATATGTTTAATTTACACTGACAAAATGTTAGCAGAAAAACAGTTCTTCACTGTTGGAAAAGATAAATCCACTGCTCAGGATACCACTGGAAACCATATTCTTATGATTTCTGAAATGAATACTATATTTCATTAGTTAACCTCATAAAAGTTACATTCATAATACATTTTAATACAGAAACTACAGTATTAAAACTAGTGATAAAATGAATATACAAAATCTAGTCACAACCCAAAGTCTTACTTAAGATTTTCACTCTGATTCTTTAAGATTGCTTTCTTTTCTTAATTTTTAGATTTTTATAAATTATTAAATAAAACACAGATTCAAATCAACCATCTTAACTCTGCCTTAGTGGAAGAACTTTTGAAACTGCAGACTTTGACTTCTAGAATGAACAAACCTTAAAGGTACAATCTGCATTTAATGAGTCTGATATAAATATAGCCAAAGTTTTGTATAATCACTATCTTAGAACCAGCAAGAACTTCTGACCCCATTATTCGCTAATTGCTCTGTCAGCAATATGGACAATTTCTACATGGCACACAACTTGAAGGATAAGAAAGAATTTTATTCAGAGAACTACCCACAATTTTATCATAAATTATCTAGAACAAAATGCTAATTATCTATCTTTAATTCATAATGAATATTACTAGCAAAACATATCACAAAAAAACTGATAAACTGTTCAAACTGTAGATAGTTTGTTCTGTTAAAATTAACAGAATAAACCAATCTTGACTATATTTTGATTTTCATACATTTATAAATACTGAACTTGAAAAAATATCTGCAAAAAAAAGGCCAGGATGGTAGGAACTTGAAGACAAAAGTCTGAGTAACTTCATCAATGAATCAAAATTTTACATAGATGACCCTGACCCTGTGAAAATAATTTCAGGAACAAAAAATGCAAACTACTAAAAACGCCATATATAAAAACTTGAGTAGGGCTGAAAGCAGAAATTCTCTCTGAAAAGCATCTTCTCAATGGAAATGTGATTTACTGTTTTCTTAAACGTGGAGAAAACCCCTGTCAAAATTCTAAGGTTAACTAAACAGGATCAAAATGTCAGTGCCAAGATATCCTGTAACCAAATATTAACTAGCAGTGATTGAACCATCTTTCAAACATTGCTTCTGAAAGAATTTCTAATAACAATCGAAATACAATGGCAGAATAAGAGCAATATTCTTTCAGTTCTCTGAAATTTATACTAATTTTTATTTTCTCTTTTGTTCAACTTATTAAAGGTTCATATGGTAGGTCTCAAACTAAAAGAACCTCTTAAGGCATCTGAATCTGCATTTTTAGCATGCACTTTGAATTAATTTTTTTATGCATTTGATTTGAGAATCACCCCCTATTCTAAACATGATCCTCTCTACTCGAATACATCCTACGGAAACAGGGAGACAAGGAGGCTGGAAAAGAGAAGATGCAAACACTGGTTACAAACCTTTATATGTTGGAGCAGGTGGTGCTGTTGCCACTTTCCTGACTTTTGCTGTCACTGAGCCATCAACATTAACAACCATTACTGGATGGTCAATATGACCCAGATTCTGGCCCTGGCCATTTGTTTCTTCTGAGTGTTCCCACTGTTTCCTAATCCGCTCCTTGAGTTTTTCCAATTTGACATCATGTTGTCGTCGTTTTAGGATATCTAATCTTTGGGAATTACAAGTACTAGTAGAAGACGGAGAAGAGTCAGTTAACCATAACACTTTTGAATCAATGTTATGGCCCATGTTACACACAGAGGACTTCAAAGTGTTCTCATTTCCTTTTGTTCTATTAGGTTTTTCTTCATCACTTCTCACTGCAGCTGCCACCTTAATCAAACATTCAGAATTTTGCAATGCATCAATTGTTGGTCGATCGTTTAGAAACCTAACAACTGTATCATCGACGGCAGATGATCGGGAGCTCTCAAAATCACAGCAAAGTATATTCCGATCTTCTCGACTGCACATCAACCGCTTCCCACTCTCAGGCTTCTCTTCATTAACATCCACACAATATACATGCTTTGACTCTAAATGGCTGGGACTTGTACTGGACGGTGTGCCATGGACTTCCCTATTATTAAAGAAATAATAAGCTTTAAATAAAGAATACAAAAACCAGTCATACAAACTGAATGGAGAACTCTTAAGTAAACATTAGAGACTCCAAAACCTAGACACTCTAGTAGGTTAGAAATAACAAGATAATCATTACTACTATTAAAATTCAATGTTCAGTGCCTCCTGGGTATCACAGGTTAGATTATGGCAAATAATCTAAATCATAATGTGCATATTATAATATAAAATAAAAACTATGCAAACGATGCATGCAGAGATTTCCTTTAAGAACCCCAGAAAGCAGAATTACAATCTCACTTTGGATATTCACTTGACACTTACTACCAAAACGTACATCTTACTTCTCCATAAAATCTTAAGAACTAGGGGGAAAAGTTCTCAAATTCCGGCATTTCATATATATAACTTCTAAATAGTGTATGAAATTAACAAATAGACTGGGAGTAGAAATAAAGTGGAAGTAAATAAACATTCACCTTCAAATAAATGTGGTTACTAGTAAAGTTAAATCTCTCTGAACTACAGACAACTTTTTTGGCAGCTTCAAATTATGTAAAGCATGTCTAGAAATTCCAGAGTAGGCAAAGAAGACTGGACACAGCCAAAGCACACATCACAAAGTCCATATGCTCTACTCACAAAAACACTAGCAAAAGTATTCCTTCAGAAACTATTTTGATTTTATTTATCATTCTAGTAAGTTATATTTTAGAAACAGAAGCAGTTATTAAAAGGGAGATTAATGAAGACAAGCCTCAGCAGTAGGAAGAAGACATGAAAAACTACCTAACAAAATTATAAAAACAGACATAACAATCTGGATCTCCAAGTTCTGAAAGAGTAGACATTTGCCACATGTGGCAACTGAGCACTTGAATGTGCTTAATCCAAACTGAGATGTGCTGTAACGTAAATTACATACCATATTCTAAAAAATTAAAAAATAAAGACCATAAAACATCTTTGGGTATGTGCATGTGACTACTAAAAATATTTAAATTACATATGTGTGGTTCACTTTAATGGTGCCATTGTATATTACTGATCTAAATCTTTCACTTTAGGCATAAAACTCTAAATATCACAAAAATTATTAAATTCATGACTCTATTACAGCAAAATATGGTAATTTTGCAGCTATCCTGAGTGCACGATTGTGTGCATTTTTCTAAGGAGACAGTCTATAGCTTTCATCAGATTCTCACTGGGGTCCGTGACTCAAAAAACATTAGACCCTCTTCTAAGAGGCTGATTATTAAATAAGATGGGGGCTGAGAACTGAGTTCTGCAGCTTCCACAAGAGATCAAGACTAAATTCAATTATTTTCACTATCTCAACCAGACTGCAACAACTCACTGTTGAAATGATTAAGGTCTAAAATCAGCATCAGCAGTAAAGAACCCACCTGCCAATGCAGGAGATGTAGTTCTATGCCTGGGTCAGGAAGATGCCTTGGAGAAGGCAATGGCAACCTACTCCATTATTCTTGCCTGGGAAATCCCACAGGCGGAGAAGCCTAGCAAGCTATAGTCCATGGGATCGCAAAGAGTCAGACACAACGTAGCGACTGAACAACACAAGAAGAAAATAAAGTATAAAATGGTAGTCTACCTACATGTCTTAATCATAAGGGAAGGACAATTAACCAAAAAAAGTAAAGTAGCGACTGTCCTCATAGGCTAATGGCTAAGACTCTGCACTCTCAATGAAGGGGGCCAGGTTCCATCCCCGGTCAGGGAACTAGATTCCACATGCAACTAAAGATCTCAGCACGCCACAACTAAGACCCAGCAGAGCCAAATTAGACAGATCAAAATAAATGAACTTTTTAAAAAAAAAAAGTAATTTCACACAGTCTTTCAGTCACTCACTCATTAAATATCTACTATGAATAAAGGTGTTCACTATGCAATTCTTTCAACTTTTCTATAAATATGAAAATTATCATAAATATCTACAGAATATTTAGCTAAATGACAAGCATTAAGATAATGGTTTGGGAATGAGACAGATTTGTAGTTTTACATAAAGTAATGTAATAAGTACACATTTAATCAAAATACAGTGCAACATGAAAATGCTCCAACAGAGGAAGCACAGGTGATACTAAGTCGCTTCAGTCGTGTCCGACTCCTTATGACCCCATGGACTACAGCCTGCCAGGCTCCTCTGTCCATAGGAATCTCCAGGCAAGAATACTAAAGTGGGTTGCCACACCCTCCTCCAGGGGATCTCCCTGACCCAGGGATCGAACCTGAGTCTCTTGTCCCCTGCATTAGCAAGCAGGTTCTTTACCACTTAGTGCCACCTGGGAAGCACAGAGGAAGGGTTGAATAAGCTAGGGAATGAAATGAGCAGTGTTTCATACAGAAGGTGATAAAAGGTGAGTTTTAGATGATGAATGGAGATGGCCAGGTGAAGGGTGTTCTATTCACAGCTATCCTATGGGTATTTGTTTCTTTTCTTAAAAGATACATAATTACACAATTTTAAATGTGAGGTAGTATTATTTGCAGAAAGAATAATAGAATAGTAATAGTAATTTAGTTTCAATTCTGATAGTGATTATGTTTCTAGGCATCTCATTATTCTTTTAAATTTTCCCTTTCTCCTTTTTCTAAACTATGCACTTGTACCCAGATTAAGTCCCTGGCCTCTTCTCTATTTATTTTTTTCACTTTTATCACTTCAATGCTACTGACAACTCCCATATTTATATTCACAGCACTGACTTTTCCACACACATTCCTACCTAAACATCCAACTGCCGACTGAATATTTTCACCTAGATATTTCAAAATTGCATCAAATGGAACACACTGAAAATCAAACCCATAATGTATCTCTGCATGCTTGCGTGCTAAGTTGCTTGTGTCCAACTCTTTTTGAGCCTATGGGCTGTAGCCCACAGGCTCCTCTGTCCATGGGATTCCCCAGGCAAAAATACTGGAGTGGATTGCCATGCCCTCCTCCAGGGGATCTTCCCAACCCAGGGAATGAACCCACATCACCCACAGCTCCTGCATTACAGGCAGATAGATTCTTTACCACTGAGCCACCAGGGAAGCATAATTCACCTTCATCACCCAAATTTTTTATCTCAAATATAAGATGTGAGAGTTGGACCATAAAGAAGGTTGAGTGCTGAAGAACTGATGCTTTTGAACTGTGGTGCTGGAGGCTACTCTTTTGAGAGTCCCTTGGACAACAAGGAGATCAAACCATTCAATCCTAAAGGAAATCAACCCTGAATATTCACTGGAAGGACTGATACTGAATGCCACCTGATGTGAAGAACCAACTCATTGGAAAAGATCCTGATGCTGGGAAAGATTGGGGGCAAGAGGAGAATGGGGCAATAGAGGATGAGATTGATGGAAGGCATCACTGAATCAATGGACATGAGCTTGAGCAAACTTGGGGAGATAGTGAAGGACAGGGAAGCCTGGATGCAGTTGATGAGATCGCAAAGAGTCAGACATGACTTAGCAACTGAAGAATAGCAAGTATAAAAACTAAGTACTTCCAAAAAAAAAAAAAAACTAAATACTTCCAAGCACTATTATTGTTAAACTCCTTAATTTATTTATTGACACTTTAAAATACTAAAAAATGATTATAAATGACACAAGGAACTATAAGTTTCAGTGTCTATTAATACTATTTGCTATCCTAACAGCAAGAACACATTTCTATCAGTAGTTAAAATGTCCCTCAAATACAAAACTCTTTAATTTTATCTGTTGAATATCCTAAATTAGCTAACAAAAATGCAAAGCATTTTATATTTATTATTCATATATTAAAATTATTAATTAAAATTCATTCATCAATCTTGAACATCTAACTAAATTGTTGAAATGAGCCACTGGCAACAGAGTCAAACAATAAACCAACTCACATTCTCATAAGAAAGAAATTTTAGGTAACCGTCCAACTCAAAAAAAGAGAAGAAAACTAAACTATGTGAAGACCACTGTGTAGAACACCCAATCTGAGATATAAGGGAGAAGAAAGCCATACTTCCAGAAACTGAATAATTTGTTTGTAGGAAACATATTACAATGGAGTGGTCTGAAGCAAATATTACTACTTACCCCCAAATATTCAATCTGTAAAAGAACAGAAAGTTAGCATTTCATAATATAAAAGATTTTGCTTTACCTTTTTGGAAAATGGAAAAGGTAATAATACTAGATTCAGAGTGTGATGAAAAACTGAGAAAATAAACTATAATATTAGTACAAATACCACAGGTTAACTCCATAGATAATTAAAAAAAAAAAAAAAGAAATCCACACTAACCTGTAAGAAACCAAAGGGTCACGAAACTCCACACGATTAATTTTTTTTACATTACTCTCCAGGGTGGTAGCTCTGAGAGGACTACGAGATTTTTCTTTTTGTGATTTAGAAAATTTGGAGGCTGGAGCATTTACCCAAGAATCATCCAGGTATCTACCATCTGAAGAAAAAGGAAATCTATGAAAACATATGATATAAAATACAACTGTCTCTGAACATAGCTAGCATTTAAGAAAATAACTTAGGTATCTTATCGTTTCTGGACTCTCAAGCTGATATCATGCAAGTAGATCAAAAAAATTCAGGTTATGTTATTACAGTAACTCAACCTATAGAGAAAGACTGCATTCTAAGCAAACAATACAAAGAAAACCTCTAAATAAAAAATTCCTTTTTGTCAAAGGCTCTCACTTCAAAAAGGATGCATCAGATAAAACCCAACAGACTCACAGATTAATAAAAAAGAATCATAGTTTCAGTTAATCTGCAGGTTTATTTCACTAATTATGCAACCACAAAATTAAATATATGAAAGGTAACCAAAGAAAATATTGACAGTGTCAATTTATGATAGTATTTGTAAGACAAATATTCTAATTTTGATCATAAACCCCAGTCAAAAAAACAAGTCTTAAGTCAATTAAATTTCAAACTGAAATACCTGTGAATTTTTTTTTAAAAAAGGACATATATAACCCTAAAGGCTCAAAATCAAATTCTCACTAACAAATGAAAACTCGCTGCCAAAGGTGATGCTGTGGCGCTAAGTTCCTGATCAAAAGATGGTGAAAACGTCATCTACAGTCACTGAATATGAGGCTGCTTCATAACTACTCAGTACCAAAGGAAAAAAACTAAATGCTGATTAAGCATCTAGTCTCTGACAAAAGAACAAGGAAATATATGGGATTATATCGAGAAATTAAACTGAAATACCAAAAATTCATATTTAATATATTTGTATCTTTGGAAGTCGCCTCATACATACCTTTTCTACTAATTTTTCTGGTAGCACTTGCAGATTTCTTGGTATCCATGACAGAATCAAACACAGCTGTACTCGTAGGGGCTACTTCCAATTTGTTTTCAATGTGTCTCAGCTAAAGTTTAAACACCATCAAAACAAATAGGTTAATTCTATTCTAAATCAGCTACCATCAATTTAATTACTTAAATTATATTGTCCAACAACTTTCTCTAAAGGAGAAAAAACTTAGGAATGATTTTAACTAAAAATAATAGTTTTTCTATTATTTACTACCTAAGCAATTGGCCAATGCTGCCCAAATCTGGACACAAAAATCAAAATGTCTATAGAATACCAAGAGTTTTCTATTTGATCTGTTGATGTATTTTTTTAATTGTTGAGTTTTTTAAAAGCAGTAAATTTTCTGATATTGTATGTTGCATATCATTATGCTACATATTTTGCTACAGATTTTGTGTGTTTCTACATATTTTATGTGTTTTACATGCAAAAATGAGGAAAGAACAATTCCTCTAGACTAAAATTTAGGATTTAAACAGTCACAACTTTTTATCATTTTATATCTACAAAATAAGTTTCACAATAAGGACAAAGTTAATAAGATAAAATTCAGGTTTCCAAGCACTACAGTTAAGTTGACTTTTGATATAACCATCAATGACTTTAAAAAGTATTTTCTCCTAAATTCCTACAGGAGAAGACTTGAAGAAAACAGAAAAAAGTAGAAAAAAATAAAATTAATCAAAATTCCAAAATTCCACCAAAAAGAGATTAAAAACTTTGTGTAAAATTCTGATTTATCTTCTTTCAGATTTTCCAGTACAGTGTACTCACAAAATTGGAATAGTCCTTTATATATTAACAGTTCTTTATCAGACTGTCCCCCCATTTATATTATGAACCATTGATCACCCCTAAAAATTATTTTTAAAAACCCAATAATTTTTTTTAAAAAACTATTAACAATTCAGCTCTAAGCTAGCTTAGCTCTAAATTCAATTGGTGATAAAAACTATTCTTACATTATAAATGTACAATGCTCACGGAGAATATATGCTGACTGCTACATTCATGGACCCAAAATCTGACTCTGCATTATGACCAAATCTAGGTTATAGTACCTTTTCAAGATTGACCTTCAAATCAGTTCAAAAGATTTTAGGACAAAGTATCAAATTTACACAGTTAAGAAATAGATGACTTGAATTCTGGTAGAATACAAAACAAACAAATAAATAGGACAAATACATAAATATACATACATACACACATATACATATATAAGGTTGGTGCAAACATAACTACAGTTCAGACTGTGACTTTTTAAAATAATTTTATTTATTTATTTTTGTCTGTCATGGGTCTTCATTGCTGTGTGGGCTTGAGTCTCTAGTTGCAAAGAGCGGGGGCTACTCTCCAGCTATGGTGTGGGGGCTTCTCATTCCGGTGGCTTCTCTTGTTGGGAAGCGCAGGCTCCAGGGTATGAGGGCTTCAGCAGTCATGGTTTCCAGGCTCTCAAACTCAGCTGCTGCGCTCTGCAGCATGTGGAATCTTTGTGGACCAGGGACCACACCTGTGTCTCCTGCATTGCCAAGTGAGTTCTTTACCACTAACCCCACATGGCAGCCTCAGACTGCGAAGTTTAGACCATTATAACTAGGCTCAAACACATCTTTATTAATCAAAATAGGAACCATAACAATCAACACACTTTTGCCAATGAGAAGTTTATTTCTGTAGCATAAAAAGTTGTGCTTCAGGATTCAACAAACTCTTAAGAAGCATTTGCTGCATCCTGCTGGCTGTGGAAGCATTTTCCCTGAAAAAAGTTGTTGGGATACTTGAAGAAGTAGTAGTTGGTTGGCAAGAGGTCAGGTAAATATCTGGATGAGGCAAAACTTTGTAGCCCAATCCGTTCAACTTTTGAAGTGTTGGTTGTTCGACATGCAGTTGGGCGCTGTCATGGAGAAAAATTAGGCCCTTTCTGTTAACCAATACCAGCTGCAGGTGTTGCAATTTTGGGTGCATCTCATCGGTTTTCTGAGCATACTTCTCAGAGGCAGTGTTTTCATTGGGATTCAGAGAGCTACAGCAGATGAGACGGGCAGCAGACCACCACACAGTGACAAGGGCCTTTTACTGGTGCAAGTCTGGCTCAGCGTGGGGCTTTGGAGCTGCTTCTCGGTGCAACCACTCGGCTGGTTGTCATATAAAATCTACTTTGTGTCGCATGACACAGTTCGATTGAGAAACAGTTCACTGATGTTGTATAGAATAAGAGAAGACACTTCAAAATGACGATTTTTTTGATTTCTAGTCAGCTCACGAGGCATCCACTTATAGAGCTTTTTCACCTTTCCAATTTGCTTCAAATGCTGCACAACTGTAGAATGGTCAACATTGAGTTCTTCAGCGACTTCTCACATAGTTACATAAGGATCAATTCGATGATGGCTCTCAATTAGTCATGTTAATTTCTGATGGCTGGTCACTATGCTCCTTTATCTTCAAGCTTCTCGTCTACTTTTCAGAACTTCTTGAACTACCATGACACTGTGTATTTGTTAGCAGTTCTTGGTCCAAAAGCATTGTTGTTGACAGTTGTCTCTGATGCTTCAAATGACTCATTTTGAACTCAAATAAGAAAATCACTCAAATCTGCTTTTTGTATAACATCATTTCCATAGTCTAAAATAAATATAAAATAAGCAGCAAGTAATAAAAGTCATTAGCAAAAAAAAAGTGAGAAATGTGCATTAAAATGACGTATAATATAACTACATTTAGAGTATATTCCAATATCAAATGGCAAATTTCAATAATGCAAAAACCACAATTACTTTTGTACCAACCTAATATATATTAGAAGAGCAATTTGCCTACAGAGCAAATGAAAAAGAAAAGGAAAAGGTCTCCCTTTAAAGAGCTATATATCACTTGAAAAATCTGGATTCCTAAACTCCAGACAAGACTGGACAGAATATAAATAAGAACAGTGGCCCATAATCATTCTTCTTCAGCAGTGCTAAGAGAAAACAGCCTGTTACTGCCACAAAAAAACCAGCAGGTGACTCACAGTCCACTCAATAAAAGCTATCCCTTTCATTTCCACTCTATGAGCTTCCCACGTAGACACAGTCCTACCATCTCTAATAAATTCTACATTTTAAATCTTAATCTCAACATACCAACTGAGTAAATTTATTAAAGCAGAATAGATAACACAAAATAGTTTAATATTTTATATGCCATAGTGTTAATGTTTCTGATACTTAAAAGTAATGTCCTAATTACTGCTTTACTATCTAACAGTTGTCACTAATTTTCATTTTGTAACATAGTATATAACTTTTCATATTGAAAAGTTTAACTATTTTCTCATTAAAAAAAGCACTATAGAAAAGAATTTTAATCTACTCAATCATAACAGAAAATTTTACAATATAAGGAAATAAATGGAACCTATAATTACTTACAGCAGCCTTGGTCTGAGAAAGTGCATCCCATGGTGCGGTTATATCTGCTGGGCAACATTAATATTTACTGAATTAGGATCTCTGAAGTGGACCTTGAAACCTGCATTTTAGTAAGCTCCCAAATGCACTCAAAAGTTTGAGAACCACTTTATTAGGCAGAACTATTCTCCAGCAAGTGCTTTATTACATTGAGCCAAAATATAATTCTTCTCCCATCCTGTAAAGCCTAGCTTCCTAATACACAGTTTAGAGCTGTATTAGGCACTGATCCCCCTAGGACACTGATCCCGTGGGACAACTAGACTAACACCCCCATCTACATCTCCAACAATAAGCAGTATCCTCAGTTTATCCCAACGAGCTGAACAAATACACTGTTAAGTACCATACTGCATTTCGTATTATGATATGAGAGATCAGAAAACTACTCCAGACTTCAACCTACTAGGAGAAACAAAGGTAACATCTATTTATTCTTTCAGACAATAGCCCTTCAAAGAGTATATATTCAAGGAGTCTATATATTTCCCCTGAGTCAGCGTTCTCTAGGATAAATATTTTCATCTCCTCTAAATGCTCGTCATGTGACATGAGTTCCAGGTCCCTCAGGAACCCAATTATCTTGCTCCAGATGTACTCATTTGTCAAAGTCCCTCAAAAAAATCAAGTCCTAAGTTAAAGTTACCCCCGTGCATCACTAAAAACAAGAAGTTCAATAAGACTATAATTTTTTTATCTGTGCACTACAGGTCTATAACTATACTGGGAGCTATACAGTATCATTTATTGACATTAAGTCAGAATTTATTATAAGATATTATATATAACTAATTTTACATATACTGATTCTTTTTTAAAAAAGAATGTATTGCTTTACAAGGCAGTTAGTTTACTACTGCGTGCCTCTGAAAGTAAAGTACATCGTATATTTAAAATGAAACTGAATTTTAAAAAGCATTTATCCATTTGTTATAAATCAAAGCATATGGGTATTTTCATTTACTGAATAGCCCAAAATCTTAGGCACAGGACCTAAACAAAGCATTCAGTTAAAAAAAAAAAAAAATCATACCTTGAATAGTATCCGTGCTTTGAGAGTTCCTTGGATTTGGTAAAGGCACCTCTTTTGATTTGCTGCTCCTCATCCTGCCAATTTACCTGCAATCACATCATCAGCATTCACTGAAAATCAACATTATAATATCAGTGAAGAAAATGCCCTATCTTGCCTTTTGTGAAAGTCAAAAAAGAATTTTGTCAACTCTAAAAGTTATTTTTATATTCTTTTTTTTTCAGTTCCTGATAATTTAATAACTTTATTTTTGCTTGGAAAACTAAACCATTAAAAATTATATCATAACCACCTCACACAAACTAGGATAGCTACTATCAAACCATCCGACAAACAAAAGTGTTAATGAAGATGTGAAGAAACTGTAACTCTTGTGCACTGTTCCTTGGAATGTAAAATGGTACAGCTGCTATGGAAAATAGCTCAGCAGTCCCTCAAAAATTTAAAGGAAAACCATCATATGGTTCAGCACAGAAGAACTGAAAGCAGCTCTTGAAGAGATATTTGTTCACAGCACTGCTCACAACAGTCAAAAGATGAAAGCAACCAAAGTGTCCATAAACAAATGAAAAAATAAGTAAAATGTAGTGTGGTGGCTCAGACAGTCAAAGCGTCTGCTTGCAGTGCGGGAGAACAGGGTTCGATCCCTGGGAGGGGAAGATCCCCTGGAGAAGGAAATGGCAACCCACTCCAGTACTCTTGCCTGGAAAATTCCATGGACGGAGGAACCTCGTAGGCTACAGGTCATGGGGTCGCAAAGAGTTGGACACGACTGAGAGACTTCACTTTCACTTTCAGTATATACATAAAACATTATTATTCAGTCTTAAAGAGGTGGGATATTTTGACACATGCTACAATAAATGAACCTTGAGAACATTATGCTACCTTGAGAACATTATGCTAAGTGAAATAAGCCACTTACAAAGACAAATACTATATTATTCCACTTACGTGAGATACCTAGAATAGTCCAAATCATAGGAACGGAAAGTAAAATAGCGGCTGTGAGGGACTGGAGGAAGGGGAAAATAGGAAGCTATTGTCTAATGGGTGTAGAGTTTCATTTTTGCAAGATGAAAGGAGTTCTAGAGATGGATGGTTACTATGACTGCATAACATTATTAGTGTATTTACTACCATTAAACTGAATCCTGGAAAATGGTTAATAAATTTTATGTTACATGTATGTCACCACAAAAAACAAATTAAAAAGGGGAAAAAATTATATAATGACCCAAAGAGAAAGATCATGATCTACTCATGCTAACTAAACAGTCTGATGACAAAATTCTGTTGTAAAAGTCACATAAAAACACAGTTTGGAAAATGTAGAAGGGGAAAACTCATTCCTGCTCTCCAAATCTTAACACAATCATTAAGATCCCTTCTGTTCTTTTAACTTTTTTTTTTTTTGCTGTAATCACTATAATTTCAATTTTGTGTCCTATTTAAATGCTAGACATTTGAAGTGATTTTAGAATACATCCACAAATTCTTTGATGCTCTTTTCTTCAAGAAGTGGAGCTTAGTTTCCTCTCATTGGATGTAGGCTGGACTTACTGGTTCACTTAACAAATCAAATGTGGTAGAAATGACGTGTGACTTTCAAAACTAAGTCACAAAGGGCACTGCCTGTTCTCTCTCAAGGATCCAGCTGCCATGTCATAAGGACAGTCAAGAAACCCTATGAAGAGATCCATGTGGCAAAAAAAACTTAGGGTTCCTGCCTAGAGCCATATGAATGAGCCTTCCTGGAAGTAATCCAACAAGAGATTATCAATACAATAATACAACTCATTTTCTCTATTATAAATAACACTGTAATGAAAATATCTGTGTATATGAAGGAAAGTTATAACCAACCTAGATAGCATATTAAAAAGCAGAGACATTACTTTGCCAACAAAGGTCCGTCTAGTCAAGGCTATGGTTTTTCCAGTGGTCATGTATGGATGTGAGAGTTGGACTGTGAAGAAAGCTGAGCACCAAAGAATTGATGCTTTTGAACTGTGGTGTTGGAGAAGACTCTTGAGAGTCCCTTGGACTGCAGGGAGATCCAACCAGTCCATCCTAGAGGACATAAGTCCTGAGTGTTCATTGGAAGAACTGATGCTGAAGCTGAAACTCCCAATACTTGGGCCACCTCATGCAAAGAGTTGACTCATTGGAAAAGACCCTGATGCTGGGAGGGATTGGAGGCAGGAGGAGAAGGGGACGACAGAGGATGAGATGGCTGGATGGCATCACCGACTCGATGGACATGAGTTTGAGTAAACTCTGGGAGTTGGTGATGGACAGGGAGGCCTTGCGTGCTGTGATTCATGGGGTTGCAGAGTCGGACACGACTGAGCAACTGAACTGAACTGATACGAATGTTTGCTCATTTGGATTATTCAACAAGAACAGGAGCTACAAAGTATGCAAAACCTCAACTGAAGAATATACAGAACATACTACTCTAGAGATCCAATGTTGAACTGTTTTCCAATTTACAATAATATGAGCTGATCAGTTTCATTAATATATTTTAATATTAACTATGCTTTTTACTTTTGTTGATTATTAAGGAATATTAATTATATTCCTTTTAGGGAAGAAAATGGTCTTTCTTAAAAAACTTTTTATTTTGTACTGGGGTACAGCTGATTAACAATGTTGTGACAGTTTTAGGTGAACAACAAAAGGACTCAGCCATATATATGCATGTATCCATTCTTCCCCAAACTGCCCTCCCATCCAGGCTGCCACATAGCATTGAGCAGAGCTCTATACAGTAGGTCCTTGTTGGTTATCCATTTTAAATAAAGCAATGTGTACATGTCCATCTGGGCTTCCCAGGTGGTGCTAGTAAAGAATCCGTCTGCCATTGCAGGAGACATGAGAGACATGGGTTTGATCACTGGATCAGGAACATCTCTGGAGGACGGCATGGCAACACACTCTGGTATTCTTGCCTAGAGAACCCCACAAACAGAGGAACCTTGCAGGCAAAGAGTCAGACACACACCTGAAGCAGCTTAGCGCACACACACATACATGTCCATCCAAACTACCTATCTATCTCATCTTAACCCCATCCTTCCCTTGGGCAACCGTAAGTTTGTTTTCTAAATCTGTGAGTCTGTTTTGTAAGTAAGTTCATTTGTACCAGAAAATGGTTTCTTTAATTTGAATTTAGTAGACTGCCTGAAGGACTAAACACTCTGCCATAGATCTTCATTTTAGTTCTTCATTTATGAACTATCTTTTCTTGTCCTTTGCCCATTAACCTACCAGGATATTAAAGTTTTTCTTATTGATTTGCTGAGTTCTTACATTAAAAATAGTATATTAAGCTTCTGTCATATTTGATAAAAATAATTTTCTTCAATGTCTGTAAAGGCAGTTCAATATTGTTTTTATTAAAGATGTTAATTTACATAAAAAAGGAAAAGCCTACCTACTAAGTCCAAACATGAAAAACTAAAGGTATAATTAATTTTTAAGAGAGATACTTTTACCTATAATAAATCCTGATTTATAAATTTCTCAGGAAAAAACTTCAAAAATGTTCCAAAAATAAAAATTTTCTAAAAATAAAATTTTCATAGGTTATACAATATGATTCTAAGAAAAGTCAATCTAGTTTTTTAAAAATAGAATAGTAAAAATTTAAAAATCAATAGGTATGCCAACAGTTAAAATTTTTATAACCATAAAAACTTTAATCAGAGCTACCAACATAGTTAGAAAAATAAACTCACTTCAGTATCCTTCTCATAAAGATACTTTTGGTCTAGTTAAGTGTCAAATGATAACTAAACAAACATTCTGCTGCTGCTGCTGCTGCTAAGTCACTTCAGTCATGTCCAACTCTGTGCGACCCCATAGATAGCAGCCCACCAGGCTCCCCTGTCCATGGGATTTTCCAGGCAAGAGTACTGGAGTGGATTGTCATTGCCTTCTCCAATGAATGAAAGTGAAAAGTGAAAGTGAAGTTGCTCAGTCGTGTCCGACTCTTAGCGACCCCATGGACTGCAGCCTACCAGGCTCCTCTGTCCATGGGATTTTCCAGGCAAGAGTACTGGAGTGGGTTTCCATTGCCTTCTCCAAAACAAACATGAACTATTCTATATTACTAAATAATCTGTCAACGACTAGACAAAAGTTTTCTTTGAGCAGACCTCACTTTAAAATAAATGCTAAAATATATAATAATGATCAATTTTCTAATGGGAAGCAGAAACAGATTAAATAATCAAAACCTGCATATACATCCAAACTCTCTATGCTTAAGAGCTAATGCCGATAAACCTGAGACAGTGGAGATCAGCAAAAAGAAAAGAATCTGCTTCAGGGATATCCCTGGTGGTATAGTGGTTAAGAATCCGCCTTCCAAGGCAGGGGATACAGGTTTAATCCCCGGTCAGGGAACTAAGATCCCACATGCTGCAGAGCAATTAAGCCTGTGCACCACAATTAGAGATGCCCCCATGCTCCAGGGCCCATGCTCTACAAATAGAGAAGCCTCTGCACACAGCAACTGGAGAAAGTCTGCACCACAACAAAGAGTGCAGCCAAGGGAAAAAAAAAAAAGAATCTATCTGCTTCAATATAACAGCCCTATTAATAATCATCTTCAAAAGCAAATGACTAAATATAAAGAGTGTGACATTTATACAGAATTTCATCCTGTAAATACGTTACAGTATATTCACCACCTAACAATGAGAATGAACTAATCACAAACATGTTAAGTGAAGAATGCCAGAAACTAGTGTACACGCTGTATACATTTTATAAAACATCAAACAGGCAAAATTAATCTACTCTGACAGAACTGAGGATGGTCATTATGTATGCTTTCTTTTTTCTTTCCTTATGTATGCTTTTGAGAGGAGGGTGACAAGAATTGGACCAAGGAAGGGCTTGAGGTACTAATAATACTGTTTACTGATTTGGCAAAATCAAATATACAAAAAAGATCTTCAAGACTAAGATAATCACGATGGTGAGATCACTCACCTAGAGCCAGACATCCTGGAATGTGAAGTCAAGTGGGCCTTAGGAAGCATCACTATGAACAAAGCT